GCGCCTTGTACCAAAGTAGCGCCTGGTACCAAAGTAGCGCCTTGTACCTAAGTAGCGCCTTGTACGCAAGTAGCACCTGGTACCTAAGTAGCGCCTTGTACCTAAGTAGCGCCTTGTACGCGAGTAGCACCTGGTACCTAAGTAGCGCCTTGTACCCAAGTAGCGCCTGGTACCAAAGTAGCGCCTTGTACCTAAGTAGCGCCTTGTACGCAAGTAGCACCTGGTACCTAAGTAGCGCCTGGTAACCCAGTAGCGCCTTGTACCAAAGTAGCGCCTTGTACCTAAGTAGCGCCTTGTACGCAAGTAGCACCTGGTACCTAAGTAGCGCCTTGTACCAAAGTAGCGCCTGGTACCAAAGTAGCGCCTTGTACCTAAGTAGCGCCTTGTACGCAAGTAGCACCTGGTACCTAAGTAGCGCCTGGTAACCCAGTAACGCTGGTACCCAAGTAGCGCCTTGTACCCAAGTAGCGCCTTGTACCTAAGCACTTGGTACCCAAGTAACACAAAGTAATGCTTGATGCTTGGCATTGAAGTGAAGAAGTAACGTTTAACAATGTTCCACTAATACAGATCCGACATTACCGCTTCTAAAAGCGAATGATGGCCAGAAATCATTTTCACATTAGCTAACCTTTGGAAGAGCTTCGATAAGGAATCTAAAATGGCATGGCACCTTTTCTTGGTACCTGCAAAATGCTGTCGATAAAGAATTTCAGGTTCTCAGCCACTCTTTCCTTTTAAACTTGTAATTAAACTTAAAGTGAATTGCATTTAGTTATAATTTCCTTTTAACTACATTTTTCCTTTAACACGTCAGTTTCAAAAACATTACCACTTACTGAAATATTTATAAAGATTGTAAAATTAATATATTGTAAATATTTGGTTATTAAATACCGTTTAGCCTGGTTTGTGAGGGACAGAGTGATACAAATGCCCTTCAAATAACTGCCATCTGATGGCATTAGAATTGCTCCAGCTCTATCGTTCATTTCGATGGTTTGATTTTCTTCTTTATATTGCCAAGTTATATTATATTTTGGTGATCCTGGTCGTGCAGCCTTATAGCTCTATATGCGAATGTCTTCTTTGCAGCTATTAAAGATCGTGTAGGATCTTATGGCAACACTATCTTACATTTGCCTCTTTTTGCATAAATGGTTGTACCTTATTGCTTTTGTCTTTAATCAGGAAAGTAACAATTCAGCCAACGCAGACTAATTCGAACTCGTGTAATTGAAAGTTTTACTAATTAGAACAAGATTGGCAGGTCCATTAAAAAGAAAAATCTATGATTCGAATCTTTGTAGATGGAACGTAATGTAAATGGAAGGCAATCCAGTCGCACTGAATTTTCCACATGTTTTGAGGTAACAAAAGTGAATACTCAATAACGTCATGAATAAATCAAATTATTAGCTAAGGAATCAGATTTTGTTGCAGTTCACGCTGATTTTCATTACTAAGTCATATCAAAGAACTATCTTTGATTTGGCTTTAAAATATTTAGATAACCCTTAGCAAAAAAGTCCATCTATTCTCTCCATATTCAATTGTTATCAAAAACTCAAAGGCAAGGTTTTTACATCAGAAAGCCACAGAATCAAATTTTGAAACATAACCTCTGTTCGATTCAATCTACATTGATATTGTTCAATATAACCTACAATATACATTGATACCTGCTAACTAACTAACAATATATATATATTTCAATTTGTATTCTCTGTAGATAAAATTTCTCTATTTATGCGTATTTTACAGCTAAAAGTTATAGATAATCTAGATTTGAGCAACCCGTATATTGCTTTAAAGTGAAATGCAATTTTCTTTAACTTCAAACTTACAAGCTATCTGCATGTAACCTCTTTATTCCCAAAATTAAAATTCTGAGCGCCTTCACTACTTAAATAAAATTCAAGGCCACAGTTTAGAGTTTTGGAAAGGTCGAAATCCAAAGGTCAAAGTGCTGAGGTCGAGTCCATGCTTATGGATTAGAGTTCTTGGGCAAAAAGGTCAGACCTCTGTAATTAAGTTAATATGATGGGAACTGCATTGCTTTAGAACTGAAATAATTTTGTAACTTCTATCATTTTTCAATAGCAAAAGTGTCTTATTGACAAACCCTCACTCAGAAAGTCAATTTTCTCCTTGTGTAGGCTATTTGGAAATTATTTTTTCGGGTCACGCTTTGAAGCTATGTTAAAATTGTGTATTGGGCAGAGGCCAGAAAACATTCCTTGTTCCTGCTGCGGGCGAGAGCAAGGACATCTATAGATGCAGTAACATTATGGGAGGCGAGTAAAGTGAGAAAAATTGGACGTTGTGCTGAGATTTTGCTTCTCTTCCCGGCAAGGATTGAAAACCAAACAATGGATTGTTATGTTTTATTATTTCTAACTAGATTTTATTCAAAAGATACAAGGAAAAGTTTTAAGGAAGGTAATTAGGGCAATATTTCATCCGAGGGACGTTGAAGCGTTTTCTGAACTCTTGAACAAGATTAAATTTATATGTAATAAACTCTGGAACATTTACGAGAAATAATTTTTGCTAAAAGAAATCTATAGTCAATACGTTAACACACCGATAAATGTAAAAGCCATTGATATCAGTTGTCTCTTCCTTCACTAATCTGGCATGTTATTTTGCTCTCCTCCGTTGAGCCATACATTTAATGCTCATCTTATCAGAGCTCTGATAATTGAAACTACTTTATCTACGACATTTCTCCTTAAAGCCTTGAAACTCTTACAAACTGACTTGACTTTTTGTAATATCTACTTCTCTTTCCATTAGCTGGCCTTCCTTCTCCATTTATTGACAAATACCATGTGGATTTGTGCTTTCTGTGCAAAAATGCTTGATACGTGTGGTAACTGTTTAGTTCTAGCCGCTCCATAAACACACATTCGAGACTTTTTGTGCTCTAAAATACAAAGGGCTTTATATAAGCCTTTAAAATACATAATCATACCCGTTTAATGTACAGTACTACCAAATTGCAATATGAAGAAAACAAAATCATTAAAAAAGTTATATGTATTGATATAAATACAAAGATCGAATACAAGCACACGTACTCGACTATTGTATCATGTAAAACTGATATTTGCTAGCATGCATAATGATATTTCAATGTGAGGTATATCTAAATTTATTTTCAATATTGATCAGGAATAATATTGGTGAGTAACAATAACTGGTTGATCTTGGTGACATTCGTATGCCTAAATCGATCTAATTCGTATGCCTAAATACATTTTGTGGCAAATTGTCCCTAATCTCGTTTTACACTCTTTTTTACAATTTTTTCAGGCGAACCCTGATTTCAGAGCAGCTGTTGCATATTCAGATGCAAATAGATTCAGATGTTTTTCGGTTCAAATCCTCACAAATAATTATTCACACAACAAATCATTCCAATGTTTGAGAGATTGTTAGACAGATTTCTGCTTGTGGTAAACAAAGGCGATAGAAATTCTTCATCACATGTAAATAAGGCGGAAAAATCAAACCTCTAGCTCTGTTTAGAGCAAAAAGATAAAACGTTCAATGTAAAAGCGGTATAGTAATTAATAAGTAGGCGATTCAAACTCACAGAGACGTAGATGTTTCCTTCAGTTTCCTTCATACAAATGTATTTATTTGAATCCAGCCCTTTGATCATTAGAGCTCCAAAACCAACCGACTCCATCCGTAATTGAGCTAAAACGAAGTTGCCAAAGTCAGATGGAAATGATAAATTAAATTTGTAATATTAATTCTTAAAGTAATATTAATAAATTCATGATTTATATCTTGAAATGTTTATCAAAATATTTGAAATGTTATCGGTTGCTTCACTGTAAATGTTTATTTTACCTGTCTTCGAATGGAAATAGCTAGGAACCAAAGAACAAAAATTGATAAGGTGAAAACCAAGCTAAACAGTTTTTGAAAAATATACGTCATTAAAAATAAAACATCAAGAAAAAAGACAACTAATGGCTTTGAATAGTGTTTGAATCATAGACACTTCAAATTAGGCACCTTCTAGCTACTTTTCTTACAGTTGTTAAAGTAGAGCTGGAAAACATGCATTGCGTGATCACTTACATGAAGTACTTTGGAACAAAGTGCTTCGTACACCTGTTTGGCATTATGCTTATAAGCTTCTTTAATACATAGTTTATAAATTGGGCGCCTTTATACCTGTTGTGGCACCGGGCAAAAAGTTGATGGGGGCCAATACAATCAAAACATTTATAGAATGGAGCTTTCAATTGATTGAGTTTCTCTTTACTTTGCAAAAGCCGTAAAAAATGTAGATTTTTTCTTTTAAATCAACTTCAATGGACCCCTTGGTCTAATGGGTCTGTGGGTGAATATGGCACTGTTTATGAAAGCATACTTACTGTTTGGAGCTGAAAGTGATCTGGCACCCGTGACTTTGTCCGCTGATACAGCAACCGTTTTGCCCAATCGGTTGAGCAGTTTCCCTATTCTGCTCACAGATGGCGTGTGGATATCAACAATCGGGAAGTTTCGTCGCGCATAAAATGGCATTCCCTTGTTTCTCCAGTGCTTTTCAAGGGCTGCTTTTACGTCAATTCTAGACGTTCTTTTGTACTCAGCATGGTTTTTGCTCAGAAGTCTTTTGCCAAATTGTAAGTGTCCCAGGTTTGGGTGATACAAAGACGGCAGTACCTCACCTCTGTGTCTCGATCTGCTTGACCTCAACGAGCGTTCATCTTGTTGTCCCATCTGTGTTCGGAGTGTCTCAAAAAAGTCTTTACGCATTGCCTCTGCAACTCTGGTCTGTATTTCTTCCATGCTCATGTCTGTACCATTGCAACTTATTTCTTTGACATGGATAACGTAAAGGAGGATCACTAGCATTAACACATGAACCTGAAAGTGACAGAATTTATAATCCGATTATAGAATGCATCAATTTCTCACCGTGTTTACGCTTTGGCTTTACAATACTCAGATAACCCTTAGCAAAAAAGTCCATCTATTTTCACAGTGTTACTGCAACCATCAATTTTAACTGTATAGATAAATTTGTGACTGCATAGTCTTTCAAAGTCTTAGATCAGAATTATAAAGAGCCTGACTAGAAAGTGATCGGTCTGTTACTAATTTTCGTAGTTCGCTGAATTCTAACTCTCCTGTTTATCACTCTAATTTTATCAAAGTGAGAGGAATAAACAACTCTAGCTTTCTGTCTTGCTTGCCAAGATAAAAATATCAGTCATTTTACAATTGAAGAAAATAAACAAAATGGTGATGCTTAGATAATCAAATATAGATAAAGCAAATAAAAATAATAACTTAGCCTATGCTATAACGATGACGATACTTGAGATTAATTTTCATTTTTTCAAAATGCATTTTCCATCTTTTTCTCGAAAATATGTAACATAATTGATCAAATGCTTCAAAATATTTGATCTTATCGATGTTATAAAAGCATTTTGAAAAAACTGAAGTTTCTCGCTAGCTCATGTGCACAACACAATCAACTCTTACTGCAAAGTGGCAAGAAATTTAATTAGTTTTTCATTTCCATGAAGTATACACTCGTATTTTACAAAACACGCTATATGAAAACATGGAGGCTCGATTTGCCAAAAAAGAGCAATGACAAAGCTTGAAAGCAAAGCATCTGAGGATGAACATTTCAAAGAAGAAAGCAGGTTCCGGATTTTGTCTGTCATGCTAAGATTACCGAGCAGACTTTATCAGCTAATCAACCTTGCCACAAAAGTGTTATTAAAAACAGTTATCGAGTGGTTCTAAATACAAAAGCTAGCATGCATTTAGAGAAAAATCAATTTCTAAAATAGTAGAACACAATCATGATCACTCAAGCCCCAGCAGAAATTATCTGGTTGTTAGAAACGTGATTGAAATATAAAAATATCAAAGACAAGTTTAAAAGGTGTGACTTACATTTCTCAGATAAACTGCCATGATGTTTCCAAACGATTTCTGGAAAAGAAGGAAATTGTATATCTCTGTGCTTATGAACCTGAAGGCAATCTATCATGAAATTCAATCAGATGAATTTTAGCATTGATCTAGATCCTTTTCAAAAGCTTTTTCTAGCTATTCATCCCTTTTTGACATGATTACATATCATTATCTTATACCTTGCAGCTTGCAGCTTGAATGTCAAAAGATTTCTTGCTACCTAACAACACTGCAATTACAGCGAAGCAAAACTGCTTGTCTCTTTTGTCTAAGATTCAACCAAAAGACATCAGTTGTCAGTTTTTTCCTGGTTACTGAGCTTCTGTAGTTTTTATCATTTCATTTGTCGTTCTTTTTATTCAAATTTTATTAAATAGAGAGGGTGTATTTTAATGACATTTACAATGTGTTCCCGTTTACGTCCGGCCATGTGTAATCATCAAACAATCTTGCAGCCGTTAGAATCACGTGTTGCTCAAACATTCATTCTCGGGAGCATTTTTCCTAGCATTTACTAATTAGTGCTAATGAGGAACATTGCAAATCTTTTTAAAAACCTTTGACAAGATAGTTATAAGGCCCGTGAACGGCATCAATTTCTACAAAAAAGCATGAATTGTTTAAGAGCACGTGACATAATGTGTAATGCTCAGCTGGTCAAAGCGCCTACGAAGCGTCAAATTTTCCTTTGTTACAAAATCGAACACTCAATCAAGCTCTATATTGTAGATCGAAAAATTATTACAAAACTACTTGATATGGTATAACGAAACCCTTGTAGCTAGTGAAGCTATAATTACCGGAAAACGATGCGATTCTCAATGATGTCACAATTACTGGAAAACGATTGGCAAAAAGCAATTTTCATAATTTTGTTAAGCACATGAAAATACATTAAGATAGATTGCGGTAAAACCAATATTACTAGTCAAGTTTCCCCCACTCTTAGTAGTTGGTAATTTATGCTGTTTCTAATGACATATACTATTGTTTTTTTTCTATCCATCTGTTTGAAAGTATCTTTATTGCAAAAGCTCTCTTTTAGGCTGAAAATGGCCCTCGGTTCCGTAGACATCAACACTGCAAACAGTGATCTACACATTGACATTATTATTATTATTACAATCTTTATTCATATTCTTTAAGCGTATATATGGCAATCAAGTCAAACTAATGTTACCAAGTCGCCTATTGTTATGATAATACCATACCTTGAAGAAAGCAGAAGAAAGTCAGGAACCAAGAACTGAAGGCGAAACCATAGTGTGATTGCTTGAACCAAACTGCTATCAACATTAAACTGGGCGTGCTTTGTATCCACAGAATACAGATTTATATCTACCTTAAATATACATCCGCAGATAATAGGCAATCGCAGGTGAAGAAATGGCGAGGCGTGCATCGATAGAAAAGTAGGGTTTATAAATTAGTTTGATAATGATAATCAAATAAGCTCTTGATGCTTTAAAATAACCTAGATCTCGGGGATTATGAAAAAAGGGATTTTTTATGAATGTTCAGTTTTTGGATCCTCTGGACGTACTGACTTTTATTAAATTTATTTAATCTTTAATTCTAGACGTACTCTAGATATAAGATATTAAACAGGCTTTGATTAGCTTGCAAGGCACGAGGGTGACTTTAAGAAAAATCAATTGAGCTTCTATTGATTAATTCATATTTCTGGTGTTTTGCTACAGTAAAGCCCTTTTCCTTCTCTTTCAAAAACGAAAAATCAAATTAAAGCATCGGACACAGAGTCATATAATCGAATTTCAATTCCAGCGATACTAGCAAAAAAATTGTTGAATATAGACCTAGCTACTGTCTAAAAACATAAACCTAGCTAGAAGCTACTGTCAAAAGAAAGTCAAGTAGCACATTTTTTCTAAGTCGGCGTGACCTTCAGCATATTTCAACACTTATTCAGTTGTCTTTGTTTCTTTTTACCACACTATTATGTAAATGCAGAGTAAAATCAAAAGCAGAAACCCTTGATTTAACTTTCAGTTCGTCACTCTAGATTTCCAATTGAACTGTCAATACAACGTCAAAATGCTTTTTCAGTCACAGCAGAAAATCCTTATTCCAGACGCAATCAGAAGCACTCAGACAAAGAATCTTGCTGAGTTTTTAATCAACGCTAGTCATAAAGCATAAAACTTACAGCAGCTGTTGCAGGGTTGGTATAGCCGAAGCCCCAGAAAGCTTCGGAGCAGGCCGCAGCCCTAGCTTCAATGGGTTGCTCTTTGATGGGACCCCAACTTCCATTGTTCAAGTGATGATAACTTTGCGCCAAAAGCACTTGCTTGCACCTATTCTTTGTTCTACAAGTGAAATACGGACAACCCCTAAAGTTTTTCTGCTCAAATATTCCAGCCATTTCTTACTGCCTTGTTGTTTTTAGGCAATTAATTGTAGTTGCTGTTTACCATAAAGATTGTGAAAAAATTTCGAATTCTCTGCTTGCGACCAACACTGTTGGGTACTAAGTGTTAGATAAAGGATATTAAAACGATGCAGATGTCAGAAGGTAACTTTATACATTAAAGAGGTTGGTGCAGCAACAATGGCTATTGATGCAGTTGTTCTTGGACTATAGATTGATTATTTTTATTATCTGCTTACCTTGAACACACCACAGTACATTTTCCCCCTATGCTCACACAATACCCAGCTTTAGAACCCTACGGACTAAGGGCTCAAGAATCCATGCTCAAGGTTGAAAGCCAGTTAATAATTTAACTGTTTGTAACTGTCAACAAAGTCTGATCCTCTATCATTTATAAAAAAATTGATTTTCACATCCAGTTTTTATTTAATTAACTGCACGGCAAACAAATTCTCAACCCTTGGCTGTTTGGTTTAGAAGTTTTAAAACGTTCGGCCTAAAAATGAAAATTGAATGACAGACATCTTGCTGCTATGTGCAAATATTCAAAGATGAAGGCAACGTGAATATTTTCGAGTGCCCCAACACAGTAAGGTTCTTGTAGCAAGTGAGACCAAGCCTAGAGGACTAGACTGGGAACTTTGAAATAGACACTGATGTAGAGAGTGAGTAAGATTATTTTCGATTGTTTTTTCGTTGTTCACCAAGTTGTTATTCTCTGTCAGCTATTTTCACACCTGCTCCAACCAGGGACGCCAGAAGCATTTTGAGGCGGCGGGGGCAGCTACTCAAAAAGGGCACATTTTCAATAACTAATATTAGAATTATAACAAAAAATGATGTAAACAACAAAATTATAACATATTACTTTGGTACCGATAAAACATTTAATCTAAAAGGCCAGTCTAAAACTTCCCATTCTGTTGCTTAGGCTTTTGCTAGGTGGGAGAGGATTGGTTCCTTAACATGTTTGAAGGTAGGGGGACGTGCCAATTTTTAGGGGTACCTTTTTCTGAAAAGTGCGGAATTATCGGTATCAATTTTTGAAATATGTGCAGAACAATGGATACAATTTTCGAAATGTATTGCAAAATTATTAGAAGGGAGATTGAGCATTAACAAAATAAGTGTCCAGTTAGAAATGTAAGTATGAATTATGTGCAATATTGAGATTTTTGGCAAAGGACATGCAAAACTTCATTGATGATTTTGTTGTGCTTTAAAAATGTTATTTGCTTTGCGGGATTATGGGTAAAGTTTTCATCATGATTGCGGAATTATGGTTCACATTTTTCAGACATGTACGGATTCATGGTTCGAAACTTTTTAGCCAAAATGACACGTCCCCGTTCAAAATAAGCCTTAGTTAACCCCACCCCCCTCCCCCACCCTGGCTGTCGAGTCGTATCACGCTGCATTGTGGTAAAAGTGCGTTTTGCAGTTGCAGATGAAAGTGCAAATGAATTGTACAATTGCAATGACTTGTGAGCTCTGACAGGCATTTTTTGTGGCATTCAATTGAAATAATGATTTATCAATGGGTTTCCATCTTTGTTACCTTCTTTATTTGTATGGTAACTTCTTTTTTATAAATTCTGATGACTTTGCTAAAGTTCACCTCATTTTTAAAAGCTTTTAGATTACTCCAATTGAAGCTTGTACTAGCTAACTTGGGTTAGTGTTGCGTATTGCATTAGTGTTTGATATGCTCTACTAGAGTCCGTTTAAAGGGGTCCCATCTCAGTTTTCCCCTAGGACCCCAGATGCCTCCGTTACGCCACTCACCTTATTCTACAGTAATTCCCTACATTTTAGAGTGTTGCCGAAAGAAATATCATTATTGCCCATAAGTTCATAACAAATGCACCCAATGTTTTAAATGCTTTCATTTTGTTCCTAACCGCACTAATATTTCATCTCGCTATTCCATTCGCATAAACACAGTGCCATTTTCACAAAGGCACAGTGCTGCCCCCGCTGCCCCCATAGAGTCAGGGCAGGGGGGCAGCTGCCCCCATGCTTCTGGCGCCCCTGGCCCCAACAGTATCGAAACTTATAAGCTTATATGTTAAATGCAAATATATTTAACATATTTAAATTTTGTTATTGCCCAAGTTTATAAATTTGATATAAAAATTTCTGAGCCCGCCATTATTGTGTTGATAAACTTAGATGTTTGAATTTCATTGGCATCCTGTCAACCACAACGAATATGTTTCGCTGTAAAAACATCGAAATTGCTAACATAGCAGCAGCAACAGAAATTTCTGTCAAAAGCAAAAGAATATTATTGCATTGCACCCGACTGGTATTAGAAAACTAGGGCATTCTTATTGTAAATCCAAAATAGTATTACGTTCCATACAGCCTCACTTCCTATTACTCAAAGCAACGCTGCAGAGGCACACAAATCTGCGCATGCCCCGAGCATTTGTGACCTTGAAACTGCGACATGGAAAACCTAAACACTTATGGCATGTCTCAATGTGTTTGGAATCCAGTCAAACATTTTAACTACGTCCGAACCTGGTCATCCAGATAAATGAATCATTGGCGTTTTTGGTTCAATTTCCGTTTGAAATGTAGTAATCTTGGCCTAATCCGGAGAAAGGAATACACGGCATTATCCGTTGTCAATACACTGCCTAATGATGTTAATAGCTCCTAATAGCTTTCACACGAGGTATTAATATCATCTCTAGCTACTTTGAACCTGTACTTAAAGTGATTTGGCTCCCTGACTGGTCAAATTTAGCACCAAAATCTACTTTCATCTTTAAACAAAAATACGAGCCTTAACCGTAATTGGCGATTGTCCGTCACTTGTAAGACCTAATTTAAATATCATAAGCATAAGAAGACCTCGAAAAACTGTTTCATGGCTTAGAAAACCATTTCACAGTCCGTTTAAACCGAAACATGATTGAAATGCTATATCAAAGCTTTTTTTGTGTACGAAGAATTGAGTACACTATGTAGTGGGTCGCGGGTAACGCATACATATACCTATATTAATAGATAGTAACAGCTTTTGAGTATAATCATATAGACCTATGACTGATTATACTTTATATTTGCGCTTTCATATTTCCTAAAAGGACGGAAATCCTTATGAAAGACTGGTTTGTAATGCTTAGTAAGAATGTTTTAGAAGAGAATCTTAAGCGATTGTAAACTTCACAGTGTATAGCTTTAATATTGATAGAATGATCTTGTTATGCATTTTCTGGTCTTATCTTTATATCGATTTGTGAAGATTCGAAAATCGCTGGTTTCCAGTTCCCTTTCCCAGATAAATATTGATTACGATGAGTCATTATGTATTCGGGTTTTTGATGACCAAAAGGACAAGACAGTCGGAAATAAAATGAATCATGCTTTAACATGTAATTACCATCTATACCTTAAAACGAATATTTGATATCATACAAAAGTCAATATTTTCAAAAGCGTGGTAACAAAGACAGAAATCCTGCTGATAGCCAAAACACTTGGGCTGCGTGATTCGCTAACCTGTTGCATGTTCTCACAAAGCAGCTGAAAATGTCCGGATAAAAGGTGCGATTTGCCTTTCGGATATTGACTTATGTAGATAAGCTAGTAGATTAGAACAATGAATACATCCGACTCCGGATTCTTAATGCTTTGGAAATTGGTCTGGAATGCAAAATGCAGCTGCAGCTTTCAAGCTGATGAACGCGATGATGAAGTATACCTAAACGAAACACTTTTTCATGAGTGTGCTCTTATAGATTGCCACAAGAGTTTTTTTCTCATATTACCATATTACATTGGACTGTTTTCGGTGGCCTTTCTCAGCGACTTTTTTACTGTATCATGTGTTGGAACGAAACATAGTAAAATCCGGTTCACGTCAGCCCGATTAGTTTTAAATCATAGGTATATAAAACTTTTGTAAAAATGCATAATAATCATATTTGATATATGTTAACTGTTAGTTTCTTGTACTTTACATATTTTAACATTGAGTTGCAAAGAGGCTATACTTTTGTATTCTTTTTTATGATGCCATTTATGGATCTTGAAAGTTGGCATTGATTACCATCGTTTTTTATAGTCAATTGTTCTTTTACAACAAAACCAAAACATTAATGACAGAATTTCTTCATATTGTAACAGTATCTTTTGTGAACAAGAAATGCATGTTCTTTGCAAGATCTAGTTCTCACTATCTTATCTGTTTCCCCAAAAGTTCCTGTGTTCTTTGAATATGGTTTTTACTAGCTTGAACTTAAGAAAAAAACTACATGAGGCGAGCTTTTTTAATAGTAGGTTCTGCAATTCACAAATCAATCCATTGAAATATCATTCAATTTTGGGAACTTTAGCAAAGTATCCTTTCTTTGAAAAATTTCATTGATGGAGTTCCTTTTTTGAAACAAGGTCACCATTTTCCATAATTTTTCATACGGAAAGCAGCCATAGATATCTGGAATTGAGAATAACTTCGTTGCGGTCAATAGAAAAGGACGGTTAAAACTTCAAGATTCATGCTTAATGCGATCATTAGACGCCAGTAAATACTCCAAGCATGTATCGCAAATAAGCATATACAGGTCGAATTCCAAACATTAATCGTATAATGTAGTCACTTCGAAGGACGTAGAATAGAGCAAATCCTTCTTCGATGATAAATATCTTTGTGCAGACGTGCCACTGTGCAAGCATACCTTCATCAGAGCATTGACCTAGCCAGAAATCCATACTTTCAGCTAAACTTTGACTACTTTATAACTTATAAATTGGATAAGTTAGCTATCATCTTCTTTTTGCAAAAGTTTTTACTTTGTTTTAGTCTTAAGGTTTTATATAAAGATATCTAAGCTTAACTACAGATTCTGCGATTTCAAACTATTGAGTATCAAAATAAAATTTTGTCTCATTCGCGTTTTCCCTTAAACTTTGACAAACAAGTTACTTGTGAATTGAGATTGTGCTTTTCTTTATTTTCAACTTTTAATTTTTCAATTTATAAAGATTAAAATAAGCTATGGGCTAAGTCTGTACTAGCTTGATTCGAATGTGCAAGGTAACTTCTAATGAAATCACTCATGCGTGAAAACTAGATTAAACTTAATGAGACGACGACAATGCAAAAAACTTACTTAAAAATTTGATTGCTTAAGTAACGAATGAAACAAAAGCAAAATAAAGATGCCGAACTCTCATTATAAAATCGACATCTATATTCATAAAGGGTTTTATTCAGTATAATGTAAGTTAGCATGCGAAGTGAAAAAAATCGCAGTATTTGATTGTAAAATTCGAGACGGAACCTTTAGCTGAGCACGAATTGCTTTGAAATTCAAAAAAAAATTTTAGTTAAAAATGAAAAAGTCACAATCATGCACAGTCGAATTTTTAGGAACTGTTGCATCGAATTCCTAGATACTAGTTATTGGAAGAAATAGGAAACATACCAAATTATGCTCAAATTTTTGCCCGCTGTTATCTTGATTGAAGTTGTTATAACCTAACAGACAGCGTTGTAATTATAGCAGAAAGCAAGTCGACGATAGACATATTTGCTTTGTCTGTCATCTTTTAGCATTCGTTCCAAGGGCTGAGCATGCAGATTTGTTGGTAAATGGAAAATTTGACCTTGAGTTGCATGCTAGCCAGTAAGAGTCTGGCCTGTTAGAATCATTGTTTAGAAATTCAGCTGTTTAGCCTCCAGCAGTGTTAATAGATTGTAATAAACAGTCGTTTGATGGCTAGGATGTATCTTTCTGAGACACTCGAATGATCTGGGTGCAACGCAACAGTCAACGCTATGGTATAAAAAAGAAACTTTTCTGCTCGAAGCCTATGCTAGTAAGGACCTAAGAAACCGCATGACAAAAGGTTTATTTCGTACTTGAAACAGAATGCAGTGTGCTGCAAGTATGAATAGCAACAAAAAGTTGGTTTACATTCCGTTGAGGTGATATAACATTTCAGCATTCTATGTTGGATGATACTAGCTCTGAGAGTTTTGTATATACTTGACTGTTTTAAATAGCTCTCGGTAGGTGCATAAAATGCTACTTTAAACATTATCGAATAAAGCTAGCATGTTTTTAGTAGACAACGTTGTATTAATTGAATCATTGCTATCAATAATTCAAAATTATATGACCCATCACGTCACGCAGTGTGCCAAAGGCGGACATATGAAATGTGGTACCACTAGGAAATTCTTTCCGCACAACAGCATAACTTTAGATCTAATTTGCTAGGCAATTTTTGTCTGTTTGAACCGGTCAGGCAATATTGCTCTCGTCTGCTTGGCTTTACTATCCATACTTTAGGCCGGTATATGTTTTACAGTATTATTCCAAAACATCCTTACTAAATTTATAGCTTTCAAATACTGACTTGCATTGATCACCGGTCGCAAAGATTTTGGCGTCCTAAAATCTAATAATTGATCCATGCTTAAAACGAAAAAAATATTTATGCAAAAAGCAAAGACGTTAAACTTCTTAAAGGCTTAGCAAGTAAAGGAAAAAGAGCAGCAAACACTTTTAAATTGTTTAAAGGATACAAAACCTGAAAATCTTTAAGCCTTTTAATCTTACAGGAAAAGACTGCAAAGATTATCTTTCCAAAATGATATCTTAAATGCCACAAATATTTTGGTTTGTGGTTTTTGACAACCTGACATGTTTTCCTGGCTTGAACTGAGAAAATTCTGACCTAAAAGTGACCTTAGAAATTGCAACTATTGTCTGATTTGACATCCAGGCCAAGCCTAAAGCAAAAGGAATTCGTTTTATCGGCCACCTGGAATACGATGGCTTCCGAAGTAAAGCTGTAAGTAATTTATTTTCTGCAGTTCTTTATTTGTATTAATCTCTGTTTAGACTAACCTTTAACTTTTGATCTCTGACTTCTGACCAATACGACTTTGCAGTGGATTCTTCTTGCCCTGAAATGAGCAACGTCCGCAGTGTGTACTCTTTTATTTCCCTTGGGGCTTCTCCAGACAGCTGCCGCCCTCCTTTGCAGCCTTCGTGGATATCTTGTGTAACAAAGGTCACACGTAAAATTCTTGTATTTTGCAATAGAAGACAGTGGAAAAAATTAAACGATCTGTATAAACCAGAAGTTACACACTTAACAGCGAGTCATTAGTTTGCTAGGGGCAACACTTAAATATATTCCATTAACATTATTTATTTGATTATGATAGAAACTATTAGTAAGTGGTGCCTTAAGTGAAAAAAGCTAATATCTGGCAACACGTTAGACCAACCGAAGCGCGTGCCGCCAGCCGTTTGAGAGAGAGGTTAATTAATTAGCGTGGATTTAGATTCACTGGAAAGTGAAAAAGCTGGGGCAAATAGTTTCTCCTCGGAAAATTAAATAAGTTTCAATTATATGATTAAATTAGAAAAAGAACTGTAATTATATAATGAAGTTCTAGCTATACCTATAAAAAATTTTATACTATCGTTCACAACAAAAATTTTTTCATGTCTTTTCTTGAAGATTGCCAAACCCTTTTTGGTGGAATTGAACTCTTCTAAATTTAAGAAATTGCTCCTTTGTGTTTCTTTGTTATTGTTGAAGACTTCGACTTTAACGGGTTTTGATTAGGCTTTTGGAATTGAAAATTGGTTTATCAATGCTTCTACACACATTTCATAAGAAATTCAAATTATTATAAAGATTTAAAAACCCTACTAGAAGGGACGGGGATACAACTAGAATTTGAGAAACTTTTTCCGATATTGGGTTAAGATCGAATTTGTTCTGAAATAAATTTATAAGAAAAATTTCTTGAACATGCTTTACTCAATTTTGAAAAATTTGTTACGGCTAAATATCATAGATTGGCTCATTTTGTGAAAATTTTCCATCCGTAAAAATGTTTGGTTTTGTTTTCTGCAAAGTTCGGTCTCTCTATGATTATCTGCTTTGATTTTTAAATTCTCGTATCTAAAGTTTTGCGTGGCTGATATTTTTTTTCTAATTTTTGGCACTTGGATAAGAAAAATTCCCAAAAATTGATAAAGGCTGGATCGAAATTCTAAAAAAACATTGTAAAATTCGTCACAAAGTGCATGTTCACAACTAACTTTAGCTTATTTGGCACGCAACGAGAATCAAATTACACAATCAGTGCAAATAAGTCCTATCTGCTTTTATCTACATCGAAGGCACAACAGTTTCACACCCGATTCAAACGAGATACACACGCTTTTGTATTTAGTTTCTTTCTTTTTATCCAGTGGTTGGATTCTGATGATAAAGAACTCGTAGTTAAATGTTGTGATTCTCAGTTCTATTTGCGTAAGTCTTTTCATGGTTAAAGAATGGTTGATGGTCCATTGATCAATCATCTCGCAGTCAAATTAGTGAAATTCAAATTTCATTGCAATTATCGCCTATTTTGATCGAATGGCCGGCAATCATACATTAAAAATTGATTTTAACGATTCGAAGCCAACCTCTAGCAATCTAAAGAGCAAAAATAGGGTTGCTAATGTGCGGTGCAAATTGTTTGTAATGATCACATTGTCATTTCTAACAAAGAAAAACTGACCAACGAAAGAATGCGAGCACGTGCTACCTTTCTTACGTTTAATTTCTACCGTTAAATTTACATGTTCTACGTCGTATTTCTACTGCCTTCCAATTAGTTAATCTTTCGATTCTACTCTTCTATTCTCTTTCTATCTGTTCCCCCCGCCTTTTCTTTTTACCTGATGAAGAATTGTGCTTGAAACATCGAGATTACATTCAATTTTCTATGGTACAAAATCTTCATTAATTTATATCAATTTTTCGTCATTATTCATTGACGTACATCATACTAAACTACATTTATCAAAACTCACATTAGAAAAGTGAATTTTCATTTTAAATTCGCTTATTTTACTCGTACAATTTCAAGCTATTTTAACTTAAATTGACACATTGGAACACTGTGGAATAACCGCTTTGTGCTGAGGAGGTGCTTGGCTTAGCAAAGTATAGAAGACGAAAGATTTTTATCGACGAACCAACGAAAATAGAGTTATCCTCTCTCTAAAGAGGATACGTCAAACACACTCCTGCTCCAAAAAGTAGCTTTTTAAAGCTGAAAGATTGAACTTTTTAAAAGCTTATAACCTACAAAGACTTTTATTGTTATTATTGACTAATTATTAACGCCTAGAATTTTTTACGAATAAACACTTTAATAAAAAAATCAAATTGATGTGTTATTATATCTTATCTTTCCTAACAGATTTAATGCTTATATCAATGAAATTATTAAACAATCAGATCTGCTATAGAGGCATAAATAATATCTATATGTATATTAAATTTACATCAGGGTATTAAAAGTCATTTTGAACATGCATTCCAGCAGTTTTACAATTTTTCCTGATTTTAATCAATTTAAGTGACCATTTTAGAATAATTTCAACGTTTTATTTTCTTGCATTACAATTTTGCATTTCTTTAGCAAGTCAAGAAAATTGATGTTTTCTTGGTGATCATTTTTTAGTTAATGCTGAACTTACTGTTTTAAAAATTTTATGTCTTTATACGTTTTTTACAAAATACTCGATGACGAAAGGCGAATATCAACAAATAGTTAAGTTTTATCTAGCCAAGAATCTTTCGTATTTTTTACTATAGATTCATGAAGAATGTAACTTTTACACGACAATCTTCTAAAGAAAATATCGTCAGATCTATCAAGCAAAGACGAGGATCTCGACAGATCTATCACATAAATATTATTCATTATTTCAAATTTGCGTCGAGACTCTCTCTTGCATGGAAGTATTTATTAAAGGGTAATCACTTTTCATACACATATATAGACATTTTGGTTCAAATTGTTCAATAAATAAGAAAATTATTATTTTTCTACGTCCTTTAACATAATAAAATTACCTTATTCCTTCCTTTGGCTCACCAACAGCTTTTGCCTACTTCTTTGTTAAATTTACTACATCGATCTTTCTGCCATGACAGTTTTATTGAACGCCCATACTCGTAGCAAAACAAAAATACCTTAAGTACTTTATTACACATACATTGCTAGCTATTTTTCACTGTATGTTTTCCTGAACACTTATAAAATGTATGAATCATTCTTCGTTGGTGTCCTAATAGTCTTTAATATTTCACAACGGTAAAATATCGAACTATTTTTAACGTCCATGTACTCAAAATTTTCTTATCAGGTCCCACACATACCCCGTGTAAAGCACAATCAGTGGTTGTGGTTTGCAAATCTCAAGAAAAGCACTTAAAATTCAGGACGATAAACTAAGACTAATGGAAATAAATTACTGTAAAAACACTTGAATTCTAAAATCTCAATGAACACAAAGGCAGAGATCTGTCATATTCGCTCCACCCCTAACATGCTCATTTGCCCTCACAATAAACCCGTATTTAGAGCCTTTTAAAAGCTTCGATCATGTCTGACAAATATGGAAATGTAATTCTGATGACGCTCGTGATTTCCATGAACGTGCCCCATTATCAAATTTTAACTGAACATGTAAACTATTTTTTTCAAAAACATGCTTCATGACTGACAAGATAGAGCAGGTGCATGCTCGAAAACCAAATATGTGGTTTCTTTCGAAAACCAAATATTAACCGCATAGCTGTCCACAAGGAGTTTCTTTTCTTGCTATCAATCGAATGATGTTGAACATAAAATCATTTACTTTTTATGAAATCCTCGAGCATATTTGAGCGCAGATTTCAGCTGTACCAAGTTTGAAGGGGCTTATAGCGATTAGAATATCTAGTATATTATTTTATCTTAGTATAATTTAATGCTTGTCACATGAGCATCACACCATTTTCTTGTGTGCAGGTTGACTGCTCATTTTCTTTAACAGATTTATATTATAAAAGTTGGATCTTGCCTGTTGTTGATAAAATAAAAAAGGATAGGCTGATTGGTATTGTAAAAAGAGTTGACTGTATAATAGTTCCTTGAAAGGGCTTTTCAAGGAATTGAGCCAAGCTGAAGTTCATGTCTGGGAAGAAATTTCACTAGCAGAAAAATATATTTTGACAAGAATAGTAACTGCTATATTTTTCAACAGAATTTAAGCATCTTCATACCCTCTTATTCATTAAAAAATGAGTTATCGAGAAAATATGAAAATAATTTTCTTTAGAGATTTGTTAGTATGTAAATGCAAAAAGCAACAAAATTTCATCTTTAGAAGAAGACATATTCTCAACAGATGTCATTATTGTTTGCTACTATAAAAACATTAACATCTTTATCAACCCCTTGGACATTGCACACAAATCAGAGACCTTTTAGGATTTATAAAAACATGTATCTAATATATTATATATTATACTCTGTTACTTCTTTTGTTTACTTTTTGGTCTGTTATGGGAAACTGGTCGCAGTCTTGCAGAATTAGGTTGAGAAATGTTGTTTCTTTTCATGATAAAGTCAAGCTTGTCTTTGCTTTCTTCAACAGATTTTTGTAGCTCAGCATCTATTTGTTCAACATGAAGCTTTGTCAATGCTTCTACAATCTTTGGGAATTCATCAGCATCTTGTGTTTCAAAGGCAACTGCAAGTTGATGGTGTGTTTCTTCACTAGCTTGCTCGATTTTCTCAATATTGCTATGAAGTTTTTGATCTCTAATCTGGGAGAAAAAATAGCTTTTCTTTATCACAAAATATCTTAAGAAATTGAAGGGAGTGACTGAAGTAAGAAGCTATCACTGATAGGGAGCAAGCTAAGTCATTCTGAAAGTAGGGTTCATATTTCTAGCAATGTCAGAACCCCAGACATACAACAGTAAAGTGTAAGAAACCTCTAAAAAGGGAAGGTATAAGGCAAAGATATCCCCAAAAAACTATAATTTTTTCATTCTTATGACATAAATTTGCAAGACTTTGACTGCTATTGCAAGAAAGCCCTCTGTTTTCTGGAAGATACTTATTCTTATGCTTTGACTGTGGCAAAGAAACTACCGCAACCTCTTTTTGGCAACTTGTTGGAAGGGTCTGATAGAGAATCCTTTTTCTGTTATACACATGAATGGAGCACATTAAATGCTACATCAAGCACACCAGAGCCAGGGGGAGGGGGTCGGGGTGGTGCTGGTGGAACTATAGCACCCTCATCTTTCATTTACTAGTAAAGGGAAGATTTTTCTTCTAAACAATGATATTTTAGGTAGTGGCATCAATCAAAGAGAATGGTGGAAAAACTGCTATAAAAGTTTGCCAATTTGTCTAGAGACCCCCCTCCCACTCCGAAATGTGCTCTGGTGTCCCTTTACTTTGGTATAACATATTAAAAACGCACAATAATGATTTTATAATAGAAAGCTAAGCAAAGAATAACATCCTGATTGTTGCATTTGCTCATGGATATTATTGGTTAATAATGAATAATAATAATGAGATAATATTTGCTTATGGATAAAATTTGGTGGAACTCATTTACCAGTAAAGGGACGATTTCAAAGAAAATCAGAATAAAATGAATTGAACTTACTGTTTTCAAATTACTTTGCTCATTTTGCATTTGCTCAATTGACTGTAAATACTTCCATTTTTCCAATTCAACTCCTTTTGTAAGAGGTTCTGGTGTAATGGGGACCTTTACTTCTAAAGATTCCTCCCTGAGGTCAATCTCCTGATCATTTGTCATACAAAACAAGTAAAGGTTATAATGACGAAACAATGTTTGCAGAGTGTAGTCAACTAAAGCCTTCATCTCACCAGCCAAGAAATTTACTTGAATTTCATGTATCATAGATCTGAATACAATGATTGCGTCTTCGAGGCATAACCCTGGAAAAAATACAGGAATTGGAAAAGATGGTCAATTTCAATTTAAAGAAAAAAGGAAATTGCAAACAATTGATGCAGTGGAATTTATATTTAGGAGTATGCCAGGAGATCCAAGGTTCAGTTCAGTTCAGTTTCGTATTTTAAATTCTCCACATACAATTTATCATAATTAAGGTTTCGGTTGCTTTCCACGGGTCTCCCACTTTTTTAAGATTTCTTCCATGCTTCTTCCTTATCTTTCAGCAGAGGTAATCCTAAAGCAAAAATGGTTGAAATGGTGTTCTTCATGACAAAATTTTTGTTAGTTTTTATGAATTAATGAAAAACTCGAAAAACCCATTATGAAGAAGTTTCCTCTTTTTATATTTTTTGTCATCAACTATTTGCCCAGCATGACTTTTATAGGTATGTTGTTTATAAATTTAACCTAATAATGGTTCTATTATTTCATCTTGATTCAATAAATTCTGGGGATCTCCCTGTTTTTGGCCAAATTTTCTTTTTTTTAAAGAAAAATCTAAAATCAAAAGAAAAATTCTAGATTGCCAGGTCTGAACATGGATTTACATTAGTTAGCTGAGAAACTGCATGTAAACAATAATGGTTTCAATCATTAAATTCAGTTTAGTTCAAGTCAGTTATTTCATTTTGAAATCCCACAACAAATTTCAAATCAATGACAAAAATGTATTTGACTAATGATAAGATTAACTCTTATCTGCGAGGTTAATCCCTAAATAACGTACAACCTCTTAACTTTGTATCTAGGTATCCTTATTCCTGTAGATATACTGAAACATGCCTTTGAAAGCTGTCTTTTCCAGAAGATTCACAAGAAAAGCAAGCGCACTCTGTGTACTTTTCCAAGAAAATCCATGGCCAGATGCAAAAATTATAGCCTCGAGAGAGAAATCTAGAAGTATGGCCTTTCTCAATTCTGATTCCTCGCATATATCTTGAATTTCAAGTTTTGTGAGCAGTATTTCTCTTTTCTCTGACCTACTGCTTGCAAAATATATTTCCTGGAGGTCCTCAATCGAAATATTTGATACGTCTAATAATTCCGAGATTCTCAATTCCTCTCTATTGTCAGCCATTTCATCTATTTTTCATCTGAAAAATCTACCGTCAATGTAGCAAATTAGATTTTGTTTTGATTTCGTTGTTGAGTTGGGCCATCTTGGAACAATCATTTCCCGTCGCCATAGTTTCCTTCAACCTCGAGTCGGAACACGGCAAAAGAGGTTGTTTGAACAGGGTTTCATGTTTAGTAATGGAGTGTGTACAATATGAAGGGTACTTCAATATTTTTTCAAATTTGATTTTTCGTTTAATTTCACTTGTTGTTCACCATGTTTCTATAGGAAAGTAAAATTCATCGCCAACCGCCACATTTGCAGATTTTCTGTGAAACCAATGCCGAACTGTTTCTCCATAAAGATGTAAGCTGTTCGGGGACAACCAAGAAGCAAGAAAAAGCTCTGCTGAATTTATAATGGCCGAAGGTATTTCATAACTAGCTACCACTTTCTTAGATTCTGTGAGAATTTGAGCAAAGGCGTTTCACATTTAATGATGTTTCATTGATTCGTCTTGGCTAAAGAACACTAACCAGTACTATAACTACCTCGCACGATACGATCTTGAATTGAATATTTTCAGGGTTAAAGACATTTTTAGTCTGTACCTAGTCACAATGAATTTATCACAAGCTATGAATTGTAATTATAAGAGCAGTTTAGTATCGCGAGAGTAAGTTTCAAGCTGCTTAGATTAAAGTAACCATATTTGCAATTTGTGAAATGATTCATTTTCCATTTCAATTCGTTTCGTAAGTAGAGGCTTTCAGACTGTTCATATATGGTCAGGAATGCCCGAGAAGGGGGGCAGGGGGAGGGGTCAACCGTCCCTGTTGCCCTTTGATAGGAGGTGCAAGAGGGGCCAGAGTGCCTTTTTCATTAATGTGCCCTTGAAGCCAGCCAATTGTAATATAATCAAAGAGATCCATATGAAATTCTGAATATAGTGCTTAAATCATGACAACATTTCTAAAACATGTAAAATAAATCCTTATTCCAATAGTTAGTCAATTTTCAAGATATTTACAGAAGATTTATTAAAATGGCAGTTAGTAGAAGGAATTAGTAGAAGCTGGGAGTTGTCTTTAAAATGCTCTTTTACTCAAGTCTGCCCCCTTTGCCCCTTGGTCAGTGCAGCGTCCCAGTGTATGGTTAAGTAACTGTTATGCTATGGCTATGCTCCTTTCTTGCTATGCTCCAGTATGCAGCACATGGTGATGGTGCACCTAGGATGCAGACATGGTATTATTGAAGGGCACCTAAAACTATTTATTCTAAAAAAATTGCTTATTCTAGTGCACCCGGCACTGTTCATGCACCAAAGATCTTGTGAAATACGGCTATATGTGGAAACTGGGTTATGATGCTGTAAAGGTCAGCCCCTTGTAGCGATCTTTGAATAAGCCCCCAGCTTAAAAAACACCCCTTCAAAAGAGCACCTAGGGGCTTATTTGGGGGCTTACGCTATGCATATAAAGATAAATTTTGATTGACATCTTTTTTGCATCATTTTAGCATCTGGTGTGACCCAAAGTAGTCAACAAGACACTGGTAAAACAAAGAAACCTAAGAAAGGAACTCCTGGCCTAAATAACTCAGTAAGCGTTCAAAAAATTTAATCTTTAGAAATGTAGCTTTCCAAATCATCTTTTGAAATGCTTTGTCATTTTACTTTCTTGGAGAGGTCTGTGTAATGACATATAGGAGTTTCCCAGTTTTTATCAATCTGGGGGAGTAGCAGGGAGTTTCAATAGAAAGATCAAATTGCTCAATAGAAAGAACAAATTGCTCAATTGACATATTATTCAGTTTCATATTCACATAACTTGTCCCTTTATCTTTGCAGAGAGAAAGGCGGGGATCTCAAGAGAGCTGTAAGACACATCTTATCTTTGAAAATTTCTCTTTGTTATTGTAACAAAGCTTTGGAAATGGGAAATGTTTCTATATGCTGCCAATCTGCAGATGATGCAAAAATTATGCCTGTAGAGTTATGTAGAATTAAAAATTATTACAGATACATTGTCTTTTGTTCTCATGGATAGGACGCTCTTCATTTGGAACTCAATATAGTTCTAACTCTTTATATCTTCTGATGAATCTGAAACCAATTTTAATCACTTGAAGAGTCCCGATTTTTCACCATGGCGGTAATTATTCAGGGTTTTTGTCAGAAAGGGAGTAATATTTTCCCGCAAAGGCTTATAAGGGATTTTTGTTAGTGCTCATATGAAAATTCAGACCAATCAGCAAAATCTAAAATGGATGGATGTCATTTGTTTTCTGTTTCTAGTGTCAATTTTTTCTTATGACATATTTTTTGTAGTACTCCACAATGAAGAGAAAAAAGAAAATCCTAAACTTTCCAGAGCAAGGGAACGCACAAGGGCCCGTTTTGAATCCTTGCTTCAAGCTGCAGCTCAAGAAGGGTTGTAAGTTTCCTAAAACAACTTATAATGAGTCATATGTAACTAAATATTTCAGTTATACAATATGGCTGCTATGTCAGGGACAACATCTTCTTGATTCAGGTGTTGGAACTAAAAGTCTTTAGGAAAAATACAGAAATGAAAGGCCGGGGATGGAAACATGAACATATGTGTTTCTTTATCTAGTTTGGATGAAAGATGCAGATTGAAAGATATACTTGGTAAACAGTGATGAAATTACCAGTATGGTATTTGATTAATCTAGAATGTATGCTACAAAATTTAGTTATTCAAAGGTGTTTTACCATAGGACTGAGGAAGCTGAAAAGGCGAAGAGAAAGAAGAAGAGAACCAAAACTGCTGACTCCTTGGTAAATATATTTGGTCAATCATTATTTGATCAGTCATGGCTGACTGCAAAAAACTTTGTCCTTGTCTATCTTTGTCATTGTTATGCTATCACAGTGGCCTATTTAGAGCCTTTATATGGGCATTGTTTTTGCGAAAGAATTGAACTCATTGCTTCTAACAGTCTTTTATACCATTTTAACTGGGTTGCAATAGATTTTAATTGTTATCTCGTACTTTCTAAAGTTTAGAAACTGCCTTTTTTGTTTTAAGCTTTCAGAGCTTAAGTCTGGAGCTCCATATGTGAAAGAGAGGTCAAAATCTGAAGAGAGATTGTTGGAAGGTAACCTTTATAAAGAAGGTAAATAGACAATCTGGGTCATTCTTTTAACACTGATGTCTCTTATCATGTGACTATTGCCAGTTTTAAATGGGAAACAAATAAAAAGCTTTTTTCAAAAATTGTCTGCATTTTTCAAACTAAATAAGTTAACTTGAGTTTTCAGTCTTCTTTGTTTCTGTCATGATTTTGTATGCGCACCTAAAGTTGTTGAAATTCTCTTTATTCACAATATCTTTTGTTTTGTATCAATTGAAAGGAATTTGGTACTGTTTGAAGCTCTGTCTAATCAATGTGACCTTTAGCTATATAGCTTCAATCAAGACTCTTTGTAAAATCCTTGGATTCCTTTTTAATTGAAGACACTACTCCAAAATTCAAGAAAAAGAAAGCTAAAGAGATTTTGCAAGAAGAAACAAATAAAGACCAGCTCCAACTGCCTTTAGAAAAAGAAGATCAACAAAGTAACGTTAAAGGAAAACGGAAGTCAAAGAAAAAATTAAACAAGTATGCATGACAATTTATTTTTGGGTCCTTTAAGCAAGTTACTGTTGCGGGGTGGGTTCGCGAAGAAAAAGGGATGTAGTTTAAGAAAAATTGTTTTAGAAATCAAAGCCCATTGCTGGCAGCTATTGTGAAACTAAATTGTCATGAACATTCACATATGTGGTTTTATGAATTTCTACGAAAGGTTTATCATGAAAATTTTTTCAAACCATTTCCCTGTATTTTCCGGAAATTGCCTTTTAAAAATAACTTTTGACATCTCTAGGTGATCATTGCATAAAATTAGACAGGCGTTTCACAGGAGCTACTATCTTTTATTTTAGGCAATTTCTCATTAGAATCCTTTTAAGACAATTTAGCTTGAATATTGTTTTATAAACTAACTCAAATCTGCTTTTGCTATAAATTTGTATAATTTTGCTACAAAAGGGAATTTTTGAGATCTATTAAAAAAACATGTTTATCATCGATTCCAAAAAGGGTGTTTTGGAACAGCCCTGTGTATCTAGGATGTTGCATGTCTATATAATTAATTTTAAGTTCGCATTTAGACCATGCGTTTGTATTTAGGCTATTCTTGTGAAATTTTTGAGTTGGTGTTTAAGACATGCCACTTTTCTTTAAATTTTAGCAGCATACAATGATCATGTTTTCAACCTATGATTGTTTCACCAAGTCTAGCTTTAAGTTGTTGTGCAACAAGACAAATATGGTAAACTCTTTCTACGAAACTTTATAAAACTTTAATACTTCAGGAAAACTCTGGAAGATGATGTAGCTGATAATGTTACTGAAGACGATGTTGGAAAAGAAAACGTTGGCTATGATCAAAGCCCTGTGAAGGATGAGGAGCCTGTAAGTATTCATTAATATTCATTTACACTGTAAGAACACATGAATTGGAAAAAACAGGTAAATTGTAAGGGATTCTTAGCTCACCGATTTCAATGGGTGACGATGGTTTACAATAGGTTACGCCAGGTTATAGTTGTTTTAAATAGGCTAAAGGGGAATAGAATAAAAATTAAGCAATAAAACTTATTTATGGAAAGTTCTTCAAAAATGAATGGTCAGCTTTAGGTATTAAGAATTCTAAATATGTTAGCTACAATGGGTTGCAGTGGTTATGAATAAGCATCATAAACTTATGCATGCAAATTGTTAAATTTCCTTGGTTCTTGATCCTACTGTAATATCAGAGTGTATTGGCATTGAATAAACTGTTCTGGTTTCACAAATGTCTGTATGCTTTATCCTATTTCCACAAAAATGTGTCTCGTATTCATAGTTTTTAAATGGGATGACAAGGCAGACATCGAGTTGGCTATGTATTGACACTCTTAATTTTGCTATCGACATAATTGTTATTGCAATCTTCTTAAAAGCTTTCAGAAAATTGGCTCTTTGCATTTTGCAAAAATTCAAAAATTTGCATTTTTGATAGTTCGCTCAATTTTATAGGATAAAGTTATCACAACCACAAAAAAGAAGAAGCAAAAAAGACAGAATACAGGTTTGATATTATCATAATATGTGCCAATGTGTTCTAAGGACTGTCATTAAACTCTTTGTCGACTGCAATGTTTACTAAAGGACAAAATAGGCTTCAGGAATTCAGGAATTAAGACCTCTTATACCTGAACTCCTTGCCTGAGACAGTTTTTCCAATTGCTGTTCTTTTTGAACTTCCGTTTGAGAAAATTGAAAATATTTGGTTGCAAAATCCAACTTGCTATCTGCCTCTTTATTTAGTAGCTGACATTGTAACATTTCATATTTTTCGAAATTTTTTTTATTTTCCTAGCTGCAAAGCTATTTTTAGAAATCTATAGTAGTCTTATTGATTTGTTCTCAGAAAATTTGGCTAATTCTTAGAAAACCTTTACTTGTTTTTTTCAGAGCCTGCTGGTGAAAAGATTGAAAGGGCACTTGAAAGAAAAAGAAGGGATGATGGTATTATTTCATATTTATAAAATATTTTGCTTTAGAAATAGTTTTTAATGGCTGTCTGTATTTTGACTTAATTCTCACATAATATTTATCCTAAAGTGTTGCAGACTTCTTTCAATACTCAACCAACTGATTAAACGCTATTATCAGGTCTCGTTGTAAAGAGAAAGGACTCATTGTGACCATTGTCTATTGGGTCACGTTTCTGCTGTGGACTTACCTTGTCCTTCTTCTTCAACTTTCTCTTTTTCTTCTTCTTTTTCTTTACCCTTAGTTTTCTTTTCTTTTCCATCTTCTGTTTTTGCTTGCATTTGTTTTTCGCTGAGTTTCGCATATATATTTCTCCATTTTGCTTTTTTGTAATACCACTTCTGCTGCCCTTTTTCATTTTCTAACACGACGATTTACCACTGCTTTCTGATAATTTTAGGTTATTTGCTGAGCATACAGATCCACAAAGCCGACAGATTAAAGCCTGATATCGATGTTGTTCACCCCTGTATCCGTGTTCATGTTATTGACACAAGCACTGGACAATATGTTAAGAAAAGTGACAGGCAAGCTATTGCAGTCTATTTATGCCTTATATTCTATAATGTAAATAAGTTGTATAATAATAAAGATTGGCAGGTCTTAGATGTAAGAGAACTTTAAGGTCTTCAAAGTGTTTATTCTACAACTGTCTTACATAGGTTTGGTATTTTTATTCTCTTTTTTCTATGGCACCAGGTGTTTAAAGTGACGTAACAAACTTAAATTTTGTGCATACCCGAATAAGTTTTTTAGGTAAAAAATTTCGTACATTGATTTATAACCTGTTCAAATGACTTGACCTAGCAAAACATTGGCACAAAATATGTCAGTAGCCAGCTATTCATTTTCAAGCTACAATCTTTTTTATTCAGCAGTGAAATATTTTGACTTTTTCGATGTTTGCAATCTTAGGGGCCGAAATGTTGCTTCATTCTTCGAAGACAAAAACGATGCTGTTGACTATATTATGCCAATGATGACGCAGCCATTCGACTTTAGAAAGAAGAAGTAAGCAAATTCCTTTTCCTTTGGCAAAAATCTTGCAAATTTTTTAACAGTAAAATAAAATAAAATATCCTTGTAAAATATTCGTTCATTACCAACTGGAACTGAAAAATATCTTTTTACGAACTGAAAATAACTTAAATGCCTGATCAAAGGGGCCTACTTATGACCAATGCCTTGAAATATGGTATAAGAAAATGCTCTCTAGTTCATTGATTGATTATTTTGGGTTTCTTACCAGGATGTGCCACTGTGCAAGTTATTGAAATGCTTAGTCGAAACTTCTTGTTACACAATTATGTTCTTTCGTATCACTTTTCTGCCCGAAAAGGCAGTACGCCCAGAATATTTTTATGCTTAGCCAAGTTTATAATATAGTCAGAACTATTTACTCTTGTGTCTTGGCGGGTAATTTTTTAATGTTTTAAATTTCAGATCAATGCTACCCTGCTGGGAAGAGACACTCATTTACAATGAAATTTACTCGTACTTTCTCCAGAGAGAAGAAGGGGATCCCGAAGTCATGATCTTCTTTGAGGCATGCTTATTTGATCTAAATAGATATCCGTTGGCTTGAAAACATTACAACTATTGCTAACCTAGAGAGTCAAAATAGTTGCAGATATAATGTTGTAACTAGAGTTGCTTTCAGGCGAAGATTTTTCCCGAAGTATACCTCCATCATTTCTCAGTTCAATCTAAAACCTTTCCACATTGTTTTTAAGAATCTAATTGTATAGTTATTTTTAGTTTTACGAGTTTAAATTCTGATCTTGTCCACCTGGGCGTATTATCTGGACGTATAAAAAGTTTGATTATTAAGAATGTTATTCCTTTAGCTGGAAATCTTTGAACGGAATAACGAACCATTAAAGAAACTGTATTTACTTTCTTTGCCTAGTATTTTATTGCCAAAACTTTAACTTTTGTTATTTTGATAACATTATTTGCAGATAGTTGACTTTTTGAGTATGTCGTCTGTCGTAAGAGGAAATACACAAGGCAGAGAGCAAGGATGGTATAAAATTGCATGGGCGTTTCTTAAGGTATCTGTGTGTTGAATTTTTGACGTTTAAGTAGAGATTTAAAATGCTTGAACTGAAAAAGTTTTACATAAATGCTTTTGATGTTGCGTAATCGGAATCATTCATAATTGCGATGAAAAGCTCTTAATAAATTATATAGAAATGTTTTAAGGAAAGCTGACCGATTTTTTTAAAGACTTTTTTGCAGTAAATATAATTTAAATCTTACAAAGTTTGTTGAAATGTTGACATTTTACGCTTAAACATTTTACACATGTATACATTATTCTCTCCTTTGTACTCATTGTATTTCTTGGTAAAGATAAATAAACTGTAGAATAAATTAAAATTTCGTAGTTTTTTAAGTTTGTCTCTGACGTGTGCTTCTAGGTTGTCAGCACAAATGGTTCTCCAAACACCGACAGAAAAGTACGTCTCCAATTGTACCATCGACCAACAAGGCTAAGAGCCAGAAATCCAATCCCAGGAGCTCTCGAGGTCAGTAATGTGTACATAATCATTTTATACAAGGAGCCATTGTTTAGACATTTACGAAGGATGGAGCAGTGATAGTCTGACACGATAATTAACGGGCTAATTAAAGGCTGTCATAAATGTCGGGAATTCTAAGTATTGAACGCCGAGGGAATGGAATTGTTTAAAGTGTACTCGAAATGATCAAAGATTGAGAAACAACTTTTATTTGGGGGGGGGGGTCTAGCCTTGATAAATAAGTGTAGCAACAGCCCTAATTTAGAAAATAAAAGTATTTCACTTATGCTACTTAAAGTTTTTTGTGGGGCCAAGTTTTTTGTGGTCTTTGGCAATGATAGTCGTGGGAAAACTGGAAAGAGGTATGGAGAGAAGTATAATACGGGTGTAAGAAAAGTAAAAAGAAATTTAGTATAAGAGTATAATACGAATAGAAAATATGAATATGCAAGAAGTTTGTATAATACGAATATTATATTAGGTATAGAAAAGTGTAATATCAATAAAAAAGTGGCAAGTAAAATGAAGAAATGTTATGCGAGATTAAAATTGAGTAATGTCGCCATTGTTCTGTGGGGGAGATGAGAATGGCTGATTATGACTTTTCAAACTGACGGCAATGTTCCAAGACTTTTGGCAGGCATTAAAGCATTAAAGTGTTATGTGCAAAGAGCATAAAAGTTTGTTAATTTTGAAGCGTTTTTTTTAAAAAATGACTTTATTTTAGATTTTCAGTTGGTGGCAGTCAACCGAACGTGTGCCATATCCCTCGACTCTTTATGTGACAGTGAAAGGCATTCGCCCCCCTGAGAGCATAGATGCTGCAGCAAGGTCGATGTTTCCAATTCAAGAGGTACATGTCTTCATTTTAGGATTTCACAAGATGTCTTTGCTGGCTGTTTTATGCGTAATTGACGGGGGGGGGGGGGCAGAATGTTTTGAAAGTCCTGTAAGTAATAATGCGCTCCCCGGTTTCGCAGGTTACTATGATCTACATCAAAGTCAGTCAATATTGACTCATTTTGTTGAAAACCTGTTCTGGGGCGGGTGTTGAGTGGTAGAACATTACCTGGTTTAGGTTAGTAAAGCACAATATGGAGCATCAATAGACCAGAGGGTGGAAGGGGACCACCACCACCCGAGCGGAGAATTTATGAGATCAATCTATTCTAGATCAGTTTTTCGTGTAGATTCCGAATTTGGGTGTTGATCCCCCGTTTTAGGGGGCTTTTCGGAGATATAGGGGGTCTAAAGTCCGATTTTAGGGCTAATACAAATGTCAATAAAATATAGACAGGTCAGTTCTTTGATGATATCTATGCTTGTTGACTCTCATTTGGAAGTGAGGGGGCCATAGAAAACGAAACAGGAGTACAAAATACTGTAAATTCCACGAAAAACTGATTTTTCGCAACTGAATGGAGTACTGTAGCATGATCACATAGGGAAATGGCTGTTTGTACTCACCAGAAATGTCGCTTTCTCAGACATGTGTAATGACTGATATGGAGATTTTCTTATAACTACAGCTTTATTGCTATGGATCAGAAAGGAAATGAGGCCCAAAAGCAAATCTTTATGAGAAGTACTTTAACACATGGTTTTGTGTCATAACCTAGGAATGTAACTTGTGTACTTCACAGCCTTAAACGATAATTACCTGTTAACATTGAAGACCAGTGAGGGTGTAAAAGTGTATAGGTTTGGATTTTCTTTCAAATGACCTAAAAACTGCAATTTCATTGCTTACAAATTCATTATCATTTTCAATGTTCTGTGATTAGAGCAAGAGTAAACTATGAAAGTAGTTAGAATATATGGCAAACAGAAAAAGAAGATGAGCTGTTCATTGCACTCATTTAGTCATTGAAGATCAGATCCCTTTCCCTTTAACGATATCGCCAGTGTTACCTGAACTTTACGAAGGCCGTATCTGTCTTTGCAAACAAAACGCAAAAGGGGAAGAAAGTAAGCAAAAAGGCATCTCCTTAAAAAAGAAAACAGTGACGAAAGCAAGCGCCTAATAACAAGGGCCTATCAATGTTAATAAGGGGAAGAAGCAACAATTGAAACTTATATAAACTTTCATCATGCCGAACTCTGCAAAAAGCTCCAGCATTAAAAGAGGGTAAAGCTTTCCTGGTATAATAAGTACACAGTATTTTGTAGTAAGAAGTCAACTACCCTTACTTCTACAGCTGTCCACGATCCCACTAACGAAGTTCTTGAAACAAGCGAAGAACAGTGTAAGCTGACTCTTTCCTGTGTTCATATATAACAAATCATGAACCGATCCGTCGCAATGAAGACTTTAACTGGAATGTATTGTTTCATTAACGAGAACAGCAGACTAAGTTAAAAAGGGGTTAGAAGCCGAGTTCGGTGATAGTATCCCCTTCCTCGCTGTCTCGTGAAGCTCAGGTCCTTAGAAGTATGAGGCACATATAAATACCACAGTTACCAGCCTTATGAAGAACAGAAAAGAGGAGATAGGCAATTTGCTTTGTTGTTGATTTGGTTGCCACCATTCGATCTACAGTTAGAATACCGGACACTTTCAGGAGGCTTGCAACAAAGTTGCTGAATGAATTACGGACACAATACAACTGTGTATATATTGCATTCGAACATGCCGATTGGTTCATCAAGAATGCAGAGAACCATTTCTTCATCAAATCGCCAAACAAAAAAATTCCTCCTAAAACTTCGTTGCGTTTCTGAGGAAAAGACAGAATAAAGAGCGGTTGTTTGAGTTGGTTAAAGAAGTCTGGGTTCGTCAAGGCTGTCATTTAGGGAACAGAGTGATCAATCTTTCTCGCAAAGAAAAAATATATATAGATATCGCTGCATAAATATCACTAGCTTAAGTTTGCTTCCTTCTGCATCATGCTCTCCAACAAAACGAAGGTCGAGAAACGATTTGCGTTCTTGTTTTGGAGATATATAATATATTAACATCCCTGTTATCTTGCTTGCTAGGCAGGAACCTCATTTCTAAATATTTATTGATAGTGGGACAGGTAAAAATAGAAAAATCTTCGCTCTAGCTGCTTGTGAATTATTGGCCTTTCAAAAAGAAGCCCCGCTTGGCTTGCATGCATTTAGTGAAAATGACTATATTTCGTTATTTTCATGTACGAAGAGTGTGTACATGAAGTGGGGCTGCTCGATGTCCGGGAACGCAGGTAGGTAGATGGATAGATAGGTAGGTATGTAGCTAGGTAAATAGGTAGGTAGAAAGAGAGATAGGGAGGTAGGTAGGTAAGTAGATAGGGAGGAAGGTAGAAAGGGAGGTAGGTAGGTAGGTATTTTTTAGAAAAAGTTGGAAGCTTATGCAAGGCACAAAAGCATTCGTCACAACTTTCGCAAAGCTAGGGGCATCAAGTAATCCTATAAATTATGTAATTGGGGGTATTGAAAGGTTTACGTGTGCGTTGTTTGGAGAAAAGATATTATCGTCTGTTCATGATATTCAACGGAAAAATTTTTGGAGAAATTTTTCAAGGGGTCAAAAATCACAGACTTCTCTTTGCAGCCACCATGCAAAAACAGCCTTTTAAGATACATCAAGCGTTGCAAATTACATTGCACATATGTGCAGACAAGTCTCTCAACCAATGATAATAGAGCAAGAAGGCTCAAGTACACCACGTGTGGAAAGGTGACTTTTCTAATTCTGTTTAATGAATTTTTTTCGCAAAATCCAGAGGATGTTCGAAACTACTAGTGGAGGCTGACGATCTTGTAGAAGTGGAAGACTTTAAGAAGAGACATTGATATATTTGAGGATAAGGATGAAGATGAATAATTTTTGGGTAGACTTGATAGTATTCAAATATATTGTAACAGTTATGTTTTCTTTGGAGAAAATTTAATTTTTTACACCTACCTTAACCCCCTAAATTCTAAATATAGAAAAACACTTTCAAATATCAGCCAACAATCATAGATATAGTCAAAGAACATATCTATCTTTATCTTATTGAAATTTATTGAGGAAACCAAATTTGTAGCAATTAACCCCAAAATTTGTCTTTAGACCCCCCATATCTCGGGAAAGCCCCCTTAAACCGTTGATCAACACCCAAATTCGAAATCTACGCAAAAAACTGAACCAGAATAAATTGGTCCCATAAATTCTCCGTTCGGGTGGTGGTGCTCCCCTTCCACCCTCTGGTCTACAAGGTTTTAGATGAAAATTAAGGAAAATGCAAAACTTGTTTTTTTTTAAATTTTCCTAAAACGCTTACATCTGTGAAACATTTGTTGCTTTAAATCTAAGATTGGTAGTGATAAGAATTTGACTAAGCAAGATTGTTCATTAAGAAAAAGCTGCATTCTAGGTGACAGTTATATAAAAACGGGGCATAAACTGTTTGTTTTTCCAGTGGGTGCATTGCTACGTGTTGCTAATGAAACGGAGGTGCATTGTAACTTGCAAGATATTTGCAACTTGAGGCAAAGTCTTTATGCAAGTAGTTCTGTCATTGCATCGAAGAAGGCTATTGTACAAATATTCGGGATTTATCTTTCATCACATATTCATTCTTTATTTATTTTGTGTAAACTAGTGGTGCTCTGTAAAGATTTTCAAAAGCTCTTGAGAGTCGTCTTCACGAAACCTTGTTTTTGTTTAAACCAAAACGTATGTTTATATAATGAATGATCAAGAATGTTAAATGGTTTTTTTAGGAGCGTGGCACTCTTACATACGAGCAACTTAATGACACATTGGATGGCATCAACGCCCGTAAAAGGTTTATTGAACTTTGCTCTCTTCAATGCGATATACAATTTGTTTCATTGATCTTTTCCTGTGACATTAGCTTTTATCGACTGTTGATTGAAGCGATTGCTTTTACTTTGGGAATCTGCAAATGGCAATCTGTGAGGTGGATGTCTGAATCTATGGGCCAAAGCACCGAATATGTTGTGTTGTGTTTTGGCTAACTTATGCCAGCCATTCTGTTATTTGCTGTACTACCCTATATCACAACTTAACTGCCCCATCACTCCTCGTCGTATGTGGGTTTCACCGTAGTTTATGATTTGGATGGTTAATTCTGCTGTGTCTCTTGCATGTTCCTCTTCTTACATCAAAGCCCATTTGTATCCATGCGATTTGCTTTAAACTGCATTTCATTTTTATAGCATCAACAGTGGTTCCTTTTGCATCAAAATTGTAGATACATAGTAGTTATCAAAGATTTGAAATCCTCTTCTAGGGAATCACTTAGCACAGATAAGAAGCATATCTGGAATCGACTTCCGGGACAGGCGAATAGAATTCCCAATAAACTGACTTTGATTCTACCAACTGGGAGAAGAGGATGTTCTGTAGCCAGGTTTTCTCCCGATGGAAGGTTAGTTAGGTTTTTGTCTCAAACTGGCATTCTTTTATGAAAATCTTTAATCCTTTCTTGGCTAAGTGAAAATATGTTTATATTTCATAGTTTCCGAAGGTAGGCTTTAGGACACTGAGAAGCTGAGATTATCGAGCAGTGTGCTGGTTTTTCCTCGCGATATGAAAACAGCATGCTTTTAAGAATGAATCGACTTATGGATTATGATACTGTTGTTAAAATTTATTTTTTAAACGTTTTCAAGCTTCACTCTTTTTTCCCTCTCAGAAATTCTATTTGTTTGCAAAGATAATATTGGTGCATTTCGAAGTATCCTGAAGTAAAGAGAGTGCTAGACCAACCAGTTGCCTCTTCAATTTGTTTTATCATTTTGCTTTGTTTCAGGAACCTTGCTTGTGCATGCAGCAACGCCAATGGATTTCCTATTCTCGTTTATGCGGTAACTGGCAAATTTCTTCTTTTTTAACGTATCTCGTTTTTTTGATTCAAGATACCATCTTTTCACTTTATTTTCAACTATAGTCCATTTAAACAAGGACTGTTTATGTTTTAGCTGAGGTGGACCGGACCTTTCGAGTTTTTTTTTAATAATACTAACAAGTAGAACACGCTAGGCAAGTTGACTAAAATAATTGAAGAAACTTCTAGAGTTAGCCTTACGTAAGATTTTGTAACTTGCTTATTCCAGATTGTATTCCTGCACACGTGATGTTGTACGAGTATATTCTAGAAATTTCTTGTTGAACAGTATATAAGGGTAGAGTAGCTTGCTGTAGGATTCGATTTTAAGTTAAGGATCTATTATGTGAAATTCGATGGATACATAAACACGACGCATTGTTGATTTCTTTGGAGAATAACTATACGGGCCTAAGCTGGAAAACGTACCTTATCATAGCGTTGAAAGAGACGCACATTGTTTGTGAATCTATTCAGATTGTTACAGAGTATATACATTTTCACCAACGCGGCCTTGGATTCCCCACAGTACCTCGTTTTTGTAATTCAAGATACCATCTTTTCATTGTATTTTCAATGCCAACAAGATTTCATATAAACAAAGACTGTTTGTGGTTTAGCTCTCTAAAATAAGAACAAGGGTTTTCCTTGTACATGTTAACTTTAATTTTGTATTAGGCCTTGATTAGCTGCAAATAAGCCAGTTTATTAGCAGCCTACTGTAAATACATTGATAATAATAATAATAATAAGAATTTGAAGATTTTCTTTAAACCCCCCCCGCTGAGCCCACCTGCTAGAGCTCTTGTATGTTCACCATTATCCATTAGCAATTATTTGATGGTTGAAACACTGAAATTACCATAATTTGAAAGCATTGCAGCGAGAAAAATTGAAAAATTTTATTCCAGTAGCTAGCAAGCTATTAAAAGTTGATAGAAATTGTCCTCGTTTTAAAGATAAAAAATCTTCTAGGACGCTTTGTTTTTCTGCTCTCTTGTGACTCTGAAATGAACGTAACAAATTCCCTCTGGTGTTTCTAGATTCCCTCTGGATCGCTTCAAGGTGAACTTACGGGGCATTTTGGGATAATTTATGACATGTCTTGGTCAGCTGATGGCAAGGAGCTTCTTACATCTTCATCTGATGGCACAGTCAGGTACATGTGTTGCTTCTTCATTGCCAGTCTGTCTTTTATTTGGCTTCATTCAACAGAATATTTATCTGTTATGCAATCATGAGTACTGGTGTTTATTAACTTTCCGAGTTCCGTCACCTTTAACAAAAAAAGGGGCAGCACTTATATACCGAGTTTGGACGCAATATTCCTTTCCGGATCAAGCCAATCCGGACACAAATGAAGGTTCCAATCTAGAGAACTGAAGAAAATCAAGCATACGGTGACAATTTTTGGAATAATAAAGAATGTATTAAACAAAGAGCTGGTTTGCAGTTGGAAACTTGATAGCAAAAAAATTGAATCTACTTCGCCTGTCCGAATATTAGAGATTTGAAAATTCTTGGTTTTTCGTCATTTTGTCGTTTATATTTTCTTTTTTCTAAGTAGTAATTGCGAAATCATTTTAATGGATTATAAGCTCTCTTGAACGATGCTTGCATTCTCTGTTTAAGTAGATAGAGTGTTCATTTTAATAAAATTGTCTCCTCGAACGGGTATATGCCGAGAAATTTTAGAAAGGGTTAACTTTGTGTCAATGTTGTAGTTTTTTCTCGTCTTAATGAGATTCATGATCTATAAGCAACAAGTACTAACCTTTTTGTTGTGATCTTCAACTTTATACATGCACGTGCGGCATTTGTAACATCGATCCGTCATATTGCAGAAGTTGGGATGTCAAACATTTCATCAACAATGCAATCAAAGTATACCCTCACCCATCGTTTGTATACACGGCAAAGCACCATCCAACTCAACAGAGCCTTATTGTAAGTGGCGGGTATGACAAGGTCCTTAGAATATGGACTAAAGCGTCTGATGGTCTTCATGGAAAAGTTAGTTCTCTTTCATTTATAAATTAAACTACTACGATTTAACTTGAGTTTAAACTTCGGGAAGAGCTTGATTACAATATTTGTAAATAACGCAGTTTCATGTCTATCCGTGAGAAATGTTTGCTGTTAGAAGGTAGAACGTGTAATTCTTGATAATTTCGACCATTTCCCCTCTTTTGGTGAAAGTTTTTTAGGTTTCCAATTTCTGTTTATTTTAGACTGTATCTTTAGAATTTTGTAAATTTCAAATTATGCTCTTGTGAAAAGCGATTTAAGTTTCTTGTCTTTAGTCAAGTTGTTATTATTTGACAGCGTCTGCATTTTCAACGTACAAAGTATTTGCAAAGATTTGAAGCTAACAGTTACTTTTTTCATGGATATAGTTCCATTGTAAACCTATTTCTGTGTTTTTTGTCAATTGCGATTCTTTTCGATATTAAGCATAGATAAAATCTATTTTTAGCTTCTTCGTGAGATGACAGGACATAGCGGACTTGTAAACAGTATCATATTCCAGCCATCAGGTACTTTGCATTGAAAACTATCATCATTGCTATAAATCCAACAATCAACGATTTATTAAAGAAACTCATTCTTTCATTATAATTAGTACCAATTTTCACGGTGTTACTGATTTCCGATGCTATGTAACCTGCTGGTTCATCTTGGCGCTGTCTCATCTTTCTGCTAGCGTGGCTGTCTCTCAGTCTTCTGAAGTTAAGACTACTTGCTGAATCGTGTGGTCTTATTGCTTTCTACTCTCTCCATTCAGCTGTTGATTAAAGCAACTTTTGTGTTTTGAAAATGCTCATGTTTCTGTAAGAAATACTTTTCTTTTGAGTTATCAACCATCATGAATCTTCAAAAATCAAATTATCGATTCTTAGGTATCAAGTCTAGGTGGCTGTCTCTCCATGCTCGTATTTTAAATTTTACATCGATTTTGCGTTGAAAGAGCTAGGCCTATATTTTTTATGCGTAAGAATAGTTCTTAGGTAGTCTCACTGGTGACTGCTGGTTTGACCATGTTTGCTGTCATTTGAAGCCTTAACACTAGGAAAAATGCTGGAAAGTGCATAATATTTAAAGGTTATTGTACATACGAACAAATGTACCCTCGACACCAACTCAATTGCCGCTTCTAACTTGGAGGCTGCAGTTCGCTCGAAAATAGTTTTTTAGTTGATGCAGATATTGTAAATGATTTATTGCACGCTAAGCGTATTTCGACAACAATATATCAGCACTACCATCAAGTTAGTGTCATATTATTAAATTTAAAATTATCTAGAAAGCGCTATTCTTTAGAAAATTGATATAATTCATACGAAAATAGACGCAAAGCGATCATACTGCAAAGACAATACAGAAATTGTCCCGAAAGTTTGAAGACACTATTTCCCGTCATTCAACGCTTCAGATTTACCAATAGGCTTTGCAGCGAGTTTTTGATCGAGAAAACATTGAGAATTAGCCGATTGGATACGTAACAATAGGTCTATTGTATAGTCCAACCAATGGGAAATTAAATGGGCGGCGAAATGCGTCGCGATATAGTGCATTGAAGTTGTTCCTGCGTTAACGACCTTTTCTACACCTGACGCCCTCACACGGATCTTAAAAACGAAGTCTGCTTACATTATTTACTTTAATCTTACAAAGTCTTACGATGATTGCAGTATATAATTAAGTGAAGTCCATCTTTTCCCACGAGCTATACATTAATATACGATCTATGCAAATCAGTATGAATTTACGAATGTGAACTATCGATCTTAATTCGTTGCCAAGGTGACCACATGTATTCTGGCGACAGCATTGGTGTTATCATCATCTGGAAATCGTCACTTCCTGGCTCAAGCGGGAAAAGAAAATCACGTGATCTTGCTGCAGATGGTAGGCTGACTTTTTGGATATGTTAGCTAAATTTACCTTTTATGTTTTAAAACAGTAATATTTCTACATTAAATTCATTTAAATTTGTATTGTAAGTTATGAATTCGGACAATGATTTCATAATCATTGTATTCAGATAGTTAGATATTATGATACTTTTTACATTAAGCTTAATCTAATTTGTTTCATTGTGACTAATATAATAAAAGGTAATCGTGATTTTCTTTGTTTATTTACATATTACAACCAGTTGCTTTTAATTTGAACCTTTTTTCTGTTTTGCAGAAGATGGTATAAAAGGCTGGAGAATTTTACAAACTATCAAACTAGAGGAAATCAAAGTACGTCATTTTTCTTCATTTCTTCTGAAGCTATTTTTGATCATTTATAATCATATTTTTATTATTCAAAGTTAGCCCTATCATGTGGTTTTCTAATCGAATTTCAATTTTTTGGGTTGATGAAGAAAGTCTCTTATCACAATTGCTTTTAAAACAACTGGATATTTTTGGTGAGAATATCTCCCTGCAAGAGATCTTTTTAATCTTTGAGAAAAGTCCCTATGTTCTGTACTATCGGCAGAAGGAGCAAGCTTAACTTTAATGTTAAAGGTTGTGAGCTAATAACCAGATTTGGTCCGCGGTTTACTCCCTCCTCTTTTTCCCATCCAATAGCAAATAGGTAGCCAATTACAACACTTCAGAGGCTGAAAACAACAAGAAAAGTGTTTTGTACTGTACCATATCATTTTGTTGACCAATAGAAAGTACTCTCTCTGACAGGCACATATCTGAAAAAAGTTTTTCATCCTGAAATTCTTTTCTTCGATGTATTAATGCATCTATTTCAATAACGATTCAACTCTTCTTGCAGAGTACCCCAATCAACTCTCTAACGTTGCATCCAAATGGAAGGAAATTGCTGGTTCACGCAAGAGATGCTTTTATCCGCATGCTTGATCTCAGAAGGTACATGAATATGCATTGAAAATATGCATTTTCCCATCGCATTTTTACCACAAAGTGCACCACAAAGTAAAATATGTTCGATTACCCTGATAAGGGGACTTGTATGTACTATTTGTTGAACTAGCCATCATGGTGGATAAATGAGGAATAAATACGTGATACTTTACGCCATTTTATAATATCATGCGAACGAATAAAAGAACACGAGGTAAGATCACAGGGTTCCAAAGTTACATGGCCCAGTCCTCCTAACAACAACAAAATTTGTAACTATCGTTAAAAACTAAAGTTTAATACTTAACACTATTTATGTACCGCGAAGAAAACCAGGGTTGGATGCATTTTGGAAATTTTTAATGGGAAATGTTTTACTTTGAAGATCTCCAGAATTATTTCTCTTTATCATTATATCTTTTCTATAAGTATCCAGACGCCACCGTATTCAGTTCTTTACTTCTTATTGTAGAAAGCCAAACTGTGATAACATTTCATCTAGTTGTCTTTTAACAATATACCACAAAGTCTTCTTCTCTTTCGCCAATACTCAACCTCCTTTTAGAGTTGACTCTCCTATAATATTTCCACTCAAAATATCAGAATTAATCTCTTTATTCTTTCTATGTTGTTACATTTTAAACTCATTTGCATCTTCTCTTTGTTTATCTTTTCCACTTATTTTCCTTATACAATTGTTTTTGTTATCGTTTGAAAAAATATTCCTGCTCTACACACTGGAAAGGTTTTAAAACAAACATTTAATCGTCTCTTATAGTTCAGCTGTTATGAAAAGATATCTTGGTGCGTTGAACCAGAAAGAACACATAAGAAGCACTACGTCGTGTTGTGGTACTTTTGTTATTGCTGGTTCAGAAGATGGTACAGCTCATGTTTGGAACAGCGAAACAGGTACCTAATTATGGTTGAAATCAATTGCTTTTTCATATTTTTCTGTTATTCTGATATATTACGAATTTGAAGTTGTTTAATTCATAAGCATTTCTGCTGTTTGATATCATGATTTTGCACTGAAGGATCATGAAATTTCAGTAGATTTTGCTCTATTGTTGCAGGATTAGAGAAAGATGAACATTCTCCCATATTTTCTAGAATATTTTATGTTAATCAACATCTCACTTTTTTAAAGTTTTTGAGTATTTCTGCTACAGTCTACCTCGATCGTAAAAACCTTTTGTTTTGCCACAATCTCAAAGTGCCGTATTTTATATGCTAACATTTAGTAGGTCTTTTCGATTTCCAATTATTCTGCCTCTCCCTTCTCTACTTTTGCGTAAATGTCTCTAACGGCTATGCCATATTTCAGAATCATTGCATTAGCATACTCTAAACAATACAGAACTGCGCTCACCCTTAATACCAAATTTATGCATGCCGCAAAACAACACATTGCAAAATGGGTTTGATTCTTATGCCGTTTTTTTCCTTAGCTGATCCAGTATTCGAATACACGGACCTTGGTTTTACAAATGCTGTTTGTGATGTTGACTTTCACCCAAAGGAAAACATGATAGTCTTTTGTTCGTTTGGTGCTGGACATCCCGTTCTTGTTTATATCTTTGACTTAGAAGGTATGATACTGTTTGTACCATAGGAATTATCCAAGTTACAGCTTTCAACAGCAGACTGAAAGATAAAATTAACGAGCCATAGTCTTTTGGCATGTATTGAGATATATGTCTTCATTATTTCCCTGTGATCCGGAATAGATCCGGTCCGGTTAAGACAGCAAAGTATAAAACTAAAGTACGTTATTGCACAACATAGTTCAAGGTGGGAAGTAACAATATTCGAGACAAGAATGGAAACTCCAAGTAACTTTGGCGACATTGTAGGTCTCATTAACGTGCACCTATTCTTGATATAAGCTTCTTGAATAAAGTACTTTTTTGCTTACGTAAAAACTATAAGTAACATTCATTCGACAATGAAGACATTTTGTATACAAAAGACAGTTTTCTTCGATAGCCTTGTTGAAATTTTTGCAGTGGAAGGTTGTCCAATGGTTGTATTGATAATTGAAAAAAAAATTTTGCTCTTGGTACCTACACACGCACCTACACTTGGTACCTACACTTGGTACCTACACTTGGTACCTACACTTGGTACCTACACTTGGTACCTACACTTGGTACCTACACTTGGTACCTATCATTATACCCAAACAATAATTCAATATTTTGCAATAAAGAATTTTCCTAAAGAAGCACGTTTCTCTCTCGCCTCCTCTTCGCATCGAGGCTCACTGTGTTAGCACAGGCTAATTCATTCTAATCGGAGATAGCTCCTGATTGGCTGTCTCTGTCCGAGAGACAGTGACCTCGATGCTACGAGGAGTCTCGAAGAACTCAAATCGGAGTTCGCCGAGGCTCCTCCAATTTTTATTTCCACTTCCAATGTCTTTTTAACAATCCAATTCTTTATTGAATCAATTTATTATTCTGCCAGTTAAAACACACCAGAAAACGAGATCCTTAAATGCTAACAAATACAATACTTTAAGCTTTCAGTGACAATCTGCGATGCCTCCTATTTTGCATTTAAGTGTTACTCAATGGCAAGTTCATATCTAGATGTGCCTTTACTTTTACTTTGATAGCTAGCCTTGGGCTGCAAAACGCTTTCTTCTCATTTTTCAGAGCAAATGAAAAGCACGCGAGTCACTGATACCATGCGAACTGAAAATGAAAAACAGGCTCTCAAGGACACATTCAGATCGTCACTGCAAGATTCACAACGCCAGGCCGGGCTCACTGCCGATTTCGGAAAGGACAAATTGCGCGTTGAAACTTTGCGGCAGAAGATGGACACAGTGTTGGTATGTTTATATTTTCAAGACATTCGTGAGCTGTTGCTTGAGAGTTCAGATCTAGGGGCCACACCGCAAGAAATATGCTTACAGGATTTACTCCAAAGTATCTGGTTTATTTACTGGGGACTTTCATTCTGAGTAGTGTATAAACAGACAAATCGAGGCCCCGGTAACCCAGACCTCTGATAACTCAAATATTCGTTCATTCGAGCTAATTTAGCATTCTCTGTTAGCTTTTCCCGATATGTTCTATCCTCCGATAACTCAAACACTCGTTTACTCGAACACTTGTTTACTCGAACACTCGTTTACTCGAACACTCGTTTACTCGAACACTCGTCTACTCGAACACTCGTTTACTCGAACACTCCTTTACTCGAACACTTGTTTACTCGAACACTCGTTTACTCGAACACTTGTTTACTCGAACACTCGTTTACTCGAACACTCGTTTACACGAACACTCGTTTTCTCGAACACTCGTTTACTCGAACAATTTTCAGCATTCTTATGGCTTCTTCGGGATTCTTCGGTATATAGAGGCGGGTCAACTTAGCGAATCCTTAAGGGAAACCGATTTGCTGGATGCCATATTTGTAACTGTGTTTTCCCCCACCCTAAGTTACTATGATTCACTGTTTTTCAATTCAACTATCTTCCTAAAAATTATGACAGCTAACCTATGGCACTATGAATGGGTATGTGCTATATCCGAATCTTAGATTATATTTGGAAATAGGTAAAGGTTTAGCACCTTTTTTATGGGCTATCTTGTGTCCATTCGTTGAAGTTGCTTGAGGGGATATTGTGAGAACCTAGAGCTCTTTGACAACTCTTTGGCAATCACACATCCTGCTTCCATTTGTATATGTATTTTTTGACTGAGGTAACAAAATTCCTCATGTCAATGCTTCACTACAATTGGATAATGTTTGGCGTTGGATGATCGATCACATAGGTATCTCATTACGAATAGAAGTGGCTATTCAAGCTTATACCAAAGACTGTCATCAATTGTCATGAGCATTTTCTTGACATACTTGATATTTTCATTTTAGAACTCCAGCAGCCTGCAGTCATCAAAGATGCAATTCAATCAAGGACCCACGACAGCCGGGATGTCGGAAACAATGATGACATGGGGCTCGGATTTCTCTACCCTTTTGCCAACCTCGACACATATGACAAAGGCATGCTCAATATTTTTTTCCGTTCCTTTGCAAGAAATTCTTTCTTTGTTTAAATTATCTTTATACAGATTAGATAGCTTTCGTCTGTAAAAGCATTGGGTAAGGCAACAGAAACGAACCATCCCACGAGCTTCTTACATTCCCTATTATATTTAGTTTTGTTTGAATGTCTTTCGATATTGTTTAATTTGGCAATTACCAGTGATATATTTTTTTTTTATTCTCATAAAATTTTACAAAACAGACAACTACAAGACGATACCACAGGGAGCATGGAAATACATAGCAACCCTGTGGCCATAACATTAAACATATTTGATTCAAATTAGAGTTGCATTAAATGTTGCAAATTACATGTTACAGATTACTAATAATTAAAGACATTTACAATTTGGATGTTAAAACAAAAACAAGGACAAACTACATTGACGAAACAAAACAAGAACAATGAAAGACAAATTACATAGGAGAGAAGATTTATAAAACTACTTAATGAAACCTTTCAGAGGTCTGAATATATTTTAATGTTGCCTCAAGAATTTTTGTATTTCTAGCGTGATTTTTGTATTAGAGTGACATTTCTAGCGAACAAGGAAGGACAAGCATTTATTTGGATCAATCCTAGCACAGTTCTTTTTAGCTACTGTGGAATACATTCGAAGTTGAAGATAAAGTTCTGATGCCCCCCTATATATGTCAATTTCACGAGCTCTGCTACCTGTGCTGGTAGCAACAAAATTCAGATCATTGAATACAATCAAATTTTTCTATTAAAGGTTTCAAAAACTGCTTATTATTAATGAAAAGGAAACTACTTCTTTAAGAAGGAGAATATCGTTCGTATTATTTTCAGTTGAGGGGATTTTTGTATATTTTGAACAGTGTTTTGTGCTCTCTTTAGGAATTGTAGCTTTAAAGTTGATCAATCTATTTTACATGAAATATAATCCGTTGTAGACACAGGCTGACAGGCGTATGTCCGCATCACCCCATGCACTGCAGCATTTTGGGTCTTCCCAACGAACTCGAATGCAGAGTCAGTCAAGCGATCTCTCTGAAATGAAAGGTAGTTAAGCATATTTGCATTATCTATATTTCTTTAACGCACTTGATATTAAAGATACCAAATGGTATGCATGAATCATTCTTCGTAGGCAATCTACAGGACGGATAACAATTCTGATATTTACTAACCTTCGCTACATAGTATTTAGCTAATATTTTAAGAAGAACTTTCAGCTAGTGATAAGAAAACGGCAAACACTTCTCGATGAACATAGGCCTAAATGATCAATTTGTAAGCAGCTTTCACTATATCTCAGACTTAATCATTCGAAGAGTGCGGGTCAATTTTTCGTATGTTTAATACCTATCTTGAGATGACAAAGCATTATAAAATCCTAGAAACAAGTTTTTTGTGTTTCCCAAGCCACCCAAGACAAGCACTGTTGGATTTTTTGTAAGATAAGGTGAAGAAATAACTGAAATTTGACGGTGATAGCTAATGTGTTTACAAATATGGTTAGCAAGTCGCAAGTCAAGGAAGTAGGCCGTTTCTGTTATTTACGGAGGATTGAAAAGCATCGAGCGATATAATTTACTCCTTTTACTTAGAAACTTATAAAGAGCAGTTGCATGACGATTGCGTTAAACTTGTTACTCTGAGTTGCAACTTAAAACCGCCCTGTTTCATATCGAAGCGCACCCGGAAACCTAGAATTTTTGCGAATTTTGCAATTCAGATGAAAAACAATTAAACTTTTTTAAGAATAGCAAAGTTCATATCGTTATATGAAAGCAAGGGATACCGTCAGGTCATGTAGCATCAATCCAAGAACCGAGATACAAGGGGGAGCCTTGCCCCCTCCAAAAAGGGGGAGTAAAATACTATTAAAAAGTTATTATAAACGGCTCTTGTTGCATTCCTTTATCAGGATTGACCACCCCCCCCCCATCACTATTTGATTTTTTTATTGTGTTCAAGGAGCATACCAGTCAACACCGCCCAGTCCTTACTATGGTGGAATAGACCGTCAACATAAGGGTCTACCATTGGTAAGTCTCCAGCAATTATATCAGGAAATTTTGTCTGATTTGATCTATAGAAGTTGCTCAAAAGAAAATCGAAAAAACACCAGCTTCTATTTCTCTAATTTTATTGACTATTGCTATAGCGTTTTACTGTACATTCTTTTAAGGGTATGAAACCTTCTTTGTCTGAAGAGCTGAATTAAACATGAAACACGACTTCCTGGAAAAGCAGCAAATAGACCCTAACAGAAACTACTTCTTCTCCTATATACATATCAAGTTGTACGATAGCTTGTATTTTATCTTATATTCATCGTATGATGAAGGGATTTTGTGTATTAAATAATTTGATATGAATGTGAAAATGGAATACTTGTGAATATATTATGAATCTATCTTGCATTTTTGTTTAGTTCAGTTCTATTTGTTTCTGCAGACTATGTCCCAGTTGCAAGATTCGTCCAGGGCTGGTTTCAACTTGACCTCAAATACATTTGAAGGAAAATCAGCCTTACAGGGAAAACAGGTAACTTTTAAACTTGACATTGCATATGCTTGTAAGAATTTCGAGACATATGTAGTTTTCTTTGGCACATCAACGGAAAGTTATTGTGCCAATCCCCCTTGAGAAGGGAACAAAAAATTTAAAGTGGAGACGTATCTCCTTCTGAACCATGTTGTAGGATTCTAGCGTAGATTTTTATAATAATGCTGTCATATGTACCTTATTGCATTGTGATACGTAGGTCATCGCCATGTACGCATACACCCCAAGTCGCTCAGATGAATTGCAAATCAACCCGTCTGACGTCATCACAGTTATTTATGAGGATAATGAAAACTGGTGGTTTGGCGAACTGCCTGATGGTCGACAAGGCTACTTTCCTGCCAATTACGTCATGGTTTCTGATGGTAAAGTACTTATGTATGATTTCATATCCGTATAGAACTTCCATACTTGAGGCATCCCTGCTCCAACGTGATTTACTATCACCGTATTAACAGCACTGTCTTTTACAGGCCTCAGTCTCTCTAACTCCACATACTGTGACTGTGACTTTTGCTTCTAACAACCCCCCCCCCCCTAAACAAGCACTGAGCCATCGATAATGAATTCTTATTATCGATTATTCTGTATTTTTAGATTACAGCTATCATTCAAGCTTTACTTTTAATAATCATTATTTCAGTTTGGTAATCCGGTATTCCAATTATATGATAGCACGGGTTTTAATCACTATTGTTTTACACTTAAATCCTCCAAAATAGTTTTTAATCCAGGCAGAGGCCTGGCAAATATTCTAATCCAGTTTATTTTTCTTTCAACACATATTAATTCGATTTTTCAACGTTGTTTACCAAGATCGTCATAAATCGAGCGTAGGGGTGGACTTGCCCCATGCATAATTACCCAAAATAATCCCCTCTCCTTTGGCACAGACACTGTTGGCTCAAGAAATCAAACTTTTTGTCTGTGCCATCACAATATCACAGTTCTTCATTTTCTCAACCCATTGAAAAGAAAAGTTCTTTCCGAAACTGGACAAAAAGTTTAATACAATCTTTGCCAGTTTCTCCATTTTCAGAATGGGAAGCCACATTTTCTTAAAAAATTACTTATAACGTTTATTGTTTATCAAGTAAAAACAATATGAAAGAAAAAGCGACTCCATTGACTGTATATTATATCAAATTGATATAACTGAAGATCTTAGAACAATAAATTATTTGTTAAGCTTAGATTCAAGAGTTTCATTTTTGCTGTTCTACTTTTATTCAAATTAATTCAATAGCCTATTTTAGTTCTCACGAGTCAATGTTTGTGACGAGTCTCGTATCTTAAGTATCTCAAGTCTTCAGTCTCCTCTCAATACATGGTCCCTCTTCCCTATTTCTAATGAAATATCGCAAAACTGTATTTCAATTCCTTTAATCCTGCTCTCAAATCTTTCCGTTTAGCGAACGAGCTTCAAGAAGTATCAGGCTCACGAGATGATATTCGGAATTCCCACGTAAGATTTTAATTTTGTTTTGGCCAGAAACCCATCTTTTTAAGCTTTGTGCAAAGTTTCCAGACATCTGTTTTTTTTATTGAATTTTGTTTTGGAAGATATTTTTGCGCATTTCTTTGGCTTTTTGTTATCAAAAAACGAGTTTGAAGGCAAGTTTGACTTCTAATTTTGATTCAGATAATCTGAAGGAAGGAAAATTCTAAGGCGGTATCTGAATTTCTAAAAGGTTGCGTCATTTAAAGTTGTCATATTCAAAACAGGATTCGCTTCTCAGATATTTTTCTAGAATAATTTATTCTGAGCAAGAAAGTATTCTATCGAAAAGACTTTCAATCTGTCTTAGCTTGTTTCTGATATAATTTTGTATCTGGTTTTAAAATGATTGACAAAATTTGAACCGTAAATGTTTACAGAATAAAATAGAAATACTCAAAGGCTCTTTTCGTGTAGCTATTTTTTATATTTTAAACAACATGGCTTGGTTTCTGAAAACAACATGATATATTCATGAATTATGGATCAAATTCATGTCAATTAATTTGCTATTAATTTTAATACTAATTCATTGCTACGCAAGCTATAGACACAGGTTTTATCTTCCGGTCTATATTCTTTGTAAGCGAAGACCACTGAGCAAATTACGGATTGAAGGGGCTAAACGGTTTTCGGGGCTAGAACAAGCTGGGAATCTATAGAAGGATGATTTTTGTTTGGATCTAAATAGAAATTATTGACCGCGGATGGATGCTAAGCCTCTTTACCCCTTCTCCGCTTCCGCAAGCCCTGTTTGCTAGATTTTACATCTCCATGTGTCGTTTTAGCATCTTCAAATAAGGTATCTTACCTTGTTAGTGGCTTATGTGCGGTTAGTTTAAATACATTTTATATTGACCTTTGTTTATTTCGATTTCTTCTACCCTGGGTGCCAAAGTCTCCATTATTTAGCCTCAGAGATATAGTTAGAAAATTATCACAAAATAGTTTATTTGAACGAGGATTGCAAAAATCCTTCCACATCCACTCCTCCACATCCACTCATTCTTTGCGAACGCAGCGGTAGAAGAAATCGAACCAAGGGTACATTTTTTCTTTTTTTCTATATTTGAATGACAATTTCAATCTCACGGACCCATACAATTATAGAAATTTCAAATACCCAACTGTATGCTAGTGTTCTGTTACGACTAAGAAAGGGAGCCCAATATCCATGTAGGGCTTTGATAGGGTTAAACTACTTAGATAAGATTTCATTACATTTCGACGGGGCAGTTATACCAGCCCAGGTCCATGTTAATTTTTAGAAAACCAGAATCAATTTGTGAAAACAGCCTGTTAGTAGTAACATCATCTATTGAAAAATTTAAAAAATTTAAATTTTCTATGATCCTAGCCGAAAACTACATATATCACCTCTAACAATCCAGCAAGAAATGATGTCCTAAGATAGAGACATTTAGAGTGTCACGGGTGATGTGTTTGTTTAATTTTCTTTCTAGTCGGCCGTTGTAACAAAAGATGGTGATTTGAAGATCATTTCTGCCCCCGAAGACAGTGAAACTGAACCCAGGTCAGTGTCAAAGATTCAAATTTCTATAGACGCTTTCAATTTTTTCTTATATATAATAAAAGCGGGAAGACATTCATTTTGCAAAAGAAAATTCGAGTTGCGAAGGAGGGAGGTTGCAGCGGGTCTCCTCCGCAGCCACGCTCCCGCTTTGAAACACTGATTCTGCCTTCGCAGTACGCATACTTTTCGAATAGGTTTGAAATAAAAATAGACTTAGGGAAATTTTCGACTTATAGGACACTACATTACATTCTTCATCACAATTTTAGAAAGATTTGTGGGCTTAGTCATATTAACCGGAACATGTGGTTTGATAAAGAGGGTGTTGCTGAACTTTGGTATTCCCTGGTAAAAGGATCTTGGACGCTCTTTTTGAAAGTTTCCTGTGGAAAAATATTAACACGCTCCAGCAGAAAATATCTACATTGTACTTCACTATCCCCTTCCCATCTCCCAAAGACGATGCTGGTTGTAGAGCTAGATTTCATAATTATCCGACAAACATCAGTCGAATATTGTTGAAGCTCTTTGTTTTCCGTATAACCACGTTGGGAGACAAGACTGAATACATAAACCATCACATTGTATTATTCTACGCTTTAACTATTGAGTGAGATTAGGAGATGATAAGCAAAGACTTAACAGTTTCCAGATGGCTTTTGTCCTAGCCGGGCTTATCAAATTCGTAGAGATAAAAAGACCAACTGTCAGATAAGGCCGATGACAAAGAGAACTGATAACGTCATTTGTCAAAGGCGTGTTGCAAGGAGCGTCACATCGTAATATGTTCCAGTTATAGCCCATTAAGTATTTATTTATAAGTTCAAAAAAGAATCCTAAATTAGACAACATCATGGTGGAAACTCTTTGAACACCTTTGGTGGAAATCATATTGTTTTTCTTAAAATCCCTGTAAATTCTTTTGTTTTTGTGAAAGTCTCGTACGCTATTTGCAACAGTGAATTGCTCCTCACATTTCTAAATTGCAACTCCGAGTTTTAAGCGTAATGAGATCATAAGGCAAATGTTGTCATGGTGTTTTGAATTTGACAAGGCTTTTATTGTTTAGGAAACATGTGTAATCTTTCCTATCTTTGCTTGCCAGACAAACAACTAAGAGAAAACAGAGACGACGAAAGACCCACAGGTCTAGTGATGATATAGCCAAGTGAAGTCGAACAACAAATCCAACTGAAATTTGAAGAATCCCGCAAAGAAAGTGACTGACGTCATCTTCACCACCACAAGGATATCAAATTTATTCCACCTTGAAAGATTGTATGTAGCTGTATATGGTGTAAATAGTATAGCGAACTGAATAACAGAAAGACGCAGATAAGGTTTTAATCTATTCAATTTGTCTTGCAAAATTCGCTTTTGTCTTGCCTTTCTGCTCAGGGCTCTGCCTCCCTTTGATATAAGTTGTTTCCAGTATTTCTAGCTGGGATAAGGTAAGTTTGAATATCACCAATATCGAGATTCTGACGGACTCAATTCCACCCATAAAAAATGACCCCTCTCCCCCTCTTCACGCTTCTATTAATGTCGAGGCGATCAGAGATAGGTATTCTTGACTTTTAATTGCGTTGTTCTAAGATAATTACAAGTTTTTATTCTTTATTCGAGTCTGTTTTACAATTGTAAATAATGTTTTATTACGGCAATTAATTATATTGTTGTAATAAAGTAATTTGTTACATTGTAATAAAGTCTTTAACAAAGTATAAGTACCTCGAGGTATTTCATTCTGTGACATTTGCTGCTTTGCCCACTAGAAAGATAATTTATCTACTAGCATCTTTGGTCATTGGGCAGGAGCCTAGCCCAGTAGAAATCTTCATTGAATCACCAATTTTTCAAATAGCTAAACGCTTTATAATTTTTGAATGATGAAAAATTGCACGAAATTGTGGTAAAATGCTCTTTAATTACAGGTTTTGTCAAAACTAGTCGCTTAGGACGCCTAAAAATGCTCATTGTGGGCTTTCTAGTCAAGTGCCCTTGGATCCATAAAGTGATGTAAAATTTAATTGCAAAATAGTTTATTCTCGTGCTGGAATTTATGTGGCTTTGGTACCCAGGAAATAAAAGAGAAAAAAATGATAATTATTCAAAAAATTAGCAAGGGATTAGCGAAACGACATTTGTAAAGTGTAAAAGTTCCATGCATTCTATTTAAAAAAAAGGTTTACAGAAAGTGATAATTCAAATAAAAGGAAAAAAGATTGTTATTTATTCGAACGCTCTACCCTACCAAGTTTTGTATTGAGCCAAATCGGGGTGGTTCTCTTTCACAAGAGCCAAATCGAGGTGGTTCTCTTTCACAAGAGCCAAATCGAGGTGGTTTCATAATTATTTTTATGGAAAAATTACATGCATACATTACATTTTATGTATCAAATATTGTGATACTGTCAGCAAAGAGGAATCGTGGCTTAGATTGCTTTAAAAAACACCTTATTACAATGATTTTTTCCAAACTCCAAAAGGTAACCTTTTTCTAAGTTTTACTGTCCTAGGCATGAGGAACAAACACCCCTTTCTTGAAGGTTTTCCGGATGAAAAAAACCAAACAAAGTAATAATGCAAAAAAATTCAAAAAGCAAAAGTGAAAGCTTTTGCCTCAAACATAGAAAGCTAAATTTGATTACTGAAACTCCACACAAATGGCAAGAATTAAACTCTTTGAAATTGGCGATAGAGAGGCCGGCACGCCCAGGGTCTATGCGAGACAAGTAGTCACGTGGAACGAAGAATGTGAATCACACCCACCAGTGAACACCAACAAAGATATCAACAAGGGAAGTCAACTGCTCAGGACAGAGGGGAAGGCTGCACGAACTATTATCATGCCGAAGCCATGGAGGCTCATACAATAAAAGTTCCACCTCTGAAACCTGTCATAGAATTCCAGGTTTGTTTTCTGGTCTTCCTTTGCTTGAATTTTTGGGAAAGCTTTTCATGACGCGACGATTTCATGATTTGTTTTGGGTTTTATAATGTGGCCTAGCCCCTTTATTAGAGAGTGGCATTCAATTAGTTTTGCCTATCACAGCTTTCTCTTCTCTCTGAAGTTAGTTTTGTAATGTAACAGAATTTTGGTACAGCTGAATGTAACCGCAAATTTGTAATAAGAAATTCTACCTTTTAGGCGAATAAACAGGTCCATCTGGGTGTCAGATAAAACGCGTTTTGTCTGTTCAGCAATTTGCAGCGTTGACTCAAACTTGCATTTCCATTTCAAGGAAATGCTTCACTGAGCAACTCTGTTAGAATGATGGTGTAGGACGGGTTCTTGAATATTTGAGGTTTCACAGAACCTCAAACGCTCATATATGATTTCGTATGTGGTGTTCCAGCATTCCCGTATAAACCACTCTAGACTGGAGGGTGCGTCTCTAACTCTAGAGGTTATTTTGGTTATTGTAAATATAATCCATGAATTAAGAAAACCAAAAGCGTGAAGCATCTTCCGAAATTTCACAATATTTTTTACTTTAGTTATGGCCTAATTTTGATCGTCTCCACGTTTTAACCTCACGATCGGGGGGCGTGCGTGCATCAAAGACCAGACTGTTGTGGAACAAACAATGCAGCAGTTACTTACTTTCTAAAACTTGTAATCCCCTATTATTCTAATCCTCAAATTGAGAAAAACAAGAGGTTTGTGATTAGGACATTGTAGAAAGAGAATAGACGGGCGTATCTTTTGAAAGTATACACGAGTAACTAGCTATTATACGAATTCAGTCTTCCATCTGCAAAGAGAGGCAACATATTTCTCAATGCTTAATTTTGGCAAGTGTGCTCTCATATCCGCTGGATATTTTTGTAATAAAGTAGATTATGGATATGATTTAAGATGTCTTTCCTAAATGCTAAATTCACATGGGCGTGTTTGTGCATGCTGATAACTTTTAAGTTCCTAGACAGGGCTGGCACTCCATGATAACACCTTGATCAGGAAACCATGGTGCGAAGTTCTAGAAAACCTATATTTACTGGCATTATGTATATATATGTACAAGAGGCCTTAAGCTAGAAAATTATCAATTTGATTTCTAGTATTTCATTTGTGTTTCAATATGGCTTTTTTATAATAGCAAGCTTTCATGGTAAATTTGGCTTAAAATTATACTCAAGAAGCACATATACTTATTTGCCTTGTGAATAGATCCAAAATTTTCCCAGGAAACAACACTATGAAAAACCTGTTGTCTGATCTGCTGCTATACAGATTATCTGAATTTGAGTGATCTTATCATTCATTTGGAATCACGAAAAAGCCATCTTGACTTGAAATAAAGCTGGGGATTTTGGCATATATTGTATTGGGTTGATATATCACATTCTGCAATTGCTGGTGGCCTAATTACAGCCCTAGAATTATTTGAGGTGCCTTTACTATCCTGTAGTACATTGCCACCTGTTTGTGATGGAATTAATGAAGAAATTTGAGATGGTTAAGTGCTCTTTGCAGGTATGCATTTGCAATCCAGTAGTTGAACGCTGCTAAGTAGTCATTTCTGCAACTGAAGCAGTATTTGCTGGCATGCACCTCTTACACTGCACCAAGGACTGTGGTGTGTTTTATGGATTGAGGAGGCTAAAGCGTTTTTAAAGGGGAGGGGGGCTAAACATGCTATAGCCAATGAGCAAATTGTTTTTTGTATGGTTTAAAGTACATTTTGAGAACTTTTGGGAGCTAAGTCCCCTCAGCCCTAGGCCTCTGTGGTACCTGCAACACAAAGAATGTTACATAATTTAACATATTGATTTGTGAAAAATTATGCAGTTAAAAATATGTTTACAAAGTGTACAAACTAGTGATTATTTGCATCTAATTACATTAGTGGAAAGGGCAATTTTTGAAAGCAAAGGGGCTTTTGTTGTATGAAAACAAATAGGAGCCATCACAAAAGGCTCTCCAGAAACAATAGCAAGGGTTACTTTTTGGCACCTGCAAGGGGGCTCAGCCCTGTTTAATTGATTAATAAAAGCTTTAATAAAATTTCCTAGTTTATTTTCCCAAGTAGGAGTTTCCTTTTATACATACCTCTGCTTTGGTAAGTAATTCTACTGGATAAGGGTTGATTTAGGCAATTCTTGGAAATAACCAAGCCATTTGTGAAGTTTTTAACAGAATACACCCAATTCCTTGTAATCATAACTTGTTTGCCATGATAAAGAGTGTACAAATGCTTGAAGTCTTGGAAAACAAAACAGACACATGTCAGTGCCTTTGAATCAAAATATTAATATTTGTTGACCAGGAGATTGTGAGAAACGGGAAAAAATTGTAATTCGATAATCTTTTGACATATTTGATTTAACAGAACAAGAGTATTATTTTGCATGGCTGAGACAGTTTTCATGTCATATATCTTGAATTTGAAACGAAGAATATTTGCCACATTCCAAGTAAAACCATAAACTGTTGTTTGCAACGCCATATGCATTTTCTGTATACTAAAGCTCTCATATGTTAAGCGTGGTATGCGATTTGAATATCGAATTTGTCGAAAGGTTTCCAGGTGGGACTTTGTAGCCTGGTAACGCTAGAAATGCTTGCAATGTCTGTTGAAAATAGTCGCTCAGGCATGTTTAGTCTGTAATGAGTCACGCCGGGGATTAGCTTGAGATCGCCGTTATTTGTGTGAATATGAAATTGAAAGGGTTCCCGTTTTTGCTGTGTTAAATTTCGCATGCTGCTTAGACAATTTTCTTGTGTCTAATCTTGTTATCTGAAGGTAAAAAGGCCCTACTGACATCTTTGTGAGAAATGCTATGATAAGCATAATACCTTTCCACAGGGGCGTGTCTAGAGGGGTATCGAAGGCCGTGGCAACCCTCCCCAAATTCTTTATGTGGGTAAATTTTAATTTGGTCCAAAAAATCCCTGGTTTGACTGCGAAATCTTCTATCGGTAGGTGAAATATCCCCACATTTATGCTTTCGTAGGTAGCTTTTACTACTGACTACCTTCCACCCACTAGCCTGGAAGGTCAAGCTACGCCACTGCTTGCCTTTCCCTAAAACTCAAGAATTCTATTTCTTTAGATGATTCGACTTAACATTTCGCATTATATCAATTGATTTGGACACACGGTCTCAGCACAAGGTGTCAGAAGAAACGTTTCTAGCAAAAGCCTTTTAACCATAAGGAAGGTATGGGGGAGATGGTTGGAAACAAATACTAGTGACATCAGAAAGAAGCCAAAATTTTGTGAATGCACCACGAAGTTGCCCGAATGAAGCTGATACCTCATTATATTTTGAAACAGTTATTGAAATAATCTGTTTGACTTGAAAATCGTACATACTATTGCCGCTCTTTCGAATATATCTGCGTAAACTTGAAGTGAAAGCAGCCATGTTGATTTACGCAATATGTAATGGTGTCACTTTTAGAAACTGAAGTTTTTCATTAAAAAAGTTAAAATGGGCTCTTGTATAGAGTTTTCAAGTCTTGATAACACAAATTTGCCAGATGTTAAACCGCCGGATATTTCTTTTTTTGAGATTATACCTTCATTTCTCTGGATTGATGAAACCTTTGGCAAAAAGGATTGGAGACACCCTAGATCAGGATTGCTACAGCCCCCCTCCCTCTAAAACCACAAAGTTCTTGGAAAATTTCGGGAATTTCGCTGCTTTGTCGGGATTCGAAAAAAAATTTCAGCTCACAAGACCCCTTGTACAAAATAGAACAAATTTTAGCCCCCAAACCCCCTGATATTGATTAGAGCACCATCAACATACTTGGTACTGCTGTTGGAGGAAGGTTTATATTTAGGGGGGCCAGTTGGCTGCTAGAAGATATGCTGATATGTTTCTCCCAGTTCTTGATTGAACTAATTCGATGCTGCACTTCCTGGTAATTATCGGGTGCTCCCACCGCTACACATGCGATGGCTCTGCCCGGAAAATGAGTGAGATGTTTTGAGTTATCGTTTTCAGGCTGGCAAAGTATTTGGTCTTCATTTCGTTGTTATACCATATACATAGGGTGGATTGAAGAATAAACCTGTTTATTGATACAAATTTACAATGTTGTTTATGTTTCACTTTAGATTTGGCTTGAAAAAGCAGAAAACCAAGCTGATTCACTTCACATTAACGCCGTCGATCTTGTTGGAATCAAAGACCTACTGCGAAGACACAAGGTAATATTTTTGAAATTTTTACAAGTATTTTTGTAAGTTATAATTTATGAGTGGATTATAAACGATAATTGGGGGTTGATATAAGGTGCGAAAAAAAGTAATTTTGGGTTATTGGTGATCAAGGATTGGACCTTTAATAAGATCAAGTTTCGACTATGATGGACCTACTTTTAAAATAAATTTTGCAAGAAAAGAAAGCTCTACTGGAATCTCTCTCTTTTCTCAAAATTTAAATTTGAACCGACTGTTTGCCCCCCTTTTGAGGGGAAATAAGCTGCGGGGGCAACCTTTTATCTATAATAGGTCGGCGTATTGTTTAAAACAATGGAAATTCAATGGGGTTAGAGGGGCAATTGTCCCCACCCCTGTTAATATGTTGCCGACAACAACCAACAACTTAGGCAGTCAAATAATTTTTCGGGCCTGTTTTCGGCATACGTGGCTTGCTTTTGTTTTCTAAAGATTTCTTAGAAGATGAAAAGGTTTCTTGGAAATATTTGGATAAGATTGACAACAATGATAACTTGAAAAACTACATCTATTTGGAAAATTCCTTCAAGGCTGAATCTTAAATACAATGTTCAAGTAGCATTTTTTGTTTGAAGCGGTAATGGTTGGCAAAGTTTGCTTGCAAAACATCGAAACATTTCGTCTTTTCAAGCATACGACCGCCTCTCAGATTTCTGAATCTCGCATTTAAATGTTTCGATTAAGTCTTTATGATGCTTTTGTTTTCAACTTAAAGCTCATAAATTTGTGTACGGTTCGCGAATTTGAAAAGCGCAAACCAAATCTGCGATAGTTCGAAATTCCTCTGAGATTTTGTGGTATCATAACAACCTTGGCTTTATAAATACAAAGTGCTTTTCTCATTGATGCAATCCCCAGTAGGCTCAAATACAATGGCATTGGTTTGATACTGACCAATGTTCGTCTCTGGGGAAAATTATTGTCATGTGATTGTCTTTCCTGTTGAAATTTCTCGGCTGTTTTTATCACTGTTCATTTACGCGTTAAATCTTGATTTTAAAATGGCGGAGATGCTAGCCGGTGTGAGTTTGTAATGGGGCGTTGGGAAGTATTCCAGTAAGCTGGTAAGGGTGCAAATTTCCATATTTATTGTTGGTTTTTTTTCAGTATTTCCATACAGAAGAATCTAAATTTTGGTTTTGAATCTCTTATTTTGTATTCCTTTGCATTCCTTTCCGGAGTTTTGCTTTTGGAGTGCATTCAGAGAGGTTTTTAAAGAATCATTCGCAATACATAGTTTGGCAGTCTGAACCAAAACTCGGCTCATTTGTTAATGAAAACTTAGCCAGACTTATTCATTCCTCATTTCACCCTTTATGGACCTTGATATTTCCGTGCAACTAACACAATTTTTATCACAAAAACCTTTTTTATTCCTTCTTGTTTTATATCTAAAGTATACAGTATGTTACGAAGGTAAAAGCACCACATAAATGAAAGTAAGCCATTTTGAATTTTCAGCCAGGCGTTACAAAGCCAATCTGCAAACCGCAGAAATATGATGGCTTTGCTAGTTATCCTTGACTGATGTTTTCGTTTCTGCTCATTTGCAGGACTTGTTTTTGTTGCTGTTGTTGTTGTCGTTGCTGTTGTAGAAGTGAAAATCTCCACCCCACCTTAATTGTTTTCGCAATGATAAGAGAAGTACTGTCACTAAGTTAACCTCGTTTCAGCGACAAACAGAATCTGTAAGGAATGGTATCCGTCGTTATTATCCTGACAAATTTGCCGTTAATTTGTGTTGAGCGCCAGTTTTTGATTATTCTAGTCTCTGTTTTAGCATCCATAGAGTGAGGCAGTAGCGAAATAGAGGCTCATGGACCTAGTCTAGTCCTTTCCCTATCTGTTATGCTGCAACATCTCATTTTTGACGTGAAGTCGATTTCCGTGAGATTATGATGTGAACGTAAACTGTATCTCATTTGTCAATCAGTTCATGAGGGCTCAAAACAAAGCCAAAGATCTCACGTTTTTTAATTCGCATAGAAATATCCTGATCTGTGATTTAAACAGAATGTATCGATTGATGATTAGAAATCTTCCATTGATCTGAACTAGAAAATACTTGCTTTGGTCGTGCTATGCATATTCAAAATGAACTTGCCCCACATTAACTGGGTTCTATATACTATTCTCAGCTACCCAGTCCAGTACATGTTCATAAAGTCTTTAATAAAAAGTTCCCTTCCCTTCAACTGGTTTCATTTAACTGTTACATGCTTATATTTAGTGTCCTAGGGTAGTCATATAAAGCCATTTCCCTCTCCTCTTATATATTTTTCTGTGTTTTATTGACGTGTTTGGTAGTATGAGCCTAGTGGGAGTTTTTCGAATTTAAAAGAGTTCCAGTCCTTCAGACCAGGTTAATATCAGTGTTACAATGTCAACATAGCAGTCGCATAATACAGCTGTTTATACCATTGACATCATACGCCATGTAGATCCCGTTTATACTGTCCCATGCAACCGTGACAAAACTGTCGCCTGCTCTGCTATCGGGATCTGTTTTGACCATAGGTTTTGACCCAGCTACAAACGTGAATGATTTTCTACCGTTACGGTTCCGTTGTCGAATGGGGTTTTAAAGTCACTTTAGACTGGCTTTAAAAACAATTCTGTTTTCCTCTGTGAAGGAGAGCAGTATTCACTGGCCCAGTACGAGCTAGCATTTGCTATGTGAAGTCGTGTCTAATGACCGTCTGTCAATATTGAGCAGTAGGCCGTATTATTATTTGATCTTTTCCTTGTTTAAGAAGTTTGTCGAAGAAGTGAAAGACAAAGAGAAAGACCTTGAAAATGTTAACAAACATGGCGAAGCATTTCTCACCGAAGCAAAGGTAAACAAACAAGTTATTCTTTGTTTATTTGTTTGCTCTTTTATTTTTGTATTTATTCGCGTGGACTTCATTTCGGTGTGGACATGGTGGATTTAAGTTTTGGAAGAACTGAAATGTTTCTGTATTAGTTTGCTTGCTGAATACAAAGAAAAACAGGTACATTTATAAGAAAAATTTGATTACTAAAAGATGTCTATGTGTCTTCTTGCCGCAGCCAAATGATCGTCGTTTCCCATGATTTTACAGGTGTACATGGGAATATGTCATTTGATCTTTGAGTGTAGTTTAACATGAAGAAATGCTGAATTTGGCTTGAAACCATAACTTGGTGCTTCTGAATTCCGTTGCACTGACTGATGAGAATGAAAACAATTTTTAAAATAGTAACGAGTAAGAATTAAGAACAAGCGAAATATGCGTAGTTTTTGTTATGATTCAAGCTGTTAAGAGTGATTTTCGATTAAGAGTGAGCTGTTAGGAATTTTTTTCTATTCCTTTCCTCTTTCCAAGAATATTTTCTTTTGATTTTTTAAAACTAAACATCGTTATAGAATCACAAGATTTTAGTATGTTAAAGATTAATGAAACGACCCTTAATTGTGGCTTTAGAGAGACACCCAAAGATATACCTAGGAGATCGTCTTAATCTCCTTTTGCAGGCGTTTCGAAGAGAACTAGACAATTACTACGCAAGTGTTGCTGGGGCGCAGGTATCCAGTTTCGTATCTGCGGAGGAGACATGGATGCTAGAACAGAAGCTCCATGATATAAACTACCGATACAGAAGGCTCCTTCGCACTCTTCAGTTTAAAGGCAACCTGATACAAGAATCGTTGCAAAAACACCAAGACCATTCCGGCAGAATCGAATCTTTTCTTCCATGGCTTTCAGAAGCCGAGAGGAAAGTCGCCTATGAAGCTCAGGAAACTTCATTTTTTAGCGAGGATGAAGTTACACAGAAACTAGAACAACTCAAGGTAGTTTTTTTTGTAATTACTAACCAGAATCTTTAGATGTTTCCAGGAAGAGAATGGGACGTTTCAGAAGTCGCATAAACAAAAAGCTCCTGCTTGTGCTGTTTAAAAGCGAGACAGGCAAAGTAAAGGGCCTGCGTTCAAAACTTAATAGAAAATCCCGTGAAAACCGACGATAAAGAATTAATAGATGACGCTGCCTCTTTGACCCCTCAAACTCCCGCCCCTTGTCCCTCGATTTTCTTTATGTTTTCGGAACTGTATTGCCAATCATGAAAAGCGGACACTCGAAAGATGTTTTCTTACAAGGTACTCCGCTTCCCTAGCTCCAATTGCCTTTTGTTTGAAATCCTCAGAATTGCGCAAATAAAGCAATTATTTTTATTATTTCTAATCTTCTACAGGTGCTTTCTGATCTGATTTTCTAGCCTGCCGGTGTTTGGATCAAACCGGCAAATTGTATTGCTTATCTGTGGTTTCAGTGTCATCAAATGCTCTTTTTCCTCTACAGCACCTGTTAATGTGATGTTGATATTGCCAGAGTTCTTAATTTATTAGTTCATTTAATCGTTTCTGGATTCGTTAAGGCTATCATCTTAACAACCTACCTGTCTTCGAAGCTGTTGTCTTTTAAACCATGTTTTCAATGATTTTGACGTTCTGCAGATTGTCGATGTTCTTATTATTCGGTTTAATAGTGTAGTATCTTGGGTTTAAAACATTGTTGTTTCAGTAGACAAATGAGTTGTATATGTTAATATATTTTATAAGAAAGCTAATAAGCAATGCTAGGGTTTGCGGCAGGATTCTTAAGGATGGCGCATGAATGTCCCTAACACGAAAGTTTGACGCAGTTTTCACATACTCTCTGGAAAACAGTATATACAGCAGAGCGATTCTATAATTTTAGTATTTCTTTTAAATAAAATGTAGAAAATTTGACAAACATTTGTCTTCCCTGCTCTGTATCCTATCATTCCTCTACTCTTTTTTTCTCGTATTTTACTTCCCCCTTATTCCTTTCTTCCGAATGCCTTTTTAATTTTATCAATCTTTAATCTCTTCCTCGCAGCTCTATCGCGACAATGTCCTTTCGAAACACACGGAGCTGGTTAGAATTATCATGGCATCGGAGGTCCTAAACGGGATGAGCAAAGTCGACTCAGAAATCGCAGATTCAAGCCAATTCGTTGAACTACCAGAAGGTATGTGCAATCAAAACAACCTCATTGTTGATGCTGCCTATTTATTTTTCTTAATCTATAAAGGATTTGAGTTTCTAGAAAATCGTATTCCTATATTTGATTTCACAATCATGAGCACGTCACAAGGTCCCTCGCATTTCCACGTAAGCTAGCCATGTTTCTTTAAGAATTTTTTGAATACCATATACCTGGGAATTGTCGTTGATTACCTCAATTAAATGGGACAGTTTTCATGTTTTTTGAAGAGAATACTTTAATGTCAGTGAATTGTCAGAACAAACCCTTTTCAGCTTCATTCGGATAGGCATTTCAGATTTGAAAAACCTATATATTTGAATTTAAAAGACAATATTTAAACAATCATATAAGCCTAGTTATTTTTGAGTTCTTCGCATAGATCACTCACCCTTTGTATTCTCTAAAACCGTCCATAATTGCCGCTCCCACAGATTGTTCTTGTCACTACCAACTCTTCATTGTTTTGTTCTGCAGGTGATTGGGTACATACAACAAATACATTGATTAAACGATACTCGAATTTAACAAAAAATCTCATCACATATGAAAGTGAACTTCGCGTTGGCTTGTTGAAAGTTCAGTGTCTCGATGATGCTGTCAGTTCTGTAATGAAATGGGTGAAGAAAACCAGAAAAGAGCTGCAGGAGATATCTTCAGTGTCAACTGATGTTGTAGTGCTATACGAGCAAGTGACTAAAATGAGGGTGTGTATGAATCCATGTTACTTTGTCTACGCCCAACAGAATGGTTCAAGTCACTTATTTTTAAGGTATAAGCTTCTCTGAACCAAATTAAAGATTGTTCTGTCACTTTCCACCGCTATGTCTTGACTGCACTGTGACAGAAGTTTGCCAAGTCTCTCCCTCCCTGGATCGAAACAAATTTGTTCTCTTTTTGCTTAGGCAATGATTCATCAGAAGGAAATTTTCTGGTACTTGCCAATTAGAGGTTAACATGGAACAATCTTTTCATGGGAGCCATATGATTAACAAGAGAATATTGAATTTCAAAACTAATTTAAGCAGAGACAATATAGAGATTGCCTATTCTCTGTAGCGTCACCTTGAAGTACCCTGTATTTCAAATATATTTTACAAGATGTCTTCCCTATTCTTGATTCACGATAAGCTTTGTTAGTTTTTTCAGTATAAACATGGCCAGCATTTAGTCTTTGCATTCTATCCGTAATCTTATTGTTGTGATCTTCGAACTAAAACTGTAATGCAATTTGATTATGAATGCCATACTTTTTTAGGCCATCACTGTAGAGATTGTTGCCTGCAGAGAATACATTCAGCAACTGCACGCGAAAGTTGAGCAGGCTCCCGCGGATGAAGCGCAGACTTACTCGCACACTGTTGAAGATATCATTCTTGAGTTCGATCAGTTATTACACCACTCAGACGTGCAGATAAAGCACATGGTTGTTGTTTATGAAGAGATCGTTGTCGAGTTTGAAGAATGGGCGGAAGAAATCGTAGAGAAATTGCAAAGCAGAGATATTGTTACCATTGACCTTGAGGAGTTCCAAAAAGACTTGACGGTATGTGACAATGTAAATCATTCGTCCAGTGTTTATACAAATGTATCAGAATGCGATCTTTATTGAAAATATGTCGATAGAATGGCTTTTGATATTTCTATGAATTGCCTTGCAGGGTATTCAGAAAATATTACGTACTTTTTGTTGTATTTGTTTCTATCTAGCATCCGAAGGTAGTTTTAAGGACACTGAGAGGCTTATGCTTATCGAGTAGTGCCCTGGTCCTTCCTCTCGATGTGACCACACCTCGTGATTTCTACGCCTGGAATTACTGAGAGCTGGCGATTCTCCTCACTCTGGTTAAAAGTTTGGTCAAATGTACTCTTTTCTCACTAGGTTTGGCCATTGTTTGAATCAAGCGTTCACCTTTTTTCAAGCCATGCCCTAAACACACTTTTTTAAGATGTTTTAACTGAACACATATGATTTTCTTTTCAACTTATTATGCTTCTGAATTTCGACTTAAAAGGATTACTCTCTTAAGAAACAAGATTCTACTGGAAGTAAAGAATAAAATTGAAATTTTGATAACATTTCTTGCAGACTGTGACTGAGGAAGTTGAAACGAACAGGTCACTGTATCAGCGGATTAATCACATTGGCAGGGAACTGCTTTCTGCAAATCCAGAAAACCTGACCCAGCAGTTTCTGCCAGTTATTGAGAGAATCAACACCACGTGGCAGACGATCACGGTCGAAATACTCAGCCACACGCGTAACTTCGACGAGTTGGTCAAATGCGCAGAGAAATACAACGGTGTGAAGGAGCCTTTGGAAGCGTGGCTTGATGAGACCGAGGCCAGGATTGATAGACTCGACGAAATCGCCCTTGATGTTGATGTTGTAATGAAACAAATTGACGAACAAAAGGTTTTTGATTCTCCATTCTGTGTAGATTAATGCGTTTCTCCATTATTGTTTAGCCCTTTTCTACGACCTTAAACACTCCCTAAACTTTAACAACCACATCTATATATTTCAGACACATTAATTCATCATTTATAACTTCTATGATATATACTTATATAAAGCTCTCACTTGAAATCATTTCTTAACGCTTACTTGTTTTAGGTTTTATCAAGCGAACTTCTGAATCGCAAAGGCAGTGCTGAAATTCTTAACTCAATTTCCGAATCTGTTGTTTCGATAATTCAGGAGCCTGATGACGATACAGGTATGCGCTGTGCTGTTTTTTTGTCTTTCTAAACTCATTTGTGACGTCTAAAAAGAGTTGTTGAACGGTTTCAATGTATATTACTTAAAGATTACAACTTCATTTGGTTGCCTACTGCTTGTTTATATGGCTTTCTATTGAAGGCCAAGTTCGTTGCCCAAGGTGGTACAAGATTGCACTCTCGCCAAAAAGTTCCATGTACATTTAGTTTTCAAAGGTTTTTACTCTTGTACTTTAGCAAAGATTGGTGGCCGTGTTTGCTCTATAATGGATGTACCGACAAATTTGAACAATTTATTCACATAATGTGGCGTATATAGGAAAATTCATAGCAGGGGCGAAAAATTCAGATTTTCAGACAAAAGTCTAATAAGCAAAGTTATTTTTTCATATATGTGAACGTAGCGACATGAAAGCTGAAATGAATAATCTTCTAATATATTCAGATATTCTTATGCTATATTCAACTTCAAAATCTCTTAAAATGTATATAACATTTTTAAAAAATAGACAACGATATTTTAATTCCGTCAAGATCAGAATTTTCTGACGAAATAGCAGTTTAGCTCTACAGGGGGTTTTCCGCCCTCTTTGACCCCCCTCTATTCAAGCCGCTGTCTAGTGGGCTGTTTTATTGCAATGGTCCGCTTGCAATTAGAGTAAGAATGTCTTTTCCAGAAGTCATTCTTCCTCGTGTGGTTTGAAATTTATACAGTACATACTTCGGGCACTGTGTTAGCTTATCTGTCAAAACGACCAGGCTAATGTGCCCCCGTGTTCTTTCTAATTCTAGATACCGAAGAGGTGCTTATCATTAGAGATGAAGTGTCGAATATACAACAAAGATACGGGATATTGATATCGCGAATGGAGGAAAGAGGGAGCAAGCTCGAAACCTTGGCTACAGAGATAAAGAAATTCAATAAAAATTATGCAGAAGTCTCTGAGTGGCTGGAAAGAGCAGAAAAGTTTCAATCGGAGCAGAAAGCTGTAGAAATGGATTTACACTCGCTTGGTCTACTCATAAAGGAGCAAAAGGTTTCCTTCAGTTTTATCAAGCCGCTTTCTGTTTTGAATATTTTTAGTATTTGAACAATATTTATAATGAGCTTTTTCTAGTCTACGTTTGGTAAATACTCAAACCTCTTTAACTGTAAAGGAATTACCCGTTTTTACATATGAACACGCATATATATGTTATTTTGATTTATCATTTTCTCTGTAGCATACTTTTCAAATTTCTTCTTTTAAAATTCTGAGCAAATTTATCTATATGAAAAGCAATGATAAATAATAGCAATTTAAAGATATAAGTTATTATAATTTCAATTTGTCATTTCTTAAAGTATAGGCTTTAGTCTTAGACGATTTGTTTTTATGAGGTTTCAGAGCAATGACAAACAAGCTTTCTCTAGCAAATTGAAAAATGTTATGCTTAGTTTGCCAAATTGTTATTCATCTTTATAGTATGAAAATCTTTTCGTTATGTTTTCTCTAAGTTAATATTTCTTCATATTTCCATGCACATTTCAAGTGATTTTTCCATCATTTTCCAAAGGTTTTTCAAAGAGAGCTTACGCAAGGCATTATCGATGTCAATGGACTCATTGAACTTGGTAACGAACTCATTACTGGAAAAGAAACTGTTTTTGGTGCCTCAGACCTGAAGCTTCATTTAGAAAGCACGAAATCAAGATGGGAAAGTATTGAAAATCATTCGTTGTCAAGGCAGCAATCATTGGAAGATACACTCGAGCAGACGTTTAAGGAAGAAGTTAATAAGATAGTTGTATGGATACAACAGAGGGACAAGCAGCTGGATGATGCTGAATTTGTCATGACTGTCAAGGATGTCAATGCATATATACACGTATGTTGTTTATTTTTGTTGCATGCAGTGTTCTGTAGAGCATCATCAGGCAGATCTCAGATATTTTTCTCTTTCTCAAATATATTTTTGAGTTCTTTTATCTAGTTGTCTCTGTTTAGCTCTTTGATAGATGCACACCTATCTTTTGGATGGCTCATTGTTAAAATCTCTTTCTGATGTATAGAATTCCTATTTGAAAGGATTCAGAGTTGTGCTGTTTGATGTGCTGCATGTTTGATTGCAGTCATGAAGCTAGTAACAAAATATGTTACATTACAGAAAGCACGTTGTGTGCCCGAATGCTGCCCGAAAATCCTTAAAAACTGTGCAGTGTCCTATATGACACTGCACACTTTCCAACAGATCAAAAGCATCTTTCCATCTACTAATTCTTTGATTAATCTCCATTTATTCTTTTCCACCAGACATTTTCTGTTGAAATTGAAACCCAAGAAGAAAGATTCTTTATTGTGCACAAAACCGGATCGGAAATGCTCCAAGAGAGAGAAGACGAGGCCCAGGCTGTTGTACAGATCCTGGCTCAATTGGAAAAGAAGTGGAATTCACTTCGAATGAAACTGCAAAGTCATGGTTGGATTAATCAAAGATTGAAAATGCGATCTGCAGTTGATGTGGAAAGAGGGAATGTTGACAAGAGGGTATGCTATTTTTCAGCAGTTATAGTACAATTTAACTGCCGTTTGGAATAAGTCGTATTTGAAAGACAGGAAATTTAAAAACATGATTGATTTGTTGTGACGTCTGCTAAATGCGGGTTAAAATTTGTTTCTCTAACATGAAATAAGTGAAATACTAATATGACAAATTTTCAGGCAGATGTGAACATTTTTCATTTGATACTGCTAATAGATGCAGCAATATAGTAATTCATAGAGAGCTTGTAATCGTGACAGGATGTAATCTTGTCTTTGAATATAGAATGACAATACTCTATAGTCTTGATTTTACTCAAGTTGATGTTAATCTAGTATTTTCATTCTAGATTTGGAAAGTTTGAAAACTTCATTACACTTAAATAGCTTGATTGTTCAAGACCTTGGATTTTTAGCGTTTGTTATTGTTAGTCAGTTCTCCGTGTCTTTTATGAGGTTTGATTAAGAATATTTTGATTTCACAGAGCCTCGATGTCAGGCAAATAATTTCAAGTCCTGGTGAGCCTCTCTCTCCATCCAAGGTCGAAATCAGCGTTGAGTCTACAGATGGCCGTTTTGGTAGTCCCTCATTTACTGACGACCCACAACACAATCTATTCACATTCACTCGTTCGCATTCAGCCTCGATTCCAAGATCACCATCAGTACGTCGTAGGGGAGCCGTAGCATATCGCAGATCTCTTTCCGCTGAAAAACGAAAAACTGCTAGAACACCGGATGGACAGAGTCCAAGTCCCATTCGTAAATTTCCAGGTCGCATTGGTGAAAGTCCGGTCCCGTCTAGCAGCAGTCCGGACGTATCTTCTCCTTTGAGAAGACAGCGACCTTTGACATTGAGAATCCCAGAACGAGTCTCTGCAGAAGACTTTTCAACAAAAACAAAGCGTCTTAGGCGCACACAAAGCGAAAAGAGGGTTATAAAAAGACAGGTTGTTGACGAATTCGGGCGAAAAACAACAAGAGATATCTTAGAGCCGGTATCTCCTTCCACTCACGACTCGGGCCAAGTTATCATACACTCACCCACTCAGTTAGGAACAGTAAGCTCGGAAGAGGTTCGTCACCCTAACTGATTCTTTTCCAATCTTCAATCATGCTCTTATTGCTCTGGTTGTTATTTACCAGCTGCTATTTTACTTGCATAATATCTTGTCCTGAATGTAGCTTCTCGAATGTAGTTCTGAAGCAAAATAAAATAAAAATTGCCGTCAAAGTTAAATACGATTAAAAATTTTTCAGAGTGCCAGTTTCTGTTCAATATCATTTGCTTCATATTAAATTTTTGTAGAAAACTTTTGTAGCAAACAAACACTTTTGCAGAAAACTTTATCAGGTTAATATTCTCACCAGTAAAACTGATTTTATTATCATGATATCATTGCATAAAGATGTTCACTGGATGAATTTGACGGTGTTTGTGAAAGCACGGAATCATATATTCAGTTCCTGGTTTACTTCCAGGAGGATTCATTGGCCAAGATTATTCAAGCTAAAATTCACTCACGCAATAATTCACTTTGAGTATTTTTCATGATAAAAGGTATATTGAAGAAAGAAATAGCGATTTTTATGTTCTTGAATAATAGCTTAAAAAGGTAAATCATCACGAAGAAAGATTTTTGAACGTTTAAACATTACATTTTTCGTGGTTAAACAGACAGTTAACATTTTCGTTGGCACGGTACTTTTTAGTTGTCAAACGTTTGTATATCTTACAATAAATGGTTGATATGTTTTATTTCTTGATTTAGGTGATCTGCAATGATCAAGGCAAAGTTATTCGACGTATAATTGAGAGGGTAACTGAAGTGACAAGAAGAACAAGGATTATTAGGAGAATCGTTATCGACGAATTCGGAAACGAAAGGGTTACAGAAGAAGAAGTGCCGATTGATGAGATAGAGAACCCATTGGAAGAGGATGATGATGATCAGATGCTTGTTGTTGGGGCTGCCGACGAGAGCACAGATTCGCCAAAAGTACCCTTGCTGACAACGGTGCATAGGCCAGTAAGATCTGCCCACTTTGAGTATAAACTTGATGAAGCAGAAGTAAAAGAAGAGCAAAAACAAGCAGAAGTACCGGCGCTAAAGCCTGAGCCAGTCGTTGAAGTGGAAGAGCAACCCGAGATGGAATTTGTACCCATTGTGCGCTCTAAAGTACTTTCAAAACGAACAGCTATCCGCCATGAGGGAGATCCAGGCACAAAAAGACAGGTAACACTTCAGCACTGTTCTAGCAATCTACATCGTTATTTTAATCATCTGATCATATCATGATCAGTTCACAGTCATTATCATTCAAACTGCAAATCTTTCAAGATTTATTTCACTTTATTTTAGGTCATTCGACGAAAGGAGCTGAGCAGCCAAATAATGCTTGAGACAGAGAGCAATGTTCTAACTGAGGCTGAGAAGAAAGAGCCATTGCTGACAACGGTGCATAGGCCAGTAAGATCTGCCCACTTTGAGTATAAACTTGATGAAGCAGAAGTAAAAGAAGAGCAAAAGCAAGCAGAAGTACCTGCGCCAAAGCCTGAGCCAGTCGTTGAAGTGGAAGAGCAACCCGAGATGGAATTTGTACCCATTGTGCGCTCTAAAGTACTTTCAAAACGAACAGCTATCCGCCATGAGGGAGATCCAGGCACAAAAAGACAGGTAATGCTTCAGCACTGTTCTAGCAATCTACATCGTTATTTTAATCATCTGATCATATCATGATCAGTTCACAGTCATTATCATTCAAACTGCAAATCTTTCAAGATTTATTTCACTTTATTTTAGGTCATTCGACGAAAGGAGCTGAGCAGCCAAATAATGCTTGAGACAGAGAGCAATGTTCTATCTGAGGCTGAGAAGAAAGAGCCGTTGCTCCGTGAAACACTTCTGATGCAAGAAGAAACCATTCCTACTCCAGAGGTTACAGTTGAAACAGAGAATGAACCAGATCATTTCTATGCCGCACTTGAACAGGCAGAAGCCACTGAGAAGATTATCACTTCAAGGCAAGTTGTAAGAACACAGTTTGGGAAAGTGCATGAGAAAACAGTGAATTACGAGGAACCATCTTTAAAAGATTCAGTCAAAGTTGAAGAAGAAGTTTTTGTTGAGCCGTCTGAGGAAATGGTTGTTGAAGTGGAACCGCAAGGAATGATGGAAGTCGATTTTATACCAAGAAAACGGGAGAAGATTCCAGTCAAACGCACTGCAATGCGGCATAGTGATGAAGCTGCATCACAGCGAAAGGTTATAAGAATCCGTGAAACAGAGACTGAGGAGCTGCCTGTAACCGAGGTTTCCACTACTGAAGAGTTGATTGTAGCACCTGTAGTTGTTGCTGATGTCGAGTCTCTCCCGCAAGTGGATTTTGATGCTTTGATTGACGCCAAACAAGATGACAGGAGAAAGGAAGGAAATATTGCGAGAACAGTGCATCGGCTGGAAGAGATTCCTGTGACAAAAAGACAGGTTGTAAGGTCGTCAGTTAGAGAGACCTACACCACAACAGCACGTGTTGATAATTCAGAAGGGAATGAAAGCACTGCAATGGACACCGTGCCTGGAATGACTCAGCAGACCCCAGAAGCTATAGAGGTTGGTTCAAAGGTAGATGTAAACATTTCTCAACCTGTGATTAAGAAAGAGGAAGCCACACGCACAGCAGTTCGTATGGGTGAAGACTTTGTTACCAAGAGACAGGTTTTCAGGTCTTATGAGACTGAGACTCACAAAATTATGGAGTTTGACAGGCCTAAGTCAGAGGACAAGAATCGTGAAGAAGTGCAAGAAGAAGCACTAACAGAGCCTGTTGCATCCGTGGATGTTGAGGTACAGCCGGAGCTTTATTTTGAAGGTGAAACCATACTTGATATTAAGGAGCATGGGTTGACAAGGACAGTTGTGAGGCATGGCGAAGATGAGGTCAGTAGACGACAAGTGTTACGCAGCCATGTTACTGAAACACATGCGATTCGTGTTGGATATGAAGATTATAGTGAAGATACTGTAGAAGAAGTCATTGCTGAGCCGGAAGAAGCTGTTGTTGATCATGCAGAGGTTCTCATTAATGGGCTGGAAAATGAAATGGAAGATCAGGACTTGTATGACCCTGAATTGATTGTGGAAAAAGAGAGCATGACTGGGAAATTCGACTTCTTACGGACAGCGCTAAGGCAAGAAGAGTTTGAAGTAACAAGAAGACAGGTATACAGAAGCACTGTGAAGGAGGTGGTCGATCTTGATGAGGAAAAACGACTGAATTTGATAAATGATGAGGTTTCTAAAGCCACAGAAAAAGAAGACTCTGGCCAAGGTACGTTGTCGTCTGTGCTCTTAAACTTTTGTGTGGCCATGCCACAAATTGAGGACACACATTTAAACGCTCAGTTTTTTAATGCGAACTTTGAGTATTATTGCATTCGGCACTTGATGTTTTGTTTATATATATATATATCTAAACTTAAATTGAATATAAATTACAAAACCCTTGTCTTATTGTCTACACTGGGCAGATATTAATAATACTACTGCAGTTCACTGCATCAGGAAAGTTATATTAAATTTTGTTAAGTGATTGCAATACACTTCATGTAACAGCTGCAGATAAATAAAAAGTGGCATTTCTGCAGCTTTTTTGTTGGGAAAGACTGATTATGTTTAGTGACATAAATTCGTTGGTTAATCTTTTTATCTATTGTATTGGCTCTTCATTTTGCTATTGGTTCTCATTATAAAAGCCAACTATTTCTAACAATCTTATCAGTTTGAGAAGAAAAAATTATATGAAAGTTTGGCTCACTCTTATTTCTTAAATAATTTATGTCTTCAAATGCCAGATTGGCCGTAAGTAGACTTATGAAGCCAATTTTGTTCGGAAATTCCACTGTTTTTAAAATCGAAAATTATAACCATGTTAATTCCCTTGCTTCATTGCTTTCAAATGTTTGCATCTTGTTCATTGAAAGCTGACTTTATCAAGAAAATGATCCATTATACAGTTTTTGATAACAGCTATTTTAATTTTTTGTTAAAAGTATGTTTTTATTTGAAAACTGAAATATGAAAACGATTTAAGCCTATATTTTCTAAGCAAAACATGTTTTGAAAATATTTTTCTTAACTTTTCATGATCCTAATTACGATTTTTTGATAGGTACATCAAGTGTTTCTAGTGCTTCGCTTGAGGAAGATGTTCAAGTGGCACAGGTTCTTGAAGTTGAAACCGAACCACAGTTCTTAGTGGATGAAGTAAGGGAATACACTGTAGAAGAAGATTTTATAAGCAAGGAAATAGCAGAGGAGCCTGTGGAGCAGTTTGAAGAAAAAATCTCACGCAGAGTTTATCGTGAAAAGATTGAGCCGAGCAGTATCTTTTTGACTGCTACCAAGCCAGCAGAGTTGATGGTCCCTAAAGATAGGCCAGTCCCTGAAGCTATCAAGCCTGTTATTTTGCAAGAGCCTGCCCCTACATGTTTAAGTGAAGTTTTCGTGCACCTTACACCATATCGATTGCTCATGTATCTTGACAATGAAAACACATCAATAACTGAAATCACTAGAAGAGTTCATCTTCTCAGAGCGAGGAGTTCTATCGTATCAAAGTCAAAGTTCGTAAACTCCCAAACCAGGCAGGTTTTGCCTCCAAAAACCGTAAAGAAGTTTATTTCAGTCCGATTTTTCACTGTCTCTGCCTGTCCACACGAAAACGCAGACCATAAAGAGATTGAAAATGTTAAAGCATCAAATAGTGTAATCCTTTTGAAGAAACGAACCAGTTACTCCTCAACATCTATCCTTCTCAAGTTCAACATAGAAAGCCACATTTCAAAGCATGGTATGTTCTACAAGGATCAAGATTTTGACGAAAATGGAAACCTGCATGTTGTTATATTCCAACAAAGCATTTTCTCAGCTTATAGGTACAAAATTAACATCTCAACAAGGAAGTGGAATAATAACCAACAGTTTATTACAAGTGAAACAAAGGCAAAAGTTGTTACAAAGAGGAGTGTTTATCGCAGCAAAGAGTCGAAGGAAATAGAGCCAGAGAGAAAGGAGGTGATCAAGGAGCCAGAAGCTGTTTTGGTTGGGGAAAGCTATCCAGCTCAACCTGTCACTTTACAAGAGCCAGGGACAATGGCTGCAAGAGAAGAAACTGAGCTTACTACTTCTCGTCAAGTATACAGAATACGAGAGCCTGAAGATTCAAGGGCTGTTGAAGAAATTGTTGAAGAACCAGGAACTGATGTGTTCTTCGAGGAGGCTTTCCTTGAAGAGCCTGATTTCTTCAAGGGGCCAGAGCCAGTACCTCAAAGAAAGCCTGAAGTGGATGTCGAAGAAGCAGTGATCAGCGAGCCAGAGGTGTATGTCCCTGAAGAGTCAATGCCAGAAGACATTCCAGAAATGGAAGAGGAGACAGTTGGAGTAGAGCGTAGAGTTGTGAGACAGGCAGTGATTGAAAGGACATCAAGGAAGGTATACAGATCTGTGCAAGTTGCTGTGGACGTGCAACCAGAAATAGAGCCCGAAAAAGAGGAGTTGGTGGAGGATGTGATCGAGGAGCCAGCAACTGATGTGGTGTTTGAAGAAAGCTACCCAGTTGAACCTGGTATGTTTGAAGAACCAGAGCCAGAGACAGTGCCTGAAAGAGAAGAAAATGAGGTGGTTACACGTCGTCAAGTGTACAGAGTAAGGGAGCCAGAGAAGGAAGCAGTTGTAGAAGAGATTTTTGCAGAACCAGCAACTAATGTGGTCTTCGAAGAGACTTCCCCCGAAGAACCTGATTTCTTCAGGGAGCCAGAGCCAGTGCCTGAAAGTGAGGATGAGGAAGAAGAAAAAGAGGAGGTGCAAATTCGCCGACAGGTTTACAGGATGAAAGAGGCTAAAATACCAGAAGACGAGAAGGAAGACGAGACAACTGCCAAGCTGTCAGTGCGCCGAACTGTGACATTCAAAAAGAGGATTGTAAAGAAGATAATTTACTTGGCGGATGGAAGCCCATCAGAAGTTGAAGTGGAAGAGCCGGTTGAGCCATTGGATGTTGAAGAGCCAGATGAAGTGGTAGTTGCTGCTGAGCCAGTAAAGAGCATAAGTGAGCGCACAGTTGTGAGAAAGGAGAAGGAGACAGTAACAAGAAGAACGGTTTACAGAAGGCTTACAGAAGAAGAGAGGCAGGACAAGGAGGTTGAAGAACATGAACCAGAGGCACTGGTACCACCAAAAATGGTAGAACGCTTGTTTGTGCGTCGTATACTTAGAAAGCAAGATGGAACAGAGACGTTGCTTGACAAATCTGAGAGTGTGGTACCGGTTGAGAGTGTAGCTCCTGTTACCGAAGAGGTAGAAGAGCTAAAGAAAGAGGACAAAGAAACTGCAGAGGGCTTCGTTGTAAGGAAAGTGATAAGAAGGCCCTTGTTTTTAACAAGCAAGAGGACTGTTGTCAGAAAGGTAGAAATCACTGATGATGGAGAAGAACGCGAAGTTGCAGCTGATGTTGTGGAAGATGTAGCGCCAGTAGCGAGCTCTGAACCAATGGTGACTCACAGAACTGTGCGAAGAGTAGTGAGCAGCAAAGCAGATGATATTGATTCAAGGATACCACTGGAGATTGTGAGAACAGACAGGCCAGAAGCAGAAGTGAGTGAGGAGGAGATGGCAGGTGAAGTAAGGCGTACAGTGAGAAGAAGGTCAATAACCAGCACCCAAAGAAGAGTTGTTCGCCGAATTGTTGAAAGCTCTGATGGTAAGGAGGAGACAGTTGAAGACGAAGTTATGCTACCCGTCGAAGCTATTGGTTACAGAGTGGTTAGACGAAGAATTGTTCGAGCAGACAAGACTGAGGAAGTCGTGACACGTGCAGATTATGTGTTGCCAGACACAGAGGAGGCTGTAGAAAGCGTTGAGCAGTTGAAGGATGAAGAATTTGGCGTGGAAAGAAAAGTGATTCGCAGGCCAGTACCAGTTGTGACAGTGAGAAAGGTTTACAGGACAATAATACTGACTGAAGCAGGAGACGAATTGGACAGAGACGAAAAGATAGAAGAGCAAGATGTTCCTGCGATGCCATTGCATACAAGTGAATTACTAGACGAGGAGAAGCCTATAGAAGAACTGAGGACTGTGAAAAGAATTGAGCCAGACATCGTAACACGCAGACAAGTGATCAGACGTGTCACATCAAAGAAGGAAGTTGAACCAGTTGTAACAGAAGAAGTTGAGCCTGAACCAGAGATCCCAGAGCCTGAGCTCGAAGTTGAAGTGGAGGCATTGCCTAAGCCTGAACAAGAGGAAATAGAAGAAGATTTTAGGCTGAGAAGGGTTGTTAGAAGGCCAGTGCACATGACAAGTCGTAGAACAGTGATTCGAAAATTCGAAGCAGCAACTGATGAGCATGATGTTGAGGAAGAAGAGGAGGATGGCTTAGAAGCTGTTTACCCGAAAAGGGTTGTTGTGAGGAGAACTGTTTTGCAGCCTGAAGTGGATGTCGAAGAAGCAGTGATCAGCGAGCCAGAGGTGTATGTCCCTGAAGAGTCAATGCCAGAAGACATTCCAGAAATGGAAGAGGAGACAGTTGGAGTAGAGCGTAGAGTTGTGAGACAGGCAGTGATTGAAAGGACATCAAGGAAGGTATACAGATCTGTGCAAGTTGCTGTGGACGTGCAACCAGAAATAGAGCCCCAAAAAGAGGAGTTGGTGGAGGATGTGATCGAGGAGCCAGCAACTGATGTGGTGTTTGAAGAAAGCTACCCAGTTGAACCTGGTATGTTTGAAGAACCAGAGCCAGAGACAGTGCCTGAAAGAGAAGAAAATGAGGTGGTTACACGTCGTCAAGTGTACAGAGTAAGGGAGCCAGAGAAGGAAGCAGTTGTAGAAGAGATTTTTGCAGAACCACCAACTAATGTGGTCTTCGAAGAGACTTCCCCCGAAGAACCTGATTTCTTCAGGGAGCCAGAGCCAGTGCCTGAAAGTGAGGATGAGGAAGAAGAAAAAGAGGAGGTGCAAATTCGCCGACAGGTTTACAGGATGAAAGAGGCTAAAATACCAGAAGACGAGAAGGAAGACGAGACAACTGCCAAGCTGTCAGTGCGCCGAACTGTGACATTCAAAAAGAGGATTGTAAAGAAGATAATTTACTTGGCGGATGGAAGCCCATCAGAAGTTGAAGTGGAAGAGCCGGTTGAGCCATTGGATGTTGAAGAGCCAGATGAAGTGGTAGTTGCTGCTGAGCCAGTAAAGAGCATAAGTGAGCGCACAGTTGTGAGGAAGGAGAAGGAGACAGTAACAAGAAGAACGGTTTACAGAAGGCTTACAGAAGAAGAGAGGCAGGACAAGGAGGTTGAAGAACATGAACCAGAGGCACTGGTACCACCAAAAATGGTAGAACGCTTGTTTGTGCGTCGTATACTTAGAAAGCAAGATGGAACAGAGACGTTGCTTGACAAATCTGAGAGTGTGGTACCGGTTGAGAGTGTAGCTCCTGTTACCGAAGAGGTAGAAGAGCTAAAGGAAGAGGACAAAGAAACTGCAGAGGGCTTCGTTGTAAGGAAAGTGATAAGAAGGCCCTTGTTTTTAACAAGCAAGAGGACTGTTGTCAGAAAGGTAGAAATCACTGATGATGGAGAAGAACGCGAAGTTGCAGCTGATGTTGTGGAAGATGTAGCGCCAGTAGCGAGCTCTGAACCAATGGTGACTCACAGAACTGTGCGAAGAGTAGTGAGCAGCAAAGCAGATGATATTGATTCAAGGATACCACTGGAGATTGTGAGAACAGACAGGCCAGAAGCAGAAGTGAGTGACGAGGAGATGGCAGGTGAAGTAAGGCGTACAGTGAGAAGAAGGTCAATAACCAGCACCCAAAGAAGAGTTGTTCGCCGAATTGTTGAAAGCTCTGATGGTAAGGAGGAGACAGTTGAAGACGAAGTTATGCTACCCGTCGAAGCTATTGGTTACAGAGTGGTTAGACGAAGAATTGTTCGAGCAGACAAGACTGCGGAAGTCGTGGCACGTGCAGATTATGTGTTGCCAGACACAGAGGAGGCTGTAGAAAGCGTTGAGCAGTTGAAGGATGAAGAATTTGGCGTGGAAAGAAAAGTGATTCGCAGGCCAGTACCAGTTGTGACAGTGAGAAAGGTTTACAGGACAATAATACTGACTGAAGCAGGAGACGAATTGGACAGAGACGAAAAGATAGAAGAGCAAGATGTTCCTGCGATGCCATTGCATACAAGTGAATTACTAGACGGAGAGAAGCCTATAGAAGAACTGAGGACTGTGAAAAGAATTGAGCCAGACATCGTAACACGCAGACAAGTGATCAGACGTGTCACATCAAAGAAGGAAGTTGAACCAGTTGTAACAGAAGAAGTTGAGCCTGAACCAGAGATCCCAGAGCCTGAGCTCGAAGTTGAAGTGGAGGCATTGCCTGAGCCTGAACAAGAGGAAATAGAAGAAGATTTTAGGCTGAGAAGGGTTGTTAGAAGGCCAGTGCACATGACAAGTCGTAGAACAGTGATTCGAAAATTCGAAGCAGCAACTGATGAGCATGATGTTGAGGAAGAAGAGGAGGATGGCTTAGAAGCTGTTTACCCGAAAAGAGTTGTTGTGAGGAGAACTGTTTTGCAGCCTGAAGTGGATGTCGAAGAAGCAGTGATCAGCGAGCCAGAGGTGTATGTCCCTGAAGAGTCAATGCCAGAAGACATTCCAGAAATGGAAGAGGAGACAGTTGGAGTAGAGCGTAGAGTTGTGAGACAGGCAGTGATTGAAAGGACATCAAGGAAGGTATACAGATCTGTGCAAGTTGCTGTGGACGTGCAACCAGAAATAGAGCCCGAAAAAGAGGAGTTGGTGGAGGATGTGATCGAGGAACCACCAACTGATGTGGTGTTTGAAGAAAGCTACCCAGTTGAACCTGGTATGTTTGAAGAACCAGAGCCAGAGACAGTGCCTGAAAGAGAAGAAAATGAGGTGGTTACACGTCGTCAAGTGTACAGAGTAAGGGAGCCAGAGAAGGAAGCAGTTGTAGAAGAGATTTTTGCAGAACCAGCAACTAATGTGGTCTTCGAAGAGACTTCCCCCGAAGAACCTGATTTCTTCAGGGAGCCAGAGCCAGTGCCTGAAAGTGAGGATGAGGAAGAAGAAAAAGAGGAGGTGCAAATTCGCCGACAGGTTTACAGGATGGCATTTGATGATTCACCAGGTGTTAGGGCAGTTCAGTCCCTTACTGTGGTTCGTCCTTGTACTGATTCTGAATATAGTGTAAGTTCAGATTTGTCGGATGATCGCGAAGTTACTACCCGAACTGTATTGCGTGAAGTTGTTCGACCAGAAAAAGGGTCGGTCAATGTTGATGGTAAGGTTATTGACAAAACTGTTACTCTTATAAGACCGTCCCAATCTCCTGTCGAATCAGATAGTGACGAAGACGAGAAATCTACTAAGAGGCGCATTTATCGCACTGCTGTGCCAGTCAAACTTGCTGAGTTACCCGTTTCAGAGGTTGTTGTTGAGCCAGTTGCCACAGTAGATACTGAGGCCTCTTCAGTTATACCCGGTTTGTTTGTGGAAGAAGAGCCTGTCTGTTCTGATGTTCTTCGTGAGGTCCGTAGAAAGTCTGTGCCTGAATTAACCCGTCGTTCTGTAATTCGTAACATCGAAAAGGAAGAAGAGCCGGAGTCAACAGTAGCTGTTAATGACTACACTGACATATCGTCAGAGGACGTAAAAATCGCTGAAAAAAGACTAGAAAAGATCGCCAAAAGGATGATGAAGACTTTTGTTTATCGTAAAGTATTTGTTACTTACAAGACTGTAATGGTTAGAAAGCTTGTTGATGAGTATGGGGAAATTGTTGAAAGTTTTGATGAAGGGAAGGATGATCTTGAGAAAGATGGCTTCAAAAGATTTGATGACGATGATGGTGCAAGCCCGAGCCCAAGTATGTGTTTTAAATCTAGTTTTGCTACTTAATTTCAGTCAAGTTTAGGTTTTGCTTTTAATATTTGCTTGAATATTTCAAACTACACTTTATTTCAGAACTCTTTATTTCAGTATTTGACGTGGACTTTCAACATTGTCTAATTTTCATATCTTGGATGATAAACGTTTACTATTAAGAATGAAAGTCACTTTCTCTTTATAATATATTTTCTTGTAATTTGACTTATTGTCCAATTTTTATGAATTTAAGCTGGGGTTTGTGTGTACAAATTTAAGTCAGATTCCGTTTGACCTTTTTTTGCTTTGACTTCGTAGTTTATCAATGAGTTGCTTCAATGACTTTAAAAAATTTTACTTTGAAGCTACTCAAGATTATTTTATCTGATTGTGGAATTTTTTTGCTTATTTAAGGTATCTCAAGGTTACATACTACTCAACATCACACATTTAAATCTTCGGACACAAGTGCTGGAGGCGCTTCTTTGGGACAGGAAAAGAAGACTTTTTCGAGCATTGGAACACAGTGTGATTTTGACAGCCCTCATGTTGGTCATAAGGAAGCTTCCATAGGCACGTTTGAGGACGATATTTCATTGCAATTCAGCTTGAGCGAACCAGTAGTGATTCACAAGGGCGAAGCCTCGCCAAATGTTAAGTCCGACCTGCAGCCTGCCATGAAAATTGTCATGGAACAACCCGAAGGAAAAGAAGCTCGACGATTGCCGGTAATTGAAGGCTTGGAGAGCGCACCAAAAGTTCCTAAGGACAACCGAACTTGGCTGATAGAAATGAAAACTGCCGACGAAATAAATGTAGAAGATGAAAATGAAAAGACAAAGGACATTGATAAGACAATGCATGGTCCGTCGGTTGTGACTGCTGTTGGGGATGTTGCTGTTGATGAGCCCATCGCCCAAGTCAGCGTTATTGAAACCGTCGAATGCCTGCCAGGTGAGCAACAAGATGAAATCGGTGAAATAAAACCAGAGAAAGTTGATGTTAAAGAGCTTCCCGCATCAAGACCAAGCAGAAGGAGTAAAGCAAAACTCGTGAAGCAGAAGACATTCCCTCTGTCTGTATCAGAGCTTCAGGTATGTGAAAGATCAGATTTACCTGGTAATGACAAGGAAACGCGCGTGAAGCTGTCGTCTGTGACGTCAAAGAAGCGGCGTGTGTCGTACGATGAGAAGCGTAATATTTCATTGGAAAGGTTGAGATCATCAATTACGGACGTAGAATTGACACTGGGGAGAAGAAAGTCGAAAGTGAGGGAGATGCTGCTTGCTCGTTACGATATCAATTACGATGCTTATCTTATCTGGATCATGTTTTCGGAAGGAGAGCTCAACAATGTGAGATGTGTCTCAGCAACCTACTCAATTCTCATGGAGCAGAAAGCTTATATTGAGGTATGTCAATAATCACGTTTCCAGGAAATTCATTTCAAGTGTTTCTTGGAAGTTCTGTTAACCCGTTTCTTTGTAGTTTGTAGAAAGTGATGATCTTTCTTCCAAACACAATTAACTTTTCTTGAATTATTTATTGTCCAAAGAAGTCTTAAAGTGTTGCTATGTCATTATGTAGTTCGTGACATTGGTCTAGCTATTCTCGTAATTTGGCATTGTGAACCAAAGTGGAATGGAATAAAGTTTACGTGTAAAAATGTCAGTCTTCCCACGGCAACCAAAGGAGGGGGACTCTTTAATAATGAACAATGTTGTTTGATGTGACTTGAATGCTCTTGCCTGATAAAACTTACGCCTTGCCTATTTTAAGGGAATGATCGAAGATATCGAAGAGAAGAAATGGACAGCGGATGTAATACAGCATCTCCTCACCGAGGTAGATGACATGCAAGCTACAGAAGCGGAAAAGAGGTTATTTGTATCAGAAATTACAAGGCTGGGAACTCAGTTTCAGCGAATTGAGAAGACATCAAAGGAATGTTTGAGTTTCATTGAAGAGATTGAGCCGATCGCAAAGGAATTGAATGACAGTGTTATGCCAGTTGCAAATGTTAATAGGAAGATCCACGATTTGTTAGTCGAAAAGCCAGTTATGGATGTCGATATCACAGTTCTTGAAGATGAGCTTAAAAAAATAGAGGCAAGTTGCATGAATTGAATGTGGAAAATATTGTATTTTCATGTTGCATTCTTGTTTCATTTCTGTTGCATTCATGTTGCAATTAAGTTGCATGTTAATTTCTTATCATCTTTAATTGTTCCATTTAACTGATGATTGAAAGATCTCTTACATTTAGAATTTTGAACATACTGGAGTGGTCCTGTATGAATAGATAAGGCAGACGGGTCTTTGATTATGACAGCTAGGCTTCACTATGCCTTGCATTATGGCACAAATCGGAATACCAGACCTTTGACTTTTAAAAGAACCTGTGTTTTTTACTAATTTTCAATTTTGTAGTTTTTTCTTTGACAAAGTTATAGGAACCGTAAAACCTATATTTCTGGCAGAAATCTTAAAGAGTTTTAAGTGTTACCGTTGTACCATTTTCAGGACTTGGAGAAAATCCTGTCTTCAGCTGCTGTCAGCACAAGAGACACAAAGGCTGCTGTTCAAAAGCTCTCTTTCTACCGTGATGATGTGCTTGATAAGAAGCAGGCAATCGTCCATGCCAATATGGTTGTCACAACTTTTGAAGAGCGTGAAAGATCTCTTATTGCTTATCACAGAACTGTCAAAAAACAATACGAGCGAGCTTACCAGTTATATGAAGATATTGCCAAGTTTGAGGATTGGTACCCTAAGATTGAAAGGCAACTAGAAAGTGATTTTGCACCGAGTCGAGATGCTGAAAGTTTGAAGAGCACGTTGCAAGGGTTCGAGGTACGCATTTCTGTGCTATGAATAGTGCATTAAAAGCCTTTCCGTAATTCTGGACTCAGTAGCTGTGACTAGCTCACCAACACAAGCTGGGAAAAGTTATTGTCAATTCTAGCAATTTCTTGCAGTTTTGGTATTGAAAACACTGAAGCGTTTGGATAATCTTTGGAGAAGTATCATTTCAAATGTCGTTTCTGTTGCGGAAAACTAAATACTGAAAATTATCAGCTTTTGTTCTTTGATAACAAAAATTTTCACAGTTATGTGTCAAATTGCATGGCTAACCTCCTGATCTGCGTCAGAACAAAATCATTTTTATAGCAATTAATTGAATATATCTTTGCAACATTCCGTTTTCTAGCTTCTTGAGAAAGAAGTCGATGAACAAAGAATTCTTGTGTTGTCAATCGAAGAAAATGGGCGATGGCTGTGTCAGAATTTATCAACAGTTGATGCAAGGTAAAGCAAGCCATTCTTTTCTCTTACCTTTTCTTTAATTCGGTACACATTTTCGGTATACACATTTTTATGATGACCCATGGCGTCATGGGTAATTAGTTTGAAAATAATTTTTTCCCAAGAGTTATAAATTGTCTACTTTAAGGAGAAGGCACTTTAGTATTCCTTTTCATCTAAGAAAATAATTTATATTTTTTATCCGCTTAGTCTTCTTTCTTATTAATTCATTTTCCAACCTTGTCCCAGCAAGAGCGATTCCATAGTTAAAATATTTAGTCTATAGAATGCAGTTTCAATAAACTTTGATTCTCCGCAAATTTGAGTTTGGTATACCTTAACTATATCTCGATTTTAGTGGGCGGCGCCATTCTACAACAAATTTGATAATGGACAAACTAACACTGACAACATCACTTATGGAGACTTTTACGAAGGAAATCCGACAAAGGAAAGGCCGAGTTATTGTCCTGCTTTCAGAACACCAAGATTTTGCCACTTCACTTAGTATGTTTGAAATATGGCTGAAGAAGGCGGAAAAAACGCAGAGTGCTCAAAAGCCAGTCTCACCGGTTTTAGAAGAAATCAACGCGCAGATGCTGAAAAGCGAGGTAAAATAGAAAGCTTTGATTTGTCTGAGGTTCTGTAATGTCAAGACCATCTAAATCCCTTTTGTCTTTTATTTGTTTCTTTATTTATTACTACTTAGCCTCTTATAGAAAGACTGTGCTTACCAACAGTTCCCTGGTCTTTCCTCTTTGAGTGACCACACCTCACGATTTCACACCTGGAATATCAAAGAGCTAGTGACTCACCTCACACTAAATGAAAGTTTGATCATGCAAGAGGCACGGAAAACTTATCGTTGTATTATTTTTCCGCGACCATAACTGCTGTGTCGTCCTCGCACCCAATGTTTATTTCCTATTATCTAGAACTTATGATCTAGAACTTGCATGATCACTTCTAAAACTTAAATCACTGCTATTAGCTGCTTACTAAGTTGTTGATTGTTCAATCTGGTTTATTTTTGAATCAATTTTTGTGACATGAAATATTTTTTTTTTTAATTCGACCATCCAGTATTGTTGTTTTAGACCATTTTGCCAGTTACTAACTCTTAGTTACTGAACCAATAGACACTGTTAGATCCTTCACATTAGGCTGTAACTCGAGGAGTGTATTTCGAGAAATGCGTTGTTCTGCTTGTCTATAGTCTCCTAAAAGTTCTACTTTCCCTTTACTTTAGCAATTGTACGAAGATGTTTTACAGCACGAGCCAGTTTATGCAACTATCGTGGAAAGTAGCTCTGAATATTTGGAGGAAGTCAGATCACAAAAGGAACGAGAAAGCTTTTCAATGCGAATAGGGATTGTTAATGAACGATGGGAGAAAGTATCGAGTCTTGCGAAGCAGCGTCGAGATAGCTTGAGTAATGTTCAGCGAATTGTTTTCCATCTTAATGAGAATTTGCAGTGTGTTAATGAGGTTATAAAAACTGGTGAAAAGATGGACAATCCATCATTCGTCGTTGGTTTCGATGTGGAAAAAGGCAGATCGGAGCTTAAGCAAATAAGGGTAAGTTTTGTCATAAAGAACACGCCCTTTCACACTTATTGTAGTGCAGGAAAGTAATTGTGACATGCTAGAAATTGTTTTTTATCGCTCTAAACATACGACTCCTATTTTGTCATTCAAGTCAGGAATGATGGTCTATTGTTGTTGTTAAGAGGCATATGACATCGATAGGTAAAACAAAAGAAGTGCTCATTGCTCGTCCATTATATTTTATAGGCAACTCTGGACGTTTTCGATCGAAATGAAGTCTGCCTTGTTATTTTGGATGAAGCCGTGAAGGACATGGAAAAATACATTGGCAAGAAAACAGTTGTCTCTGTTGTAAAGAAGGTCAAGACGAGCAGAGAGCGATTCCAAAGTTTGAGAGAAAATCTCAAAATCTTAGAGGTTTCTGTGAGTAGAGATTTGAGTGAGGCCGAGAAATTTGAACAGCTTACGAGAACATACGAAGAACGGATAAAGAAGTTGGAAGAAACTGTGACTATTGTGAAGGAATCAACAGTGAAAGATGTGACAGTGGCAAGAAGGAATCTAGATCTTATTCAAGTATGATTTTGCATTGCAATTGATATCTGCTAAGTTGATAGATCGACCTTATTAATATGTGGGTGACTCAAGGCTTTTCAATTCAATTCAGTTCAATTCAGTTCAATTTTATTCGCATACTAGAGAAGAAGAATGCTACATTCTTACTGTGATATACAAGACCTAAGAAAAAGTGTTTACTTATCTAGCTTAGGCCGTTACCAAAGGGTATAATTAAAAAATAAATTGGTTATATGGATTGGTTAAAAACTTAAACTAGAACAAGATAATATAGCACAGACATAGGCTAGGTATTCTTCTTTAAATTGTTACAATTTTTAGAGAAAGTAACCACTATGAAATTTCACGTTCTAATGCATTCAGCGCAAAAACAAAATAGAGACCTTTTTTTGTTGCTTTTTCTACTATGTTATGTTAAATTTGTGATTGATTAGTTATTACGTCAATAAGTTAAGAGTCTTAAATGTAATGATTCATAGACTAACATAGATATATTCAATTCTGGTACCGTGACCATGCAGATACCTTTATAATTTAGTTTTCTGAGTTAATCTACTTTAAATCTCTCAGGAATGTTCAATTGTGCTAGTTGAAGTCTATGAAACCATTGAAATCATCCAAACAGTTGTCATAAGAATACGGTGTAATGCTGGTAAAGTACCTAAGGTGCTGAAACAATGTCTGAAGCAAGAAAAGCAAATAAAGTCGTACAGAACCACTATTGGAAAGATAGAAAAGGATTTTAAATTGGCACAAGATAACTGCCAAAAGTTTATTCTTAAGAGAAAGAATCTTGACGATAGTCAGAGAGAAATTGAAAGGAGGCTCCCTGAAATTGAGGCTGCTGTTGTACGACAAACTCTTGTATCTGCGAACTATCTGATTCTCAAACAACAGCATACCAATCACCAGGTGAAGTATTGTTTTGGATTTCGATTTAGTTTGCTGTTTCCAAAGCATATTTGCCAATATCTCAGATTAATAAGATGGAGCGTTGTTTTAAAATTCTCCTGAAAGTATGTTATGACGATTCATTTTCATGAAAACATGGTGATTTGCGTTGTTGATTTCACAAAACAAAGCAATTATCAATGCGATATCGAAACAAACGATTTTAAATATGGTAGCCCCAAGACAGAATGATGCTTTTCAAGAGGCCTTGAACTTGAAAGTAACGTTATGCTGCAAATCAAATATTAAAAAACACCTTCAATGTAAATTATGCATGGTAATAAACGGAAGTAAGGCACTTTGTATACCTCTCTATGAATTGCATTGTTGCAATTTATCCTATGCTTACAATTTTGTTGAAAAACACCAACAAATGAAAGTACTGTTGCAGAGAAGGTAGAAAAAATGCAGATGTTTTTGGATGACTCTTTGTCTAAATAATCCTTTTGTAGTTTTTTACATGAACTTTGGTCTTTTTAGACTGTTTATGAGGAAATGAAGAGCTGCGAAGTTCTTATCGACCACTTCCTAACTACGGGTGATGCGCAGCTGCAAGAGCTACCTCAAAGTCCAGCAAGAGACATTTTGGCTAGTTCTCTGGCAGATATCGAAAGAAGATGGAGATCTGTGAGTAGCAAAGTGAGGACGAGGCAAGCATGCATCGAGAAGTTGTTACCTTTTTCGAGGGAATACAGCGAATGTGTAGAGTTAGTTTTACCGTGGATGACAAGAGCAAACAGCGAAATTAAAGTTGTTTCACCCATAGCGTCAGATCAAGAGAATCTCACCCAACAGAAGCGTGTTATCGAGGTAAGACTCTTTAATTCACAACTTGAATAGCATTGCTTACAAATGTGCGACTTGATGTATACAGTTTGTTATAGCTCACTGAAATTAGTATACTTTGCAAAAACGTCATAGCTCTGAAAAGAATCTAAAAAAGCTCGTGACGTATGACTCCAAGATGACAGTCAACCGTCGAACTACACTAAGTCCAAAAATGACAGGCAGCCTAAATTTTACCCTAAAAGTATAGGCCATGATTGACTTTACTGATGTAGGATTGATCGATTAAGAATTTTTTTCGATGGTTTTAGTGTCTTGATTTTGCTGCAATGCTCCCAAAATACCTGTTACACCGAGCAATTTGTGTTTTTTATATCTTTACACCAAGCAGTCTTTTATATCTTTCATTTCTTTTTCCAAAAAATCACTTCTTCTAAACTATTTCCCCAAAAACAATGTTGATAGTGTAAACAAATAACGCAAAAGCAGAAACTTCCAAGTTCTCTTCACTGTTTTATAATAAACCAGCATTGTTCCTTAGGGGAGAGAGGAATGGCTGAATTTGACCTTAAAAACTGACGTCAGTGATCCAAAACGTTGGGCAGACAATTGCCATTTACATCTATCGTATTCTTTATCGGCTTATTTGCTATTTGAAAGGTAGCACTTGAAAAGGGATGTACTCCTCCCACCCCAACCCTTATTTTCTCGTTTTTTGCTACTATTTCTCTGTTTATTGTCCAGGATCTTTGGAAAGAATTAGAAGAAGCCACAAACACGTACAACAGACTGGCGGATAACTATGATAAACTTATTGAAGTCTGCCTTGAGGAAGATAAAGTCATCATATCGGATGTTCAGTCGATCAAAAGTGAAATGGAATTTATAAATAGTTCGTGGGAGAAACTTACAGAGAGGCTCTCAGAGCTAAGACAGCTGATGGGACAAATCCAGTCTCAGTTGGTTGCTTTTGAAGATTCAGAGAGCTGTTTGATAGATTTGTTTGAGATGATTGAAACCAGGTTATCACAGATGCAGTTTGTTAGTACTTCGCCACAGAAATGCAAAGAGATTGAAAATACTGTAAAGGTAAGAGCATTATTGCTGTTCATTTCTTGTAGTGCATAAGACTGCCTACAGACTCTAAATTAAATCATAGCTATAATACTTTGTTCCTTATATAAAAATTGATTGAAAAAAGCTTGATAAAGAAATGGAGCAGTTACGTTTGAGTCGTATATAAATTCGTCGATTAATACTCCCTTCTGATGTTAAGTTTCAATTCTTTGAAACAGAAGCATATCTTTGTTTACGGTGTGGAAAATTTAAGGTACCAGAATATCTAATTATATTGAGTCGTCCGGCAATAGACTCAAAAGCCTTGAAATGTACCCAATATTATCCTGCATATGGTATTAGAGGATCTGCAGATGATTGGTTTGAATCTTAAGAGAGAAAACAGTGTTATATTGGTGGTGAACACTGTTCAAACATCATAACGTCACTCGTGGTATACCCCAAGGCTCGTGTACTGGTCCCCTTCTTTTTATATCATATACCTCAACGAAAGTGTCTCGAATTTCGCAAACAAGTCTCCATTCTGATGGCACAGAAATCCAAAAGGATAGTGTTGTTTGCAAGCTAAGTTTCAAAATTGTTTCAACTCTTTTTAGTTTTATTCAGAGACAACCGTGGCTTATACATATATTTTTTTCGCTATATACTTCATTTGGTAAACTTTTGAGCTATTTTTCAGGAACTTATTTCGAAAGCCAATAGCTATGAAGTTGAACTAGAGAAATACAACACGACTGGACGCTTGTTGGAATCATTGTTGTCAGAATGCCATAGCAACAGTAAGGGAATCATGCGAAGGGTTTTCCAGATCACGGGAGAATATCGCAAAGTTTGTTCCAGATTGTCTGATCACTTAGCACTTGCTATAAACGTACACGATCAAGCCTTGGAGTTCGTTGAAATTGTTGACCATTTCAATACATGGGTTGATGCAACGAAGAAAGGTCTCAGTGGCAAGCAGCCATCGACTTTAAGCAGGGATATAGCAAATCTAAAAGCCATTATCGAACAATATGAGGTGAGGAACGAATAAAAACACATCTTTCCTTCTCTGCCCATAGTTAGATGAAAAAGCCCTACCTAAGCTTTTTCAGTTGTTATGCTTTACCTAACTTATAGATATGTAATGGGGTGACATTCGTCCTTTCTGTCCTCTTCGCTTACCATTTTGTAGAAAGGCAATAAATTGATTCTTGTTTCGTGCTTTTCACATTTATTCTTTTTCTTTGCTTCTACTTCTCGGTTTTCCTCTAAATGTGCCATGATGGCATCCTGAGTGGTATTCAGTGCGAAATTGGAAGAAAGTAAAAAATGAATTTATATACCGTCATTTCTGTATGCTATGGTTACTTTATTCTTTCGTAGCTATATTTAATGGAAGTTGTAACCAGAAAAGCCCGGCTGGAGAATGCTGTTGTCATTGGTGATTGGCTCGTAGAGAAAAGTCGTGAAGACCCTGTTGTTATTTTCGAAGTGAAGACGAAAATCTTCCAAGCTGTGATGTCAGTTGAAGAGCTTTCGATGACATTGAGCTCGTTCAAAAGCAAGGCACAAGGTTGGTTGTTGAATGAACAAGAGTTTACCGAAATGGCGCGTGACCTCGAGGCCAAATTCGACCGTATCGAAGCGCAGCTTGGTCTACTGGACCCAGTTTCTGCGCGCTATACTGTCGCCAGGCAACAGCAAGATCACTTTAGGCCTCTTTTTATTGAAGTGCAGCAACTGCGTGACTTCCAGGATGCTATCTCAACTTCCCCTGGTTTTGAAAAGGAGGCAGTTGAAGAAAGCCCTGCCAATGCTAAGATAGTGGCTCTGACTGAAAGATGGAAAACGGCTTGGCATGTAGTGGCAAATTACCATTTACAGATAACCAGCGTCCTTCCATTTGAAGAGAGGCATCATTACGCAATGCGGAAGTTAATGCCTGTAATTGACGAATGTGAGAAAAAGCTTGAGAATTTGCAAGGAGAAGTTAGGCCCACTTTCAAGCAAAATATGCACAGTGACATAAAGGTACTTGTCAATATCAGCAATAAGAATTAAATTTTGTACTCTTGATTTAGACGTTATTTCGATATGTATTCATATGTTTTTTCGTTGTTTAATATTTTTCTTATTACGTCTCGATGCAGTTATGTCAGCAAAAGTTTTCTAATTTCTTCGGTTCGATCAAACACTGCATCTTGGATTGCTTATGTTTTTTTTGACATTGCTTGAATTGTGGTACAGAATTTGAACAATACCGTTCCTTTTCTTTTCTTATAGAAAATTCTAGAAGAGTTGTCTGATAAAGAGCATTTGCTAGCAGCAGTCGAAACAAGCTGCAGTGATCTGGTAAAAGTTTGCCAAACGCATGGCATCACTGTTGATGTATTGTATATTGAAGACGAATATCAAGATGCGGACAGAAGATGGCATGCAATCTCCATGGAAACACAAGAGCTTCTTAAAGATGCAAGACGAGCTGAACGGCAGCAACGTGAAGAAGAAATCTCACCTGTTGAAGAAGCTGTGACCGAGGCACAAATGGTTGAAACTGAGGCTGAGCCAGTGAACTGGGAGATGCTTTTAACTGACCCTACATATGCAGAGAAGGTGGAGGTGAGAACTGAAAAGCTTACCGAGTGGATCTTAATGTGAGGAACACTGAATGAGGAACACCATGTGGATGAGATTTGTGACTTAACGTCGTTTGAAGACCCAAAATAACTCTTTCCACAGTTGCTAACTTTCCTTTCTACCGTCTTTGTTCCGTCGCGTTAGCTATTCTCTCTTTGAAACAAGAACAGTTCCCTCTACTTCAACCTAACTTGCAGCTTGTCAATTATAGGGACCTTTTGCCCCCCCTCCCCTCTGTGAAAGCCTACTTGAATAGTCTGCCTCGATTCATTTTTTCCTAATATAATTTACTTTCAATTACAGAGAGGCCAGGAAGACGCTGACGTAAAGAAAAGGGCTGCTTCGATCAGATGGAAGTCTGTTAAAGAAAAGTTGGTGAAAAGGAAGGTGAACATGCAAGTTAAGTTGAGGAAAACGGTTGAATTTGTTGCTTCAGTAAACGAAATTGAGGGTTTTGTGGCAATATTCGCTGGACATGTGACTAGCTTGCCTTCGCCTGGTACGACAGCCGATGAGATACAGATGCAAATGGAAGAAGCAGAGGTGGCGAATTTAATCATTTTATTAGAAAATTTTACTGCAAACTGTGTAGTTGTATTCTATGAAAATCTTGCTGGCCTTGTTGCATCATTTGACTTAGTCGTTTAGTTTAGATTTAAAAAAAGGAATTATTGAGCCATAAAATCTTCTTCAATGATCATAAAGTCACCAAAATGACAATAAATCCTTCAAAGTTTCTATAAACTGTGTTATTTAAGTTTTTCTCTGCCTATTGAATGTATTCTATGATGTTTTTTGTTAGGCCCTTGAGAACAGCATCAACAAGCAAATTGCAAAGCTCGATTCAACTGAGGAATCAGCTGATTGGCTAACCAAGAACAATGAAGATCAACCAAAGTTCATAGCGACGGTCCATGCAAAGCTATCCAGTGTGCGCAATCCGCTTGAAAGCCTTGCTCTAATGTTGAAAGAGAGAAAGTCTCGTTTGCAAGAGGCACTCCTCGGTGTGCAAGAGTTTGATGTTATGGCAGAAAACTTGAGCCATAAAATTGACCTACACTTGGAGAAGATGGACACTTTTGAGGAACTGAGTGTTGATTGGACTGAACTGAAGAAGCAGTTAGCAGAACTAAAGGTAAGCTAAAATTAGGCCGTGATTTTTGAGAGCAGCTTTCGAAATGAATCCTTTCAAAAATACTTCAGACCAAAACGAACCAAGATCCCATCTTGCACCTGTGAGGTTGTACTATCTCGCCACAAACCACATAAAAATCCAGGCTCCTGCAGTTTAATTAATAACTGTTTTCTTCTCTCTTTGGCAGAACTTTGAAACAAGCCTAGCCAGCGTGCAGCAAATGTATGAAAGTTTTAAGATCACTAGTGAAAGGATGCTGAAAGAGGCGGAAACAGACCTGGATGCTGTTCCATTGAATAGGCAGACTTGTGCAGTGGAAAATTCATGGAAGGTACTCAACAATAAATGGAACGAAAGGAAACAACAAGCAGCAGTGGTTAAAGAGCCATCTCACGATTTCTACAATATGGAACGGAATTTCTCTGATTGGCTCGATGAAGCGGAGTCACGCTTGCAGAGTTTTGAGAAAATTCCTTCGAATTTGCAGGAAGCAGATGAAAGCGCAAAACTTGTGGAGGTGTGGAACTGCAAAAATTTATTATTAAAAACAAATAAAATTTCCGTCTTTGGCCTTGTTTGCACCTGAGAAACCGCTTATTTTTTCAAAATTTAAAAGAAAATTTAGTATTTGAAGGAAAAAAAGGCGATATCAATTGCTTAAGTTTTTTCAAAAAAACTCTTTTCGTTAGACTGTAAAATTTCATTGACATTCTTATCTAATTAGAACATCTTTGTAGAATTAGAATCTTCATTTTTAAAAGTAGTCACAGATCAAGAGACTTTCTAAAGTAATATTGAAATTTCGAGAGCACTGGCTCGCCAGACATTTCAAACTTTTCCATTGACAGCTTTTCGGTGATCATTTAAAGGCTTGAAAACAAAAGGAAATTTAGTCTACACACAAAAACACCTAGTATTACCAAGTATTTAACCAAGGATATTTTTATATACCATCTAAATATGATTATTCATGATGCTTATTTGATAATAAATGACACGATCTCAATGCTACCGTGTTATAGTTTACTTTTAAATGCCATTTATTGGCCTTACTAATACCCATTTATTTGAAATTTCTCGCAGGATTTTACGAACCTTATCGCAACAAAGGAAAAGGACTACGATTCTCTAAACTTAGTTTTCTCCAGTGTAAAAGAGGCTTCTTCTTCGCAAAATGTAATTGCTGGTTATGACCATGTTGAAAGCCGGTTCCAAGATGCTTGTCGCAGATGGGAAAAATTGAAGATCATGTGTCGTGAGAGAAAGGATTTAATAAAGGGATTACACGATGGATTTTTTTCTTATGAGAAGAAGCATGAGCAAATTTATGTATCTCTGAAACAGTTCGAAGATGCTCTCGGAAGCAAAGTGACCATTGGAACAGATGTAAGCAAAATGGTACAGGAGCAAGACCGTATTAAGGTATGCTCGTTATTTTTGTAATGTTAAAAAAGGTTCCTGGGAGAATGTGCAAGATTGAATGGTGGAATGGTGGATCAAATGCCAGTGGCTTTGTTATTCAGTCACCAAGCAAAACTTTTCTGACTTTTTTACGTTCATTTTGATTTTTTCTTGTAATCCTGCTTCGAAGTTTGGATAAAGAAGTAAGGCATAAAGCAGTCGTGGCCATAATTAGTGTCTAATGAATAAGTAGAAGTCAACAGTATAGATATTTTGGAGACTAGTAAGAGCATGCCTTAAGTAAAGTCAGATTGCTCCGGACCTCCGGACCGGGTAACAGTAGCTCAGGACCGGGTATCCAAGATAACACGGACTTTCACAAAGTTCGACTAATTTTCTGCTCCAATAGAGTTCCAAAAGTGTGACGTCACGATTTTTACAATTAAGAGGTATTTCATGGTGCGTTTTCGGGTAATGGGATCAAAATTAGATTTTGATGACGTCATCACTTGACAACTCTATTGGATTTTCTTACCTTTTTGAAGTCAAAGTCGTATCCCGAATAAGTTGGTCATTCGCTAAGTCATATTTTGCAGGGGCTTATCACGAGGCTGGATAGTTTAGACAAGGATATGAAAAATTTAGATAGCAAAGGGTCAAAGCTGGCACAAGAGATAAAAGACATGGATGGTGACGATACTCCATTGAAACGAAGCCTCGATGATGTTAGCAGACGATACAGTACTTTGAAAGATTTGCTAGCGAAAAATGCAGCAGATCTTCAACAACGAAAAGATGTTCTTGTAAATATCGTTGGAGTTGTAAACAACGCTAATAAATGGGTGTTCAGTGCAAGTGAAAGTCTCGGTGAAATGGTTGTCAGTAAGCCAGATTTAGCAGAATCGAAGAAGCAGATTGTTGTGCTAGAGGTAAGAGTCGATTCGTTTGGAGCAAAACAAGCATGGTCATAACTTTAGAAGTAAACATCTTAACAGTTGCTAGGCCACATATGTTTAGTCGATCATTTAACAACCTCCCCCCCCCCCACACAGCTAACACCCTCCTCCCACCACTCTTTGGAAGTCGGAACCTATGCTTCAGCACCAGAAACGCCAGAGTCGTGAAAATTGGTGTAGGGGGATGACAAATCTCAAACGCTGTTCGTCCAAGGTTGTAGGTTGTTTTTCTGGCGAGCTTACTTCCCTCCAGTGTTAGAGTTAAAATCTTGACGTTGCGAGGGCAGCGTGACTTCGCGCTCTCTAAGGGCGATGAAGCAGTCCTTGTCATGGCAATTACATTTTGGGGTACTAAGGATGCGTCCGTTGATTTTTCGTAAATCATAAAGTGTCCATATTACGTTTCCTCGTAATTTTCTTTACTCTGTTTCATTCAGTAATGATGTAAATAGGAAGGCATCGTACCTTGATCAAATGCATTATGTGTTCTTTCAGTGTTTGATATGTTCGATAGTATACGCTTTTTTCCTATAAAAGTTGTTGAAAGGATGTTATTTACTTGAATGTCCTCAGAACTGCCCTATTTGACCTATTTCGTGTTTCTGCGTAGCAAATCCTTGAAGATCTTCAAACACAGCAATCCGAGATGTCCAAAGCTTCACAAGATGGCAAATGGCTCGTCGAAAATTCCCATGATGACAGAACTATGAGTTCAAGTGTGCGAAATTTGTTGTCTTCAGGATCCACACCACTCGATTCACTAGAGAAGAAACTTGGAAGCAGAAAAAACAGACTTCAAGCCGCCATTATCTTCAGACTAGAATCTGAATCTGCCATCCAACTAATTAACGAGAGGCTATTGAACCTTGAGGAGAAGGCTGCTAATATCAAAGTATCTGCAATCTTTGCTACCGTAACGCAACAAGGTGCCAAAAACGAGGCTCTAATCTCTCAGGCTGGTGAGTTACATTCCTGTTTACGTGACGTCATGGCATCGTTAATAGCAGCTGAGATTTCGGACGAAGACTCCTCTGTAAAATCCACTGTAAGGGAGCAGGCGGATAGGCTGTTAACTCGTCTTCAGGACATCGAGAGTATGCTTTGGAAAAAACGAGATCTGGTGCATAAGGTTAGGCCACTTGCGGAGCAGTTCAAGAGTGGATGTTCACACTTTGATCAGTGGTTCCAGAATATCAGTGGGAAGGTTGCAGAACTAGAGAAGGATATCGTGCTTGAACCAGCTCTTGTTGGAGAGCGACAGAAGCAGTTGGAGGTAAGCATTTTTCACATTAAATAAAAATGCAAATTGGTACAGATACGGATTCAGTGTTGGTATTCAGTGCTCTGGGTTTATGTTTTTTGATTAAGAATATTCTTAATTGTCTGTTGCTGGTATGCATTTCATATGACTTTCATATAAAAACAGTAGTTTTAGATTTTCAGAATCATTTTCTAGAAGTATATAAGCCCAGGAGAAGGTTAACGGTAAGCCATAGATAAATTTCCAACTATATATTAGAGAAATAACATTTTGATCCCGTTTTTTGTATTCTTGGCTATCTGCAAATGACGCCATTGATTTTGTTTTGTTCCAGGCTTGCGCTGAGGAAATAATCGGATACAAGGAACGTATTGACGATCAAGGAGCGTGCACTGAAAAATTGATATCAGCTGCGGAAACTGACCAAGGTCCTGTAGAAAAGGAAATGTCTGCGATGCAAGCTAAATACGACGAGCTGCAAGCCCGTAGCAATGAATTTCTGCGGAAGATCACCATTCTGAAAAGGGAAGTGGATGAATTCATTTTTGATATGAAGTCAGTGCAGGATGTAGTAGACGAAACTGGAGAGTCGCTTGCAGTGTTTCCAAAACCAGGACATGACCTAGAGGCAATGGAGAAGGATTTGGAAACCCTAAAGGTAATATTTGAACGATTGGTTATGATTTTACGGCAGTCTGTTCACATAGTGATTGGCTGACATTAATATATAACGTTTTTAAAAATTTTCAGTGTCTTCTATTATTGCTTGTTATTCATCAAGCGTGTCAATCAAGCACGAATTTTCTGCATTAAAATTGAGCACATTGGAGGTAAATTGCCATTAAACAACAGTTTTTTTATAATAAATGCCAAAAATTGGAAACAGAGACACTAGAAGATCCTGCAAGCTATGAGTAGGCTCACACCAGCTCAATATTTGTAACTAAAGTCTCTGAATCATGCTTGCTACTTTTAAATTTCAAATGCCAAATATCATTTTGATAACGCATTCTGTCCTCTTACAGAACTGTGAAGATAGGCTTGACAAATGCCAAGCAACTTTGACCAATGCTGAAGAAATCATGATAGATCTTGCCAAAGAGCCATGCTACCAAACTGAACCACTCGAAAACGATCTATCCCGTCTGAAGCCTATTGTAGAAGACATGCAAGATAATTTGCAGTCAAAGTTGAAGGTTATAAGAAGCAATATTGAGGCGCTTGGTGACTTTTACGTCACAATTGAGAGGATCCAGGGCTGGCTAGGTTCCGTGAGAGAAGAGGCCTACAAACCAGTGTGTTCAAGCAAAAAGACATTGAGGGTGCAGCTTACTAGAACCGAGGTGAGATCTTCTGTTTTTGTTTGTCTCCCGTCAAAGGAATAGCAGCTGCATCACAGAAGTATATCCTGTTAGAGAATTCCTATATTTGTAATATGATGTTTAAGGATCACTAAATTACAAAACAGATTCTTGATTAAATCAGATAATTGATTAGAGCAGCTCTTTTAAAACAGCCTGATTTAGTCTGTGGGTATCTACAACTTGTCTTTCCGCAATCCTACCAAAATCATCAAATTTTCTTTTCATTCAGTTATCCTTCATTGGGTTTTATTGTCTTGCTAGAGTTTCCTTTTTCTAGATATTAGTGAATTAGAACACTCTATATGATGTACGTAGTGAGGGAAATTTTTCTCTTTCGGCAACATAATGAAGAGGTAGAATGGAAAGTTCTATACTGCATTCCTAATCTTCTCACACGGAATATCTATTTTGAAGTAGGTAAAAAGAAGTAAACAATCAAAGTTATGGAGCGAAAGCCTTAAAGGCTCTTGGGCAACCGGCATGCTTTTAAAAGTTGCTTTTTGAAAACTTCATACAGTACGATATTAGGCCTGTTTTGAAAATATAGTCGCAATGCATGCTGCTTGTGCGAAAGCCTTTAAGGCGCGACCCAGGAGTTTTATTCATTGAATCAGATTTCTTGATACTATCATATCAGAATATGATCTAAAAGCTGTTTCTTCTTCAGACTATCAAAAACAAACTGCTGAAGAACATCTCGGAAGTTGGGCGTGCCGAAGAACTGTCTAAAGATATCATAGCAAATCTTGACTCAGACATCGCTGCGAATGAGATAAAATCGCGTCTTTCTTTAGTTCTGCAAAGTGTTAGCCAACTTGATCAGTGTATTGAGGAAAAGACTAAAAAACTCAAACGTATTCTAGAAATGATTGATAACTTTTCCGAGCTGCGAGATTCTCTCAATGAAGCGTTAACAGAATTAGGCTCAAGGTTTTCAATGATTGCCCCAATGCCATCTGTTGGTGACAATTTGAAGGAGCAGCAACAACAACTTGAGGTACGGTTTTTTCTGAAAGAATATATGTTATTATATTGAATTAAAATTTCATTAAAGGGGTATTGAGTTTTAGTGCGTGAATTTTCATTTTCATATCCAAACCACCTGTATCAACTGTGTTTGTTTTTCTTTAACATTAAAAACAAATGCAAGAACTCAAATTAATTATTGTTGAGGAGGAGGCTAAAGGCATATCGAGCTGCCTCCACACTCAACATTACAAATATTCCCATACTTTGCAAAATACACAATAAAGCACAATACAGCACAATGTTAGCTGTGTTAGTCCAAAGTTTTCTTACCGATTGCCCTAGGAGTGGTTTCTAGGCTATATTTAATATGACTTGCATTTTTCTTCTGTGAACGGTACTTGAGATCATTTTCTGGCATTTTCAGGAACTCTTTTTCGATGTCTGTGAGCAAGGGACTGTTTTAGCATCCATGAGGGACACCGTCAGTAAGATTGAAGAAGAGGCAAATCGTTGCGAGGAGACCGTGGAAGTGCGTGGAAAATTAGATGCTGAGAATCAAATGTACGAGGATCTCAAATCTCGTGTGGAGGCCCAAAGAAATTTGGTTGGAACAGTTCTTGCAGACACCGATAAGTACAATGCAGATAAGGGCAAATTTCAGAACTGGTTGGCTTCGAAACGTCTTGAAGTAGTTGAGTTCAAGCCAATAATATTAGAGAAGAGTTGGCTGGCTGAACAGTTAGAACAAGTGAAGGTATGTTGTGTTTTGATGCTTGGAAACGGATAGCGAACGTTGTGCTGTGATAGTAGAAATGCTGCTTGTATTTCACTTGACTTTCAGCATACTAGAAATACTAATTTGGAAGAGGGGGTTTCCCAAGCACAAGCAGCTATGTCAACATTTTAGTGACATCGGCCCCCGTTTTTTTGTGTCCAATACAACACGGAATTATGATTGAAGTCGAAGCACATGCTCTTTAAAGTCAAGACGGAGATGTCACACTCATAAGAAGGTTCCGTTTTCGTCACCCAACAACTGCTTCTCAGGAGCATAGATAAAGAAGATGCAATATTGTCACTTCCTCTTCCGCGTGTCAGTGCCTTCTTCTCTTCTGCCCCTCTTCTCTTTGGCCCCTCTTCTCTCTGAACACTTTGCAGTCGAATCTTCGCCTTTAATCTCAGAATATTAAGTCTGAAAATTAAGTTACATAGAAACTGGTAGGGGAAAATATTGACAAAAGAAACAAATGCGATAACATTTTACATATGATGATGACCAAATTTGCAGGATTTGCAGGCGACAATAAGACATTTTCAAATCAGTCAATTGTTTTTAGCTATAATAGAACACGATTTAAGTATAAGTCAAAAGAGTAAGATTTTGATAGGCCACACAAGATTTTGGGTGGCGCTTAGTTGCACAATGTCCCTCTTTTGTAGTTACAAGTCTATTTTTGTTGGGGTTTTAAAAAATGTAACCTTTTTTGTCTTTCATAAGTATCTATCTCTGTTTTTATCTTTTTACTTCAGTAGACTTTTTGTCTCTTCGTTTTATCTCTTTCCCATGTTCATTCGAATTTGCGGTTAGATATAATCGCTCCCCGTTGGACAGCCAATTCTTCTCCCGTGAGAACCACCTTCATCGTATTGCCCGCAATGCATCATCAAGATCAGGATTAATTTGTTATTTCTGAGCTCTTGTTATTTTGCAGTCTTCATCTATGTGGAGAAAGCTAATCAGTTTATGGTCCATATTATTGGAAACAGTTTTTTTGTTATAAAAGTGTTATTTACCTGACCATACAGAAAGTCAAGCAATAAGCATTTGATGTCTGATTTCTTTTATTTCACCTAGTCTGTTCAATTTCTGGTTTTATTATCTTCAAACATTGTCTATATTATGCATAATCAGGACAAGGATGTTCTTTCTGGGTGTGTTTCTTGGAACTGTCTGGGTGTAATGAATCACTGTAATAAAACATCTGAGTGTAATAATTAATTTCTGTGAAGAACCTTTGAGTACCTTCTCTGTTCATTCGCACGTACGCTTTTTAAGAGTAGAAATATTCGAGTTGCCCTAAAATGACGGGATTTATTGTATGGAAACACCAAAAAATATACAGGTAAATGAAATTCATATATAGTAAAAAACAGGCCTTGCCGACTCTAAATTTTTATCCATAGCCACGACGTCAGCAATATCTTAGCCCTGCCTACCGAATCTGAGACAGAATCCACCTACCTTTTGCTCAATACAATGTAACTTTCGCTAAACCAGACTTAAAGCTTTAGATTATGCATTAGCGGCCTTGTCGCTTTTATGTGAGCTGCTTGGCTTTTTTAATTCTGTCTCATCACAACACGCAGGCTATTGCAGTCGACCTTGATGGGCATCGAGACGCCCTTGAGAACTTGAAGCGACAAGAATCTCAGCTGATGGCCGAGTCGCCATCTGGCCACCAATTTGTTGTGAAGAAGGTGCATGAGGAATGCGAGGAAAGCTACCATGTCTTGCAACAAAGCGTACAAGAGCGTTTTGAGACTTTGCAGGGAGTAAGTCAAAGCTTGCAGGATTATGGAGCAGAGGAAGATGTTATCGTTAATGTTTTTGAGGAGACCAAAGGAGTCATCAGTGAAAACAATTCATATGGTGTCGATATCGAAAAAGTAAAAGCAGATTTTGGTAGAATCAATGTAAGCAAAGACAAATTTGATTTACATTTGAGTTAACCATACATCAATGTAGCCTCTCAATTTATTGCGATTTCACACAGTAATAATTCATTTATGTGTTTTTAATCATCCCGCTAAATCCATCTATATCCATCTGTAAATTGTGTTACAATGTCTTCGTTTATCTTTTTAAGAAAGATCTAAACTAGTATGTATTAGGCATTATTTTCAATTAATCGAACGTCCCATGTCTTCTTGCTAGCCAGGCCTTTTTCTTGGTTCTTGTGGGACAAAAGCTACTTTGAGGGGTTTCAGTCGCTTTGGCTTTTTAAGCATTTACAAAGTATCTTTCGCGACAGACGATTTTATTATCAAAGAAACCAATGAGTGGGACCATAATTTACAGATCTTCTACAATTTGCTATTTATTAAAACATTGAAAGCAGAACGTTCGTTTTCTTGTAAAGCCTTTTCCTATCCAGAGGCGTAGTGTTAGGGTACTAACCGGGGGCCGAGCCCACCTTGCTAATGGCAATTTTTTACGTGAAAGCCCCCTTCCCCCTATTTATTTCATAGCAGTACACCCCTGTACCTACCCGAGTGATTATGTCATCTGATAGTTGAAGGAAATACCGCCGCTGCAAGACGATACCTCCAATACCTTGTTTCCCAAGCTAAATACAGTTGATATCCCCGTAGGTTGTCGTCAAGCATCAAGAAGATCTTCAGGAAAATGTCCAAAGAGCTGATGATATCTCTCGCAAGTTGACCATGACTGTAAACGTCGAGGAGCCGGTGAACCGCACCTTTATCAAGAAGCATGCCACAATGATCAAACTCAGTGCTAAACTTGCTGAAGATGCGAAAAGGGTGCAAAAAGAAAGGAAAAGCACCATGGAACAGATGGCAGTGTACCATGATCGTACTGAAAGCTACCAAACCTGGTATGAAACATCGTCAAAGACGCCCGGCTTGACTGAGCCAGTTGGCAGTGAAACAAGCATCATTAAGAGGCAGCTTCACGAGGTCGAGGTAAGCTATAGTGTCATTGATTGTAATAGTAGAGCCATTGCTGTTTTGGGTTGAGAAAGTTAGAAATCAATACATTGAGATCATGCAAGCGAACTTTGGGAATCGAAGCTTTATCCGCTGGGTCGAAGAGTTACCAGTTCAGGAAGAATTTCTTTGTTTTTCAATTGTGAGGTGAATGAGACCATAATTTGTATCCTGTATTGAAATGTTTGTTTTTTGCAAAGTGGCGCAAATCAACAATGTAAACGTGTTTCATGAAAACAGGAATTTCATAAAACAAGTTTTCAGATCTGAAAACCTGAAATAATATTCGTAAAATTTATTCTTTAAAGAAGTGGCTGATAATTCCTTTACCCACGATTGGCCCTACTACTGGTACTTCTAAGGTCATCTTGAAAAATTATGTAAGTTGAAAAGGGAGTCAGTGAAACCATTTTGTCTTTTAGGCCCTGCAAGATGACATCATTAAGCGAAGACAAGAGGTTGATAATATCACCGATGTCTGCGTTTCATTGAAAGAACAGCGGCCTAAAGATCAACAGCTTGTCTCAATTGTTACAGAGAAGATGAAATTTGCGGAAACATCATACGCCAGTCTAAGTCTCACAGCGGAGCAAAAATACAAGATTCTTCAGAGAGCCCTTTTGACAGGCCAAGAGTTTGAAGTGACGTTCAGAGACTTTGTTTTATGTCTGGACGATCTTGAGAAGCGAATCAAAGAACAGCAATCTCTTGATGCTAGGTTCGATGTGCTGACTGCAATTATGGTCACCTATCAGGTAAGCATTTTTCTTAGTTGCGTGAGTCAACTCTCTGTCCTCTTAGTTGAGTCAACAATGTTGAACTGGATGATAGTACGATGCAGTTCTAAATTATTAAGTCGTGAATAGTTGCTGGACACTAGTGGAAGTTCGGCATTTGGCAACACCAATGTGTTTTTCGAGTTTTTCGTTACAGCGGCTTTTTCCCGTCTATTGCTGATACAAACATCCTTTTTTGGAGGTAGATTTTCCAAGCAGTGTAACGGCAACACCGAAAGTCTTCAATAGCTTCTTTCTTTGCTGTAAGGTAAACAAACAGACATTTTAAAGAACTATGCCTAGATACCTTATCAGCTGCCGGAATAATTTTCGTCGAATCTTAAAAAGATTAGTTTCAAGCTTTTTCTGAAGGTAAAGAGTGACTAGTACTACGTCTTATAAGACATGGAGGCTGTTAAAAGAGGGCCTTTACAAATACATTCATTCGTATTGTCACGCAGCCCTGTGAAGAGTTTTAATCGCTATCTCCTTTGTTTGTGTTATAATTCACCTTTATGATATACAGCCCTGTTGCATCTGAAGTATTATTAAGTATCACTTGAAGTTATGACGTCAGATCGGTCAGATATCCTTTAATTGGATCCAAAAATGACTCTCTGCATTTACGTTGGTGGACGCATTTCCACACGGAAAGAAGCGTATACTGACTTATCCAGCCAAAAGCAAGATTATCTTTAATATATATATAACCGAGGAAATCACCTTTAGATCGTCATCAAACAATTTAAATGCATCTTTATTCAATCTGATTGTTTTGCTGTGGTATCCGTTTCAAATCAGGTTTGGCAAATTCTGATGCGTCTTCTCGACTCTAGCGCCCGTGCCAGCCAAGATCTTGTTTATCGTTTCAGTCTGCCAATCGTGTTGTTGTTGTAAAAATGGTTAACTCTTTCAATAAGCTGGTCAATATGCTTTCAAGTTTTTAGAAGCTATTGTCAGTAGAGATGCACAAACAAATAACAGAGAGTCAAATATAATTTTTTACTTTACTCAGTTCAGAATATTCTGCAAATTCTGCTTGTAAAGGCCAGTGCAATTTTCGAAAAGAATTTATGACGATAGCCCGCGTGTCAGAATTTATGACGATAGCCCGATCCATCGTTGAATTTATGAAGAATTTACACCTCATTTATGGTGACTGCCCCTTAGACCGAACATACTTTTTCCCAAAGCTATCTAACTCAGAAAGTCTCATCCTAACCAACTACAGCAATGCTCCAAACTTTGCCATGGTCGCTCTAATGTTTATTATTACCATCCTTATACCTGCAAATACCTCATAAGGCGACAGATCATACCTCTACTCGCGAGTTGTTTGTTTTCATGTATTGATATTACCATAAGATTAACATGAGACCACGAAAGAATAACATCCGTCTTTGAGTTTCAATGGGATTGCAATGAAATCCATACTTAATTACATGACAAAAGAACATGAAATCGGTATGCTACTGTCACTTTTAATCTCAGATAGCCCCTAGTGCACCACGCCTTATCCGGCATTCTCATATGACGTCATACTTGAAATGAAAAATCTTACAGCGAAATCATCAATGGATTTTAGCGGATTTCATTTTTCGCTGCCTCGATTGAAATGCATCTTACATACCTTCTTCCACGTCTATTTTTCACTTTTCTTGAATACTTATTTCTGGTAGTCTGAATCCAGTAAAAACAAACCAGATTCTCAGTATTTCATTGTAGCTAATGTGAAGAAGTGAATGGCTAAGGAATTTTTGAAGCTAGAGGTATGGAACGAGCGACAGAATAGACTATGGGTGTAATTAGGAGTGAAAAGGAAGAATGAATACCGAAGTCATAATATTTTGTGAAAAGATTTTGACTTTAGGTTACAAGTTGATCCATCGTTGTCGATTGGATACGTAACAATAGGTCTATTGTATAGTCCAACCAATAGGAATTTAAATGGCCATCCAAATGGGAATTTAAATGGCCATCCAACTGGGAATTGTCCATACTGCTCGACCTGATAGTCATAAATAAGCATGATTAATAGTCATAAATTAGTATGATTAATTATTTCAAGTAAAGGGGTTAGGGTTAGGGTTAGGGTTAGGGTTAGGGTTAGGGTTAGGGTTAGGGTTAGGTTTAGGGTAAACTAATTACGTCATCAGGACGAGCAGAATGGAAACTAGACAGCTCCATCGAAATGCCCCGAGACATAGTACCTTCGAGTATATCTTGAACATTCCTCAACTCAAGGGATAATTGAAGTGTCTTAAGACGATCTTTATCGCCTTACTTTTGCTATAGACTAAGATGAACAGAACTCTAGATAAAAGTTTCTAAAAAGAAAACAGCAATAAAGCAGGAAAATGAGGCAATGAAAATTTTGTATGAAATCGCAACTCTTTTAGTCTTCAACTTTCTATAGTTGCTTAACACATAACCTCCTAAATTATTTATTTGCCAGTCTGTTATGGCGATGTTCTTCGAAATTGTTTTGAATCAGAAAAACGCTTGATATGCATCAAGATGAAATTATCCAATCACATTTGGTGAAAAAATTCCATCAATTGAAAGTTTCAACACCGCAATCATGAATAATTAAACTTTAATGTTACCTAACGATTTCAGTTACCGTGGAATTTTCATTCGATTGGATTTTGGTACCATGCGTAACCCATTATTCATAATATTGATATTTTCCATGTTGATCGTTACCTTTCAGACATTTTTAATACTGGGTTTCTTTACATTCTGAATTTGTTGACTCACAAATGTACTACTAAATAAATACGCTGCTCTTGTTTTTCAATTATCGTATAATCGTTTGCTTGTTTGTATGAAGGCGATTGCGAACGCCACCAGCGAGGGAGTGTCTTTGTTTAATTTTGCTTGGAACAGTTCTGCAGGTGTGTTTGGGCAGTGCCCTGTACTTAAAATCATCTGTCTGCTCAGGACGTTTTACATGGGACCATTTGCATCAGTTGGTTCCCCATCGATTTCTTGGGATTTGTTGCTGTCCTTCTTTTCCTTCTCCATTTAAGAATGAGTCCTAGCTGTGTTGCCATTTGCCATACTCCTGCGATGATGAGTATTTAGTGTATTGCTATTGAAAAATTGCAGAATATTCCGAATTTTTGCTGCCAAAAGTCTGACATTTTCCCTGAGGTTTGCATCTGTAGGGCAAATCAATCTATGGAAACCTCGTACACCCCTGGCGGAAATCCTATTGTTTTAACGCAAAATCCCTAGAAATCATTCTGTTTGCGTTAGAGTCCCGTATTCTATTTGCAAGCAAGAGTAAATTACCTTGCTTGGTTGCATTCTTGCTATCTTCCAGATAAAATACTCTCTTTTCAAAGATATTTTGTTTTGGATGAATAATTGGTTTGTTTTGGGTGCGGCTTTTTCCCCTACTTCACTTCTAAAGAATTCTTTCCGGTGTTTGACCTTCTAACCGTAGTGTTTTCATGCTCATCCGCTAATCCACATACATTCCGTTAGCAGAGAAAAGCAAGAGGCAGTAATACCGAATATATATCTTTTTATTGTTAAATTCTCTGTTACATAAAATTGCCCATACCTTCTACGTGAAATAAATATTGGAGACAATAAATGGTCCTTCGCGGTAGATTATTTCCGGGCCAAAAAGTATTTTCCATGGAGAAGAATGTGCTCGTGTATTGTTTTGATTGTCAAATTAATATGAAAACTTTAATAAGAAAAATCTAAAAATTTGATTCTGAAGTGTATACTTGATTCACTCAGCCATCTGATTCACTGTACATTATGGAAGGCAGGGTCTTTTTCGATATGTTTTACAATACAATAATTATTATCAGCATACCTAATCCTATTAGGAAGATGAACATACTTTTATTTGCAACGTTTCCCACCTCAAACACAATTAAATACGTTTTGTAAAGCCGGATTACGCAGTTGGGCCACCTGTTTTGAATTTGTTGTCTTTGAGAGGCAACTGATTGTGAGCGATTTCAGGGTGTAGTGTAACAGGGTCTCGAGAACTGAATGCTTGAAAGAAAAAGCATACCGCAATAAAGAGTGCGATTTTAAAAATTTTTACACGAAATAAAATTTTTTACACGACAAAGTTCCTTGCATAAATGCATCGATGCAGCTCATGGTTTGAAGGAAGCATTGAAACTTTTATAAATTGTGTAACCAAGTTAAGGGTACAAAAGGCAGCTATTTTACACTTCGCTCGTCTGAAGGAAAGTGCACATCTGTGCAAACTTCATGTACTAAAACAAAGTTTATTTGGTAACTGGACGTTAAGTTGGTTTTTAATGATGTTCAGTTATTTTTAATTGGGTGATGTCAGTTCGGTTTCGCGTTTAAGATATTTGGAGATGATAGCTTTCTTATTGCAAGCATGCAAGTAAGTCTCGGTTAGGTCACCTTTGTCACAGAATGTGCCTTTGTCCTTATTCCTGCCCTTTACTTGTCTTCCGCAGATAAAATGTTCCCAAATTTAATTCAGTGCCTCGCGTTCTTATTTTAGCTCACTATCTGCGGTTTGTAATAAGCCTAATGCTCAGTAAAAGACAACGCTTGACCTAGCAAATGTTTCTCCGTGTCACTCTCTTGGAATTGCCTGACTTTGCAAACCCATCCTTGTAGTCCGGTCAATTGGTAGTAGATAATTGGGCGTTCATTTCAACTTTTGTTTGCTTCAAAGTGAACTACTTTTACTTCAAAGTCAGACTGGGCCTCAATTCTAAATAGCCTAATTCTTGTAGTTCATTCTGGTGAATTGTCCAGAATTTACATCGCAGTTAATGCGTCGCTTGCCACATCATTCTGTCTAGATTTTGTTAAAGTTTTTATTTCATAGTTATAAGTAACACTGACAGGAAAGAAATCTGTTCCCCTTTATTTTCAGCTTCTCAAGTGTGTTGAGCCTTTTTGTGAAACAACAGCAAACTTCGCCAATATTTTTAAATGATCTCGGTTTTAAAAACTTTGGGTGA